GCTTGGTTAGCTTAGTGGTCAGCTAAGGGTTGGACAGAGATTTTCTTACATGCGCAGAACCAGTAAGTTTCCCAGCCTTTGCTGAGGGGCCCTATGTGTGCATTGGCTCATGTCTTCGATACTCAGCCAGACATTTTACAACTCTTTCTGTTTTCCAGAGCCTCAAGGTCAGCCAGAGGTGACAGCTAAGGGCCTTCTTGGGTCCATCCTGGGCATGCACACAGCCCTACCACACATGTACTTTTAGGGTCCCAGGAGTGTGTCAGAAGTCAGCAGAGTCCCTTAGGGACATCTCACTCCCCAGTTTTCCCATCTAAACTTCTGGTCAGCTTGTGGTTTGCCCCAAGTGTTATCACCACCTCAGGCAGCTGTGATGTTTACAGTTGCTGCTGATTGTTTTCAGTAAATGCTCCCTGGGAAAAAGTTGTTTGCATTGGATGAGTTCTGAGTCAGGTCAAATAAAGACAGGCCTTGTGAGTGGGATTTTCCAGGGAACCGCCAGACAGACCAAATAGTTATCTGGGAATGGGGCTTTGGAGGAGCTTGGATCCCATTCTGTTCCATCCGGAGGCTCCTGGGCTGTTGGTTTTCACTGTAATTATGGGCTTTTGGTTCTCAAGGCTACCACAGGCCTAGGGAGAGGAGGTTGGGATTGGGGCAAGTTAAAATTCCACAAAGCTTGCTATTCTTAATGAGATTCAGCTGCTTTTGTTGAATAAATACTCCCTGGATTGTTCCAAACTGGTTAATTCCCAGAGTTCTGGAAAAATTGATTTTGAATTTTTGCCAGTGTTCTCATTCCTTTAATGGAGGAGAGTTTTTTTAAGAGGTCCTTACTCCACATTCCTGCTGACATCACTCCTCTTTCTAGTCATTTTTATCTCCCTTAAAACCAGTCCTCCCATGAGTAGCTTGCATACCTACTCTATTGAGAAAACTTATGCCAGAGCATAAGTTAGATTTATCGTTATATTAAATATCTTATTGCATGACACATCAGCATTTTCACATGCTTTATTTCATTTAATCATAAATACAAGAACCACCAAGTAGGTGCACAGGTGTGTTAGCCCAAATAAATGAGAACTTTTCACTTTTTCAGGAATATTATCTTAAAATTTTATAATATTTTACATTGGCTTATTTATTATTAAACTCTAATAGTGCTGATAAATTGTTATATCATGTTAAATTGAGTCTTATGGTTAGACCTTGGTCCAAAAGACCATTAAGAGCCACTCTGGCTAAACATTAGACCATATTTAAGTTCAAACTGTTCCCTTTGCCTTGCTCTTCCTTCTTGATAAGATTATGTGAAATTTATCCTTTTTACATTTTAGGTTATCGCAAGCTGCTAACCAAGAGTGTGGCCGAGACTCCAGTACATAAGCAAATCTCCAGAAGGCTGCTTCATAGACAGATCAAGGGCAGGTAAATGACATCCTTGTCTATCTTCTTCATACACCTGCACAGCCCTCCTAATCTTATGGGCCATGTTTACCTTCTCATGACCTTTGTGACTCTAGTCTCAACTGTGTTGCTTATAACCAAAGAGCATTCTGTAGATTTTATGGGGGCTGGAGATCCATACAGAATGCACTCTTTGTGTCTCGCCTCTTTCACTTGGCATAATTATTGAGATTTATCCATGTTGCATATATCAATAGTTCCATTTTATTGCTGAGTAGTATTCCATTTGAATGCATACTGCATGATTTAAAAATCTATTCATGTGTTGACCTGGGGAAGGAGGGAGTCTCACTGCCAGGCAAGGCTGGAAGTCTGGGATCCCAACTTGGCCTGTGGTGGGACCACAGCTTGCCATGGCACTTGGAGTAGGGCAGTTCTGGTCTGAAAGTTTCTGTCTTGCTTGGCTGCCTCTTTCCTGGTTCTTTGGCTAAGGAGAGCTAGCTATCCTTAGGGCAGTTTTCATCTGCACCTCTTGGTGTATCGGGGTTGTCAGGTTGTCAAGCGCCCAATCTAGGAGCTCCGGGGGCTCGCTGCCCTGTCTCTCCTCAGGTCCTAAAGTCCCAAGCCTCTTCTCTCCACCTTTGAGAGTCTTACGCTTCCTTTATATGTAATATCCAGGGCTCTTAGCTGTACATAACAGGGAGAATGGGGAGAAGTGTATCTATCTACTCCTTCTTGTCAAGGCTCCATCTGGACATTATTTGTGTGTGGATTTTACACACTTGTGCATGTTTATCTATAGGGTAAATTGTAAGAAGTGAAATTTGTGGGTCAGAAGGTATACATATTTTTAACTTTATGTTGTCAAACTGCTTTCCAAAAAAAAATATTCTTACCATTTCATTCTTGACAGTAATGTGTGAGAGTGCTTGCCAAAGACCACTTGTGGTCTTTGTTACCTTGTGAGGTGTGAACCTGTAGCTCTTTGACATGCGTCATTTATGAGTGGTGTTGAATAATCCTTGTACTTGCTGTTCCTCAAGGTCCTCTGACCCTGGTCCTGAAATTGATGTTGTTGAAGAGTCCCCAGAAAAAGGAGAAGATGGTATTACCTACTTTTGTTTTTTTTTAGGGTTCTCAGTTTTTGTGTTTCCTCTACTTTCTGTGAAAGCTATTCTATACTGGTATTATCGCTCAGCATAGCCTAAGATACTTTACAGACATTATGACAGCTCTGGGCCCACAACGTATATCAGTACATATTTACTGGTGAATGGTCTTTTACATAGAATGTACTGAGAGTTTCTGGAGAAGAAATATTTTTACACAAGAGAAATGGGATTCAGAGTGAAAGCTAAACTACTACGTTAATATAAAGTGCTGTGGCTTTTTTAAAAATATATATTTATTTGTTTGTTTATTTTGGCTGCACCGTGTCTTAGTTGCAGCATGCAGGATCTTTTAGTTGTGGCATGCGGACCCTTAGTTGCGGCATGCGTGCGGGGTCTAGTTCCCCGACCAGGGATTGAACTTGGGTCCCCCTGCATTAGGAGCGTGGAGTCTTACCCACTGGACTACCAGGGAAGTCCCCTGTGCCTTATTTTTGAAGTATACATGATGATGGGGCTTCCCTGGTGGTGCAGTGGTTGAGAGTCCACGTGCCGATGCAGGGAACACGGGTTTGTGCCCCGGTCTGGGAAGATCCCACGTGCCACAGAGTGGCTAGGCCTGTGAGCCATGGCCGCTGAGCCTGTGCGTCCAGAGCCTGTGCTCCACAACAGTGAGAGGCCCGCGTACCACACACAAAAAAAAGTATACATGATGGAGGAGGGGTTTCCAAAAACTAACTTCTTTAAATCAAGTAGTTTATGTTTATTGTAGAAAAATTAGAAAACAGAGAAGCCAAGAATTTAATTATCACTTGGTAATCCCACAAATTAGAAATAAGTCTGTTGAGGGAGGAGATATGGGGATATATGTATACATATAGCTGATTCACTTTGTTATACAGCAGAAACTAACACACCATAGTAAAGCAATTGTATTCCAATAAATGTTTTAAAAAAGAAAAAATTATTAACATTTAGCTTTTTTTTTTTTTTAACATTTAGCTTTAATAATACTCTTACAGGTGGTGTTTCTATACAAATATGTGTAACATAAATATGAAAACTCATTTTTAAACTTTTTAACAACTCACACTATACAAACCTTTTTTTCACTCTACAAACCTTTTTTCACTCTACATCATTCTTAAAGGTGGCAGGTTATGAAATTTCTGCAGATTATAGTGGGGGGTCAGGGTTTTTTTGGGTTTTGGTTTTTGTGGGGGGTTTTTTTTGTTGTTTTTTTGGTACTTTGTTGGGGCCACGTATCATATCCCTCTTAGCTTTGTCTCACTTCAGAGATCTCAAAGCCAATAGCTTGTCAAATTTCCATCTTGTACGTGGTGTTACATAAATCTTACCCATTTAATATGTGGGGAAATGTCAAGCTTGCATTTCTTCTTGTCAGAACTAACTGTGATTAGTTCTTGTAGAAGTAAGTTTGAGACGAAGTCCTCGAATCAAGCAGTTGGCATTCAGCAGGAAAAATTCTGGTTCCTTCTACTCTGTGTCTCAACCAAAGTCTCGAAGTATACAACAAGTTCACTCATTCCAGCAAGTCAAGTCAGGTAACAATGCTTGCCTACCTTTCTTCAGAGGTCCATGCAGATTTAGTGGGGAGTGTTGTTGGGAAAAGAATGAAGTTTGACGTTGGAGAAATAGAATAGGTATAAATATTTGAGGTTCAGAGTGATGACCAGATGAACAATCCATGGCCACCGTTTTCAGAGTCATCCCTTTAGATTCCTACGGCTGGCTGTCCACATTATCCTTGTGGGTAATTCATTCATTCAAGAGGAAATTACCTGTAATTTCTACCATATGTTCAGATCCTACAGAAAGGCATCTCCAGGTGGAAGGTGCTGTTTGTCCTTCATTCTTTTATCATTATTAGCTTGGATTATCAGATATGTCTTTTTATATTTGTCTTTGCAAATTAAATTATTTCAGTTGCCTACATCTCCTAACACAGGGACTGGGCTTGATATGCAGTGTTAAAATTCAAGAAGGCAGCAATTATTGGACTGCTGTCATAATTAGGTGGGATCTGCCCCTATTTGCTCTAAAAGAATTATCATCTTTCTCGTATGGACTGGCTGTTTTATGGGTATTTGGTGCGGGAGGCGGGTGGGGCGCGCAGGAGTTGAGAAAGAATGAAATATTGTAACTGTTTTTGACTTGCAGACCAAAGAGAAAATTCTCCAATCCAAAGTATTCGGTCTCCCAAGAGGCTTCTTTTCGGGGCAGTGTCTGAGATGATCAGTCCCTCTGAGAAGGGTTCAGCTCGAATTAAAAGGCCTTCAGGAAACACATTGGGTTCTGAAATACCTATAGCTTATCAGGTATAAAATTACGATGATGTTTCAGATAGTATAGTTTGGGGAGCATGTAGTCATGGACAAGGAAAACCACTGAGTCCAGTAGGGAAGAGAAGATAATAACAGATGTGAGGTGGTTGGGGTTGACTTGAATGAATGATTATTGGGTGTATGGGGACTTAGGTAGCAGTTGGGCTGAGGCCAAGGTGGCAGGGAGGAGATAGAAAGATCTCGCCCTACTCTCTTGGCTTCATCTTCCATTTATATTGGACACTACGTATATATCCTTCTGAAATGTGCAGTAGCATTCATCTGTTTCTGTTAGATTGCCCACTCGATCCCGTCACCCATGTTAGAAACCTGGGAGTCATCCTGGACTTCCCCCTCTCCTCAGGCCTGGCTACTCAATTAGTCCTGCCCATTTTACTGACAAACTATCTCATACCCATTCCCTCTTCTCCATCCCTGCAGTTCCTGCCCTAGTTCAGTTCTGCCTGGAACACTTCAGTAGCCTCTTCTCTCTCAAATTCATCCTGTCCCCAGAGGTCAGAGGGACCTTTGTGACCCCCTTGGACGCTCCTCTGACCACATCACTTTGCTTGAAGCTCTACAGACTCTTCATCTGTTAAAGCAGGGTTTTCTAAGTTTTCCTGAAATGGAACCCTGTGTTCAAAGATAATAATCTTCGTTTGGAAACCCAAAAACTGCTTAGAGGATGGAGGAGGATACGGAGGGAACTGTGGGGAAGGGTTTGAAAACCACAGATCTATAGAACCATGTTCATTCTCCTCCCTGGACAGGCAAGGACCTCCATGATCTGATCCCTGCTCAGCCATCTCTGCTTCACACTCCACCTTCCCAGCAGCCTCAGGATGCACACAACTGCTGTTTTTTGCTTTTGTGCCTTTGCTTACACTGTTTTCTATGCCTGAAGTTCCCTCTCCCCCACTTTCCCACCTTTTGTCTTCTGCTGACACCCATTCTTTTAAGACCTGACTCGCTATTCCTATTCCCTCTTTCTCCCCTTTGCTGGGTTAGATAGCCAACCCTCCCGGTGCTCCCATATTGTCCCATGCGTGCCCCTGTCATTGCATTGGCCATACTATATATCTGTCTGTATCCCACATGAAATGCCAACTAGACCAGGACTCCCTTGAGATGATCAGATAAGATTAAACAACAGGTGTTGGACCTCCTTACCTGTTGGAGTATTTAACTGCATTTTTGCAAGAAGGAAGGAAAGTTTTTTGCTGGAGAGTTTCCTTTCTGAGATGTTATCTTTGAGGCTGTGCCTTATATATCCATATATTTCATGTTCCACCTCATCCCCCCGGGCCTCCTCCCGCACACATTGCCTAGCACATAGCAGGTACTTAAAAGCACATGTTGAATGCAGATCAACAGGAGGTGATGTGGCTCCGAAAGGTTACTTTAGGCAAAGATCAGAAATAGTTGTCTCATTGAAGAAGATAGCTGTGAGTAGTGGAGTGACATAGAGTTAGAGGCAAAGCATGTTTTAGCTGTAGTATGCAAATTATTAAAACTATTTGTCTTAGGAGAAGAAACTAAGATTGGATACAGCGCTTGGTGCTAGAAAAAGTGGACATGTAAAATCTGGGTCATGTTTTGGAAGTGGAAACGTGTCACTATACGAAATCCAACTTAAGATCATTCCTTTGGCTGACTATAAATCTTCCAAATTTGACTTTTTAATCATCTTAGACATTATTAAAACACTCTTCAGAAAATATGGGTTATGATGTTCAAGCACTGAAATGAGCATTTTTCTTTACAGACTCCTGAGAAGAGTTACTGGAAATCTCCAGTCTTTTCTAAAGCTACACCAAGAAAGTTCCCTCATACGCCACAAACTCCGTTGCGCACTCCTGAAAGGCTGCAAAAATCCCCTGCAGAAATGACCCCTGCCAAACAGGTCATTTTTAAGGAGTTCTTAAAAGACTCCTCACACGGCTGGCATTCGCCATCTCGACGAAAAGCCACTCCTCAGAAAGGACACTCCCTGGCAGAAAGTCACTCTCCTCTTGAAAAAATACCGAGAACTCCCCAAAGACAAGGTGGTCAGCCACCTAGATTTTTGCAGAATTCTGCTTGGCCACGTTTGGTGAATTCCAGTCCAGAAAGCACCTCCTGTCCGGCAGCCCTGGTTTCGTCAACTGCCCAGACCAGGAGTGAGTGTCTGACTCCCATCAAATACTCTCCTCGAATCCCTCTGAGGGCAGCAGCCTCGGGGGTCCAAAGACGAGCTGCCTTTGTAGGCACACCTCCAAGTCAGAAACGCCAACTCCTCCGTGGCTCCGGAGCGTCTCAGGCAGAGAAGCTGGCGCAGCCATGGAATGATGCTGTCAGAACCCCAGAGAAACCAGGGAACACAGCTCTGACTTCTCCAAAGAAACCTGTTCCCTCTCCTTCATGTGGTATTTCCGAGAAGACTCCATTTGGGAATTTTTCTGTAGAATCTCCTCCCTCTGGAGAACTGGATTGGCAAGAGGCCCAGAAATCACCCAGTGTAGCCACATCTCCCTCCTGTCCTGCTCCCTCGACTCCCTACAAAGCCTCACAGATAGCTAGATCTGACCTCCTACCGCCTCCACCCCCTTCTAAAATTGGGAAAAGGCATAAAAAGACTTCTAAAACAGAAAGAAACTTCCAGGAGGGCCAGCCTAACAGCTCTGCTGTTCTCAGAGTTGCCACAACTGACAACCCAGCTGCCATCACAGATGCTAGAAAGAACCAGAAGGAAGCGACCCTCTCTCCTCCATCTCCTCCTGAAAGACATAGTTACCCTGGGACTAGCTTTGGGAGTCACTGGCATACATCCTCTCCTCTGCTTATTGCAAGAGACTCGGAGTATCTCACTCTCCTGGATGAAGCTGCTGAGCACCATAGCAGTGATAACTTAAAAAGCAACGTTTCACCAGTGGAAGAAGGTGAGGGGTCAAGGATGGGTACTTATGAGAAGCCGTCTCTGTGTAACCCTGGGATTCCTCCCTCTTCTCCTTCCTCTGGGCCCAGCTCTCCCCTGACACCCTGCTACGACCTGCGCTGCACCGCAGACAGGAAGCAGCGCCAGGCTGCTGCCCAACTAGAGAATCTGCAGGCGTCAGCCTGGCCCTCCAGAGCCTCTGCCAGCCCACAGACCTATGAGGTTGAGCTGGAGATGCAAACTTCTGGCCTTCCCAAGCTTCGAATTAAAAAGATAGACCCCAGCTGTCTGTCAGAAGCCGAGCCCCTGCAAAGGGAGGAGAGCTCTCTGGGAGAGGAGAGCTGCCTCCCTGGTCTCAGCGTGCCCAGGGCCAGCAAGTCCTCAGGCAAACCCGAAGCCACCTACCTGTCGCCCCCCTGCCTTCGCCCCTCACACGGCACCCCCGGCAAGAGCAGGGGACAGACCTATATCTGCCAGTCCTGTACCCCCACCCGCTGCCCCTCTAGTACCCCCTCTCCATTTCAGACAGAAATCGGAGTTCCTTGGACACCATCCCCCAAGCACAGCGGGAAGACAACTCCTGACACAATTAAAGACTGGCCCCGCCGGAAGAGGGCAGTGGACTGCAGCCTCAGCTGCTCTGCTGGGAGGAGCGAGGGCAGTACAGACCTTCCTGGGGGAGTGTCGCTGCTGGAGCCGGAGGGGAAGGAGCGAGGCCTTGAACTCAGCATCACCAAGACCCCCATCTTGGGGGATTTTGAGCTCGAGGGGGTGTGTCAGCTGCCAGACCAGTCACCTCCCAGGGACAGTGAGCCTAAGGCTGAGGAAGCCTTCTCCTGGGGACAGTTTGGGTTGGGATCTCGGAAGAGACTCCTTTCTGCCAAGGAGGAGGCTGAGTGTCAAACCAAAAGAGTCTGTGACAAGCAGAGAGGAGACTCCCGAGTTGGTAAGAGTGAAGACAGGTCTCCAGGCACGGGTGTGCGACAGCTCCCCTCCACGGCAGGCGACGAGGTGTTTGTTTCAGGTGAGTTGGCTGCCGTGCAGCTCTGTCGGGTGTGTTGGTCAGGAGGCACTGCAGAGATGCCTACCGGGAAGGCTGGGGCTTCCTTGTGAGGGCTGCGGGCTGTGCTGACTGTGCCGTTGCTGCAGGTGCCACCCCGCCTCCCGGCTGTGCCGTGCGGAGCTGCCTCTCTGCCAGCGGTCTGCAGGCGCTGACCCACTCTCCACTGCTGTTCCACGGGAAGGCACCCTCCTCTCAGTGTAAAGACACCAGAGGTAATTTGTTGAAGGTCCTAGAGATGTTACCAGGATCAATCTTCTATCCTTTGGTTAGCTCTATCCCAAGCTAGCTTGGGGTTTTCAGGCACTTGCATCTTGCAGGAGTTGTAGGGACTGCCACAGTTTGGGATGGTTTTATCCCTGCAGTGTGTTATGTGCCCTTCCCAGAGAAATACCACTTTAGAACTTATGTGTATTTGAACCAAAAAACCCCGCGACATCCTACCAAATTACTTCAGCTTCTTGAAGACAGTGACAGAAACTGGCACACAATCACTTCCTGCTCGTCTGTGGTCGCTGGGATCTGAGGGGAAAGCAGCACGAGTGGTAGGTGGTGTGTGCAGAGCCAGCCATTTCCCCTCGGGGGTTATACCCCTGTGTTTCCATACATTCAGTCTGAGAACGGACTGGCTATTATAATCAGCCTTCAGACCCTAGGATTCCCCTCGACCCCACCTGGAAAGAACGGGATTCACCCTGTTAGCTGCACTGGTTAGAGAGGTTTCCTCCTTCTGCTAGAACTGCAGCGGGGTGCAGGAGGTGGGGCTTTTCAGTGGCTCTCTTCCCTCAAGACCATGATAGAAATCATGCAAAACAGCAAAACTGCCACAGATCTGAGACAAAAAGAACTGCATAGTATCAAACTGAAGTACCACAGGTATTCTGTGTTTTCACAATTACTTGTTGCTGTCAGCTCCATGCTGACAGTAAGGGCGGAGGGCCTTGAAAAAGTATAGGTAGTGTGTCTGTGGGATGAGAGAACCTACAAGCAATGCTGGGTTTTAAGTCCATCTTAACGTGTAACCCTCTGCAGTTGAAGCCCATTTTCTTTTGTTCTGTTCTCAGTTACTTCCTGTATGCTAAGTCTTTCTGCCTTTTTCTAGATGAGGATGTGGATGTATTCTCCCCCACGGCAGAAGACTCTCCTTTCAGCCGAGCGTTCTCCAGGAGACGTCCCATCAGCAGAACTTACACACGGAAGAAGCTGATTAGCTAGTTAGGATGGAACTGGTTGGGGGACTTATAACTACAAACACTACTGAGCTTGCCCAGAGCTACCGCACTTCTTAACAGAAGTGTTCTGACAGCAGTTTTCTCTGGACGTACAAGGAATTCCAGACATGTATCTTAAAAGAATTCTTAGTGATGTACCCAGAAACTCGGCTCATTTGAGCCAGGGCCCTACTGGTCTGCTCATCATAGGTAACCCTCAGTTTGCTGCACAGAAACAGGAATAACCAAGGCTTAATGGAACTTAGGAAATTTAAAACATGAAGGTGAGGTCAGCCAGGTCCCCATGGGCATAAAGAAACTGGGGCCTGGTCCCAAGCCTCCTTTACCATGATCGGCTTTCAGATTCCCACATGAATGCCTTCAGCTTTTCAAATCCCCCTTGTGGAGTCTGTCCACCTCCAAGCCCAGCCCTAACCCACAATGCCTGCCCTGCCTTAGCAAGGTGGTATAGCTGGTGGTGTAACTCAGAGGCAGCCTGGGAGTCAGGAACCAGACAAGGACCTGTTAAGATCAGGATCCCATTCCACCCCACCCCAGCTGTGACCATGGCAAGTTCAGACCACTCTGCTTCACTTACAAAATGGGAGAAGGACCCCTACACATCGGTCCCTCACAGAGCTGCTACAGGCCAGGAGCCCAAGACAGAGGCAGTGCCTGGAGATGGAAGCAGCATCCACCAAACAGAAGACTGGCATGGGGGCAGCATAAATCTTTTGCATTCCCTGTGTAACAATAAAATCATCTCTAGCTACTTGGCATTCAGTGCATTTCTGTATAACATTCCAGCCTGAGGTTAAATGTGACCATGGTCCAGCTCTAGTGGTTTCTGGAGCAGCCACATCTCAAGGTCTGCCCTGAGAGTCGGCGAGTCCCTGGCACAGTTCCCACCATCACAGGGAGACTCACCTGAGTCGTGGATATGCCCAGAGCACCCAGTGGACCAGTTTGCTGTCAAGTCTTGGCCAGGAGCTTCGCTAACAGCTGATTCAACGGTCTCATGGTCTCTGAAAAACTTTCAAGCCTGTTGTTCTGTTCCCAAACCTGTCTTACTATGATCTTGTAAATCAAACTAAGTGAAAACTCCCATTTCTCCCTCCAGAGATTACTGTCATTTATTTTAAAATGGTTTTTGAAAATCTTTATACTACTAAGCTTTTCAGTCCCCCCCCCAATATACATAAGACCATTTAAACCACAACCCTGTGGCTTGTGACTGTTCTGTGACAAGCCTTGGCTGAACTTCAGAACCAACAGCACACACATCAGCGTGAGACTAGAATCATCCTTCTGAAACTCAAGCCAAAAGGTGGCAGGAGAGAGACAAGATGGCAGAGTAGGACTTGAGCTCACCTCCTCTCACGAAAACACCAAAATCACAACTGACTGCTGAACAACCATCAACAAAAAAGACTTGAACCTACCAAACAAGATATTCTACACCCAAAGGCCAAGAAGAAGCCACAAGAAGACAGGAGGAGGGGCACATTAGTGATACAATCAAATCCCATACCTGTGGAGTTTCTCCCACATGAGTGAGAGTTCTGAGCCCCACGTCAGGCTCCCCAGCCTGGGGGTCTGGCATTGGGAGGAGGAGCCCCCAGAGCATTTGGCTTTGATGGCCAGCTAGACTTGAGTACAGGAGCTCCACAGGACTGGGGGAAACAGGGACTCCATTCTTAGCACACAAAATGTTCACAAGCACTGGGGCCCAGGACAAAGCAGTAACTCCATTACAGCTTGGACCAGACCTACCTGTGGATCTTAGAGGATCTCCTGGGGAGGTGGGGGTCAGCTGTGGCCCATTGTGGGGACACTAGTGGTGGATGCCCCAGGCAACACTCATTGGTGTGAGCTCTCCCAGAGGTTGCCATTTGGCCATCAAGACCTGGCCCTGCCCAACAGCTTGCAGGCTCCAGTGCTGGGATGCCTCAGGCCAAACAACCAATAGGGTGGGAACACAGCCCCACTCATCAGCAAACAGGCTGCCTAAAGTCATCCAGAGCCAACAGCCTATAAACACCCTTTGACATGGCTCTGCCCACCTGAGGGACAAGACCCAGCTCCACTCACCAGTGGGCAGGCACCAGTCCCTCCCACCAGGAAGCCTGCACAAGACTCTTAGACCAACCTCACCCACCAGCAGGTAGGTACCAGTACCAAGTATTAAAATCCTGCAGCCTGAGAAATGGAGACCACAGACAAAGTTAGACAAAATGAGACGGCACAGAAATATGTTCCAGACAAAGGAACAAGATGAAACCACAGAAGAACAACTAAGTGAAGTGGAGATAGGCAATCACCCTGAAAAAGAATTCCGAGTAACGATAGTAAAGATAACAAGATCTCAGAAAAAGAATGGAGGCACAATACTGAAAGGATACAAGAAATGTTTAATAAAGAGCTAGAAACTTTAAAGAACAGAGATGAACAATAACTGAAACGAAAAATACACTAGAAGGAATCAATAACAGAGTGAGACAGAAGAACGAATAAGTGAGCTGGAAGACAGATTAGTGGAAATTACTGCTGTGAAAGAGAGTAAAGAAAGAAGAATGAAAAGAAATGAGGACAGTCTCAGAGCCTGGGACAACATTAAATGCACCAACATTTGCATTATAGTGGTCCCAGAAGGAGAAGAGAAAAGGGGTCTGAGAAAATATTTGCAGAGATAATAGCCGAAAACTTCCCTAACATGGGAAAGGAAACACTCAAGTCCAGGAAGCACAGAGAGTCCCATACAGGATAAACCCAAGCAGGAACACGGTGAGACACATATTAATCAAACTGACATAAATGAAAAACAGAAAATATTTAAAGCAACAAGAGAAAAGCAACAAATAACATGCAAGGGAGTTTCAGCTGATTTTTCAGCAGAAACTCTGCAGGCCACAAGGAAGTGGCATAATTTATTTAAAGTGATGAAAGGGAGAAACCTACAACCAAGAATACTCTAACTCTACCCAGCAAGGCTCTCGTTCAGATTTGACAGAGAAATGAAAAGCTTTACAGACAAGCAAAAGCTAACAGAATTCAGCACCACCAAACCAGCTTTACAACAAATGCTAAAGGAACTTACTGAGGCAGAAAAGAAGGCCACAACTAGAAACAAGAAAATTACAAATGGGAAAGCTCACCAGTAAAGACAAATATACTGAAAAGGTAGAAAATCATCCACACACAAATATGATATCAAAACCATCATTGTGAGGAGAATATAAATGCAGGATATTGGAAAAGCATTTGAAATTAAGAGACCAGCAACTAAAAACAATCTTGTATATATATAGACCGCTATATCAAAACCTCACAGTAACTGCAAACCAAAAATCTACAATAGATACACAGACAAAAAGAAAAAGCAATCCAAACACAACACTAAAGATAGTCATCAAATCACAAGAGAACAAAAGAGGAAGGGAAGAAAAAAGACCTACAAAAACAAATCCAAAACATGATGGCAATAAGAACATACATATTGATAATTTCCTTAAATGTAAATGGATGAAATGAGCCAACCAAAAGGCATAGACTGGCTGAATGGATACAAAAACAAGACCCATATATATGCTGTCTACAAGAGACCCACTTCAGATCTAGGGACAGGTAAAGACTGAAAGTGAGGGGATGGAAAAAGGTATTCCATACAAATGGAAATCAAAAGAAAGCTGGAGTAGCAATACTCAGACAAAATAGACTTTAAAATAAATACTGTTACAAGAGACAAAGAAGGACACTACATAATGATCAAGGGATCAATCCAAGAAGATATAACAATTATAAATATATATGCCTACAAAATAGGAGCACCTCAACATATAAGGCAAATGCCAACAGCCATAAAAGGAGGAACTGACATTAACACAATAATAGTGGGGGACTTTAACACACCATTTACATCAATGGACATTATCACCCAGACAGAAAATTAGTAAGGAAACAGGCCTTAAAAGACACATTAGACCTGATGGGCTTAATTGATATTTACAGAACATTCCATCTGGAAGCAGCAGAATACACATTCTTCTCAAGTATGCATGGAACATTCTCCAGGATAGATCATATGCTGGGCCACAAAGCAAGCCTCCATAAATTTAAGAAAATTGAAATCGCATCAAGCATCTTCTCCAACCACAACACTATGAGATTAGAAATCAATTACAGGAAAAAAAAAAACCTGTAGAAAAGTGCAAACATATGGAGCTAAACAATATGTTACTAAACGACCAATGGATCACTGAAGAAATCAAAGAGGAAATCAAAAACTACTTAGAGACAAATGACAACAAAAACACGATGATCCAAAACCTATGGGGCACAGCAAAAGCAGTTCTAAGAGGGAAGTTTATAGCAATGCTATCTTACCTCAGGAAACAAAAAATTCTCAAACAACCCAACCTTATACCTAAAGCAACTAGAGAAAGAAGAACAGGTAAAACCCAAAGTTAGTAAAAGGAAAGAAATCCTCACAATCAGAGCAGAAATAAATGAAATAGAAACAAAGAAAACAATAGAAAAGATCAATAAAACTAAAAGTTCATTCTTTGAAAAGACAGGCAAAATTGATAAAACTTTAGCCAGACTCATCAGAAGAAAAAGGGAGAGGGTTCAAATCAATAAAATTAGAACCGAAAAAGAAGTTACAACTGACACCACTGAAATACAAAGGACCATAAGAGACTACTACAAGCAACTATATGCCAATTAAATGGACACTCTAGAAGAAATGGACAACTTCTTAGAAAGGTACAACCTTCTAAGACTGAACCAGGAATAAATAGAAAATATAAACAGACCAGTCACAAGTACTGAAATTGAAACTGTGATTTAAAAACTTCCAACAAACAAAAGTCCAGGACCAGATGGTTTCACAGGTGAATTCTATCAAACATTTAAAGAAGAGTTAACACCTATCCTTCTGAAACTATTCCAAAAAATTGCAGAGGAAGGAACACTCCCAAACTCATTCTATATGGCCACCATCACCCTGATACCAAAACCAGACAAAGATACCACAAAAAAAGAAAATTACAGGCCAATATCACTGATGATAAAAAAATCCTCAACAAAATACTAGCAAACAGAATCCAACAATACATTAAAAGGATCATACACCATTATCAAGTAAGATATATACCAGGGATGCAAGGACTTTTCCATATCTGCAAATCACTCAGTGTGATACACCACATGAACAAACTGAAGAATAAAACCCATATGATCATCTCAGTAGATGCAGAAAAAGCTTTTGACAAAATTCAACACCCATTTATGATAAAAAAAAAAAACTCTCCAGAAAGTGGGCCTAGAGGGAACTTATCCCAACATAATAAAGAATTAAAATATGACATATGACAGACACACAGCTAACATCATTCTCAATGGTGAAAAGCTGAAAGCATTTCCACTAAGATCAGGAACAAGACAAGGATGTCCACTCTTGCCACTTTTATTCAACATAGTTTTGGAAGTCCTAGCCTCAGCAATCAGAGAAAAAAAATAAAAGGAACCCAAATTGGAAAAGAAGTAAAACTGTCACTGTTTGCAGATGACATGATACTATACATAGAAAATGCTAAAGATACTGCCAGAAAACTACTAGAGCTCATCAATGAATTCAGTAAGGTTGCAGGATACAAAATTAATGCACAGAAATCTCTTGTATTCCTATATATTAACAATGAAAGATCAGAAAAAGAAATTAAGGAAACAATTCCGTTCACCATTGCAAAAAAAAGAATAAAATACCCAGGAATAAACCCACCTAAGGAGGCAAAAGACCTGTACTCTGAAAACTATAAGATGCTGATGAAAGAAATTGAAGATGACACAAACAGTTGGAAAGATATACCATGTTCTTGGATTGGAAGAATCAACACTGTCAAAATGACTATACTACCCAAGGCAATCTACAGATTCAGTGCAATCCCTATCAAATTACCTATGGCATTTTTCAAAGAACTAGAACAAATTTTTTTTTTAATTTGTATGGAAACACAAAAGACCCCAAATAGCCATAGCAATCCTGAGAAAGAAAAACAGAGATGGAGGAATCAGGCACTTTGACTTCAGACTATACTACAAAGCTACAGTAATCAAAACAGTATGGTCCTAGCACAAAAACAGACACATACATCAATGGAACAGGATAGAAAACCCCAAAATAAACCCATGCACCTATGGTCAATTAATCTACAACAAATGAGGAAAGGACATACAATGTAGAAAAGACAGTCTCTTCAATAAGTGGTGCTGGGAAAACTGGACAGATACACACACATTAATAAAAGAATGAAACCAGAACATTCTCTAACACCATACACAAAAATAAACTCAAAATGGATTAAAGACCTAAATGTAAGACTGGATACTATAAAACTCTTAGAGGAAAACATAGGCAGAACACTCTTTGACATAAGTCACAGCAATATCTTTTTGGATCCACCTCCCAGAGTAATGAAAATAAAAATAAACAAATGGGACCTAATTAAACTTAAAAGCTTTTGCACAGCAAAGGAAACCATAAACAAAATGAAAAGACAGCCCACAGAATGGGAGAAAATATTTGCAAACAAAGTGACCACCAAGGGATTAATCTCCAAAATATACTAACAGCTCATGCAGCTCTATATAAAAAAAAACAAACAACCCAATCAAAAAATGGGCAGAACAGCTAAATAGACATTTCTTCAAAGAAGATATACAGATGGCCAAAACGCACATGAAAAGATGTTCAGAGAAATAAAAATCAAAACTACAATGAGGTATCACCTCACACCAGTCAGAATGCCATCATCAAAAAGTCTACAAACAATAAATGCTGGAGAGGGTGTGGAGAAAAGGGAACCCTCCTACAGTGTTGGTGGGAATATAAATTGACACAACCATTATGGAGGTTCCTTAAACAACTAAAAATAGAGCTACCATATGATCCAGCAATCCCACTCCTAGGCATATATCCGGAGAAAACCATAATTTGAAAAGATACATGCACCACAATGTTCACTGCAGCACTATTTACAATAGCCAAGACATGGAAGCAACCTAAATGTCCATCAATAGAGGAATGGATAAAGACATGGTACATATATACAATGGAATATTACTCAGCCATAAAAAAATGAAATAATGCCACTTGCAGCAACATGGATGGGCCTAGAGATTATCATACTAAGTGAAGTAAGTCAGACAAAGACAAATATCATATGATATCACTTATATGTGGAATCTAAAAAAATGATACAAATGAACTTATTTACAAAACAGAAACAGACTCATAGACTTTGAAAACAAATTTAGTTACCAAAGGGAAAAGGTAAGGGGAGGGATAAATTAGGAGTTTGGGATTAACATATACACACTACTATATATAACACAGATAATCAACAAGGACCTACTATATAGCACAGGGAACTCTACTCAATAATCTGTAATAACCTATATGGGAAAAGAATCTGAAAAAGAATGGATATATGTATATGTATAACTGAATCACTTTGCTGGACACCTGAAACTAACACAACACTGTAAATCACCTATACTCTAATATGAAATAAAAATTTTTTAAAAAGCCAGAAGGTAGCAATTGGGTATTGCAGCTTAAAGGAAATGAATGGTAGGAATCTGCATCTTTTTTAAACAGTTCTGGGCTGTGGCCCAAATTTGTTGACTCCAATTAGAAAAATCAGGACCTGATTTAGAGTTTGAGGTAAGGACTCCTTCCCAGAAGGAAGCATTGACATCACAACTTTCAGCAGGCTCCACATCTCCCTCCAAGCCCAGCTCTGCCCCAAGAGCCTACAGGGGGTTTTTTCTGACATCAATCATCCCTGGGCTGGTCCTTCGCAGTTCCCGCCGGGGCTTGGGGAAGGGCCCAAGGTTCCGGGGCAGACCCATCTCACCCACAGGTAGCATCCGCCCCACCAAGGGTTCAGCGGCCTCCCGCTGCCGTAGCTCCTCAGGGGAACCCTGCTCCTCGCTGCACAGGCTCGAGCGTTTCCATGTCAATGGTAACGGGGCATGTACCAAGTCCCGCATCTCCTCACGGGCGCGGGGCACACCCTCAGTGACGGGGGGCTGCCACAGAGGCTCAGGTGCCGGGTGGGGCTCGTCTTCACTTCCAGGGGCTTGTCTGTTCTCCGGGCACAGGGTCCTCTTCTCCCCACCTGTCACTGGGAATAACAACATCCTTGTCAGAAATGGAGTAGCAGCACCTTTCTGAAGTCCTAGCTTTCCAATGCCCCAGTGCAATAAGCAACATGTGAAATGACCCAAGAGCTGAAGTTAGAGTGGTTTCTAAGCTTTCTCCAAAACAAAGAAAACCTGACATCAGGGCAAAGCATTGGCCAGCTTGGTGACAGCACATAACAATTACCCCTGCTCTGGCCCGCAGCATTCAAACTACTGAGCTTCTGTTTCAGTTCCTGGTTGATCCACATGTGGCGGCCCAGCTCCTTCTCCAGAGCCTGAATTCTGGTCTCATACTGCCTCTTGCTGTCTGCTAACCCTTCACCAAGGTGGTCTGGAGGGAAAAGGCAGAAACAGGTGGCAAGGGGCTGTGGGCAGGCAGCAGTCACCACGGCCTTTGGGGCAGGACTGGGCCTCACCTCGACTCTGCTGGAGGAGGAGCTGGATGTTCTGCTCATGCTCCTTCTGCTGCAGGGTCAGCTGGCGGTCCATCTCCAGGCGCTGCCGCTCTAGAGCCACCTCCAGCCAATAGACCAGCCTCTGCTGCTCCTCCAGCTGCATCTCCAGCTCCGAGAAGGCAATCTGCTGCTGGTGCTGCTCCTCTCGGAGCGTCACCACCTGTCCCAAGGCCCAGCCAGGCTCAGCCCCAGTGCCGGCTCCCTTCACCCAGGGGATCCTCAACCAGGGGCAGCAGGTATTTGGCGAACTAGCCACCAACATCATCAACCTTCTCCCACTGAGTTCCAGAAGGAGGAGTCAGGGGCTCGTGGGCCAGTGACCCACCTTGTCAAAGTACTTGCAGAGTAGGGCTCTGGTCTCCGAGGATGAGAGGTAGCTGAGCTTGGCCATGAGGTTCATCTCGCACTGGGACAGCAAGGAGGCCGAGGCCCGCAGCACCCGCTGGCGGCACGTGATGGCCTCGTTCTTGTACTCGATGGCAGCGTCCAGGGCCTCGATGGCCTCGTCCAGCTGGAACAGCGTCCGCTCCTCCTGCGGGGACATGGGACGTGTGGAGGTGGAGCGCTGGCTTCCTGCTCCACGGAACGCCCGCTCCCTGAACAGGTCCTGGGCAGGCTTGCAACAGTCACACGCAGCCATGACTCAGCCCGTACGTGTCCCCTCGTCCTAGCGCAGAGTCAGCACATGGAGAGAGGGGCCCCTGGCCACTACGGCAGGAACAGGGACACTTCCATCTCAGCCTCAGCCCGGGGGGGTACGGGAGGCTGGGGCTCGCCAAGAGGCTGCCCCCTGGAGCACGTGGCCTCTGGCGTGACCTGCACTCGGGAGACCCTGCACTGAAGGGAAGGCGTGCTGGGACCACAGAGGCACCCAGGATCTGCTGAGGTCCGCTGCTCTTAACATGGGCTTTCTCTGCTCTCAGGAGGGCAAACCTGTGTGGCTGAGGTGTGCTGACATGGTCCCAACTCTCATCCCACGTTAGGGAGTTGAGAGGTGTGAGCACGTGATACATACACAAGGTCAACGTGCCGCAGGACGCGGAACGAGTCCAGAGTCCAGCTGGGCGGGACCGAGGGCAGCCAGGCCCTAGCCGTGTGTCCCAGACATGGGGGCTGGAGCGGTGGGGGGGAGGGCCAGTTCTGTGCGTTCTTGGTGGGCTAACACCCGGGAGGAACGCGTGCGTGTCCAAAAGCAGCAAGGCCCGCACCCAGCGTGCAGCAGGCAGCCAGGGCCAGCCTGCGGGGCGCACCTCAGGCGACAGCAGGCTGCCCTGCCTCAGCTTGCCGTCAATCTCCAGCCGCTGCTTCAGCAGCGCGTCCTTCTCCTGGCGCAGGGCGTCGATCTCCCCACGGATCTGCTGCTGGCTCTGGGCGCTGCCCTGCCGCAGCTGCCCGCTCTTCTCGGAGAGCTCCTTCTCCAGGTGCTCCAGCCGGCTGGACACACGCACAATGTCCTCGTTGAGGGCCTGTGGGTGGCACAGCTAGCGATTAGGGAAGAAGCAGGCCCCATCCTCCCCAGGGCGACAGGGATGGCCCAGCCCCACCACGGGATGCTAAGGAGTGCTGCTCCGCGGGAGGCCTGACTCTCAGCTCTGCATAAGCCGGGGAGTGGGCACCTATGGGACCCGAGCCTCTGAAGAGGGGCCCCCAGAGACGGCCTGGAAGGAGGATACAGACAAGTTGAGGAAAGGGCAGTCCTGACAAGGAGGGAACAACCCAGGCAGAAACAGAGCGGGATGGTGGTGGCCTGTTACGGCGATGACGTGACTCCAGCTTGCGATGGGAATTATGGGGAATCAGTGGCCAAATCCCAAAGGCCCTTCTGGGAACCTGATGTGGGAGGAAGTAAGGGCTCTAGTGGCCAAGGGAAGTTCCAGATAATCCAGCTGAATCCTCTTGGACTCCATGAGGGCAGAAGTGAGTCTGGAACCCTGTGGGAATCTAGCCTGAGCACCCGCTCCTGGAACAGGCTCTGGGCTTTGTGTGTGACATACGCCTTCTCTGATCCTCATGACCACACTGTGATTCCATCTGACAGAGGAGGAAGGTATGGCTCAGAAGCTTCCTGCTCAAGAGGAGGCAATGAAGCCTAGCAGAGCTGGGTGGGGCCAGGTTCGTCTGCCTCCAGTGCCAGTGAAAGCTCTTCCTCTCTGGCCATACCACCTCTCCATACCTGTGGTTCCCTGTTCTGCCTGCACAGTCCAGAGCAGGTGGTTAATGAGGTAAAATGAATTGTGGGATAGATCCTTGGAGAGGTTCTTCTACCCACACAGCAGCACCTGCATCACAGACACTCTAAAGCCCTAGAATTCTTGAGAGATCCATAGGATATAGCCTGACCTGGCTGGAACTTACCTGGCAGGGACATCACCTAGAAGAACCGCACCTGTCTAGAACTCACCTGGCAGTGTTATCAACCGGAGAGATCTCACTTGGAAGGACCTCACCTGATGGAGTCTCACCTGGCAGGACCTCACCCGGCAGAAACTCAACTGGCAGGCTCTCTCCTTGCTGGACTTCACCTGGCAGGGCCTCCCATGGCAGGGCCTCATCGGGTAGGGCCTCACCTGGCAGGACCTCACCTGGCTGGACCGCAGGCGCTTGCTCTCCAGCCCCGTCTTCTCCTGCATCAGGGCCTCCTTCTTGGCTAGGATGGCCTCCCGCTTGTGGAGCTCCTCCCCTAGCTCCTCCAGCGCCCGCCGCTGCTGTAGGACCTTCTCCATCTCCTGGTCCAGCCACTTCTTCTGCTCCTCAATCTTCTGAGGGACAGTAGAGGCGGGGAGGGAACTCAGCTCTCACCTCTGGCTGCGTGGGTGGTGCAGGCGGCCGCCCGGGTCAGGTGGGGAGAATGGTGTACCCACTATCTGACCCCCCGGGGACTCTAGCAACTGGCCAGGCTGCCCAGCCAGGCTGTGGGTGCCCCTGGGGGTGCAGGCGCAGCCCAGGCCCCACCTGCTGCTGCTCCAGGCTGACAACAGAGCCGTTGCTGCCGCTGCGCCGCTTCCTCTGAAATGCCGCAATCTCTTCTGTCTTGATCTTCAGGATCTTTTGCTGCTGCTCGTGCTTCAGCTCCAGCTCCTGGGGATGTGCAGGGTGAGAAGCTCAGTGGGCAGGGCCGTGAGTGGTGCCCGCATCCTCCCAGAGCCTGTAATCCCCCAAGCCCAAAGGAGTGCCTACCCTGCTCCCAAGACAGCCCTGCACGGCAACCCCCAGCCTCGCCACCCCCAAGTCTCGCTGGGGACCCGCAAAGAGAAGCAAACATTTGCAAGACGCCAGTCCCCTTATATAATTCATCCTACTGAATTCTCACCCAAGCCCTGAGTTTCCCATAACTCTCCTCATTTTCAAGTAAAAAATCAAACTCAGGGAAGCCAAGTGAGCCGCTTTATAAGGTCACGTGGCTGTAAGTGCTCCCCCGGCTGTGTGCCCCGCCTGGCCTCCTGGCTGGGACACAGGCACCCCACCGCCCAAGCGCCCGACCTTGACACGGTGCTGCCGCTTGTTCATCTCTGTCTCCAGGCGCCGCTTCTGCTCTGTCTCCTCACGAAGCCGCCTTTGCAGCTGCCCCTGCTGCTGCCGCATGAGCTGCACATTCCTCTCCAGCTCCTGCAGCCGCTTCTCGCTCTGGGCCGACAGCGACACCAGCCGCTCTGTCGCCTGCTTCTTCTCCTTCAGCACCTGGGACCAACACAGCCTCTGCTGCGCCACGCGTGGGGGCTGCCGAGAGCCTGGCATGGTGCCGGGCACTCAACAAGGGCAGGCAGGACAGAAGAACGGCGCATAGAGGGACAGACAGAAGGGAAAACAGGCAGATGGATGACGGACTAATTAAAATATCAAAATTATAAGAATGTCAAGATACTACGACGCTTATTACGTACCAAGCGCTACATCAAGTGCTCTCAGTACACTAAATGGTCCTAACAATCTGATGAAAAGGTTTTAAAGGTTTCCTACTTAACAGATTAGGAAACTGAGGCACAGAGAGGCTAGGAAACTTGACCAAAGACACATAGCTAGTAAATGGCAGAGCTGGGATTCAAACCCAAGCAGTCAAGGCTCCAGAACCTGTGCTCTTAATCACTCTACTGTACGGTCTCTTGGACACCTGAACTGAGAAAAGAAGGAATGAATAATGGATGGACAGCTGCAAAGAAGAATGGATGGCAGGGTGGGTGGACAGATGATGGGATCATATAAAGGTAAAAAACAGGATGGACAGATAATGCAAGGGTCCATCAAGGGGAATAGAAAGACAAATGAATAGACACATAAATGGACAGTTAGTCATACCAACTGATAAAAGGACAATCGGATGGATGGATTAGATAGACACATGGACTGATGGGTGGACAGACAGAGGGATGATGGTTTGGAGAGGTGGGTAAATGGAGAACAGATGGAGGGAGGCGGGGGGAGCTGCAGGAGGGAAGGCTGGTTTCTCCCGATGCCCACCCCTCACCCTCACTGGTCTCCTAGATGGTCTTCGGGCAGGCCCCACCTCCCTGCCTCTGCTGTGTTTAAAGCTGAGCCGACTCCCAGCACCGCCAGCTTCTATCTAATGCCAGCCTCACCCTGAGAGACCAGGAGGGTGTTAGTGCCACCAGCCGGGGCTGGGGCACGAGGGCCTGAGCACCCACAGGTTCCACAGTGAGCTTGGGCTCCAGGGCTCACATGTCTTGATCCCAGGACCCCAGCCTGGGAGGTTGCAACCACCACCCCCAGGGTCCGGACAGGTCAGTACCTGCACTTGGCTCTGAGCGGCAGCAACCCTCTTGCGGAACTCCTGGAGCTGCGAACACTCGCTGGCGTCCTGGGGCTCCTTGCCCTCAAGCTCCCGCAGCTGCCTCTGGCCTTCACTCAGCTCAGTCCGCACCCGCTCTGCCTCCTGCTCCAGCTCCCGGATGCGCTGGCTGTGCTGGCGGTTCAGGGCCTGGGCCGCCTTCCCTGGAAGAAAAGGCGAGGGTCGTGTCAGCACAGCCCCTCTGCCTGAAAAGCATTGTAGATCGTTCCCCTGGGAGCTTTTACAGACCTCTGTCAGCCCTGGACACCTACATGGATTTTGCCACGACTCTGTACCCCTAGAACTGTGATTTACTTAATATTTTTCTTTAAATTGACACATTTTTTAAAATAGTCTTATCCATAGCAGTGACCCAGGGAAAATATGGGTTTACTTGTTTTACTTTTAACTAACACATGCTAAAGTAAATACGTAACTTGAGTCTGCATGCAACTAAGCCTCTAGAACTAACTTCCATTTGTAGGAAATATGAAGGACAGAGGGACAAGCTAAATGACACCACAGGAAGCTAACAGACAAAACCCAGAACATTTGGAGTTTGGAACATTCTATAGGATGACTGTGTAAAGGTGAGAGAAGGGAGATTTCAGAGAACTAACGTGCAAATATAATGTGTGGACAAGCCCGGAGCTGCACACAGACACTGCTGAAGAGCTGCTTCTGCTCTGGGCATTGAGAGGGCATTCTGTTAGATGTGCTAATGGCATTTTGGTTAAAATGTTGAAAAAGAGGCATACTGAAAGGTGTAGGGATGAAATGACATGCTGTCCTGGATTTGCTTCAAAATATTTCAGCAAAGAAAAAAGGGAGAGATAAAACAAATGTGAGCAAAGCTTGGAAATGCTAAATCTGGTGATAGGGACTCTCATATGTCTAGTTGAAATTGTTCCCAGTGCATTTTGGAATAAATAAAATTATAACTATTAAAATTAAAAAGCTCAACTAGTCACCACCGAAAATCATCCCCTGCTCGTTCACCAGTATCACCAGTAGTAGACGTAGATGATTTGGGGACACTGTTTGCTCCCAAGGACCAGGAGATTCTGTGCCCAGTGCGGTGCCTGACACACAGCAATTGATTAATAATATTGGGTTGGCCAAAAAGTTCGTTTGAAAACCCGAACGAACTCTTCAGCCAACCCAATAATAAGAACTAATGCTTCCTGAAAGCCAGCCTAAGCACTTCACTTGAATTAGCTCATTTCAACAACCTATAAAGCAGGTTCAGTTACTATCTCCATTTCAGAGAGGAGAAAACTGAAGCACAGAGGCATTATCCTACCTGCTCAAGGTCACATATCTGGAAGAAACTGAGCTGGTTTACCAAACCTATGCCACCTGGACCCCGCTCCTAACCACCCTCAGGTGGGAGGCCAGCCCAAAAGCCCTCCCCCTCACCTGTGCGGACCAGCTCGCCTATGAGCTCCTCCTTCATGCGGATGTTGATGGCCAGCTCACGGATCTTCTGCTGGGCTTGGGCCAGCCGCCACTCAGAGGCCATGGCAGTAGGGGCCTGGTGGGGCCGAACCAGGGCCTGGCTCCCACCAACCACTGTAATAGGCTGACTGTCAGGGCCGCTGTCCCAGCTAACAGTCGGGGCCGGCAGAAGATCCGTGAGCTGGCCATCAACATCCGCATGAAGGAGGAGCTCATAGGCGAGCTGGTCCGCACAGGTGAGGGGGAGGGCTTAGGGGGGGGGAGGGAGGGGAGGGGAGGGGAGGGGCATGCCCTGGCCAGCGGCAGCCAGGGGTTGTGTGTGGACTGTCCAGGGTGGCCAGTCCAGGACCATGAAGGGGAAAAGGGGTCAGGACCCTCTCTGTGCCCTACCCATCTCACCTCTGTGCCCCAGGATGGTTGCACCCAGCTCCTCCAGGCGAAGCTCTGGGCCCTTCCTGTTGAGTGGACTCCCTGGGAGGGCCCCCATCCTCTGGCTCCCCTTACTGATCCTATTCCTGGAGGGCAGAAGTGGGAGCCTGTACCCCTCCCCAGCCCAGCTACCTCCTGGGCCCAGGAGGGGAAGAGAGGCCACCAGGGTCACTGTGACCCCAGGATGTCAGTCTGGCAGAATTCTGAGGCCAGCAGCTGAGCTTAGAGGGTGCAGGGCAGCTGGGGGAACTGAGGGCCACCTTGGAGGCTGAGAACCAGGAGGTCTGGGCCCATCCCCTCAGCACACTCACCCCAGCAAGAACTCTTGATTCAGAGCCCATAGTCCCTGCCTGCTCTCCCCCAAGGGCCGGCCAGGGCAACGCAGGTGAGGGCACCCTGAGACCCCAGTGGGATCCTCCTCCTGCCCAGCCGGGGCCCTGAGCCGGTCCTTGTCAGGTGGGCCGTGGGTCCCACTCACCTGCATGGGTGCAGGATCCGTCGGGGTGGCTCCTCCTCCCCCCCCTCCTCCTCTTCCTCTGATGCAGCTGAAGAGCCACTTCCCAGCCTCTCTCCCTCTGCCAGCAACTTGGCTCCAATCTCCCCGCCATTTGTCACTTGCTAGGGGAATGCCAGGTTTCAGGATAGGAAGCTTCTAGGGCATTCTCCATCAGCCATCTCCCACCACCAAGTCTTTGCTCCCACCTACACCCACCTTGCATGCTCCTCACATCTCTACCTCTTCCAGCCCTACCTTACCTTCAGGATCTAGCTCAAATGACACCTCTGGGAAGCCTTTCCAGTCTCAAGTCAGAGCAGGAGCTTCCTCCCTCTTCCCTCGCTCCTTCCTCTTCTCCCCCTCTTCTCTTCCCCCTCTCCACCCCTGCTCCGGCTCCCATAGCAAACCTGGCACTCCTCGGGGGACAACTGGTCCTTTCTGTCTCGTATACAGGTCATCTGCACCAAGTTTTATCTCACCAACAACGCCCTGCTAGAGTAGGGGGGCTGCATAACAGGCTTCTGCCAAACCCACGTCCTCCCTCTCCTCAGTCCCTCAGGCCTTTAGAGCTGAGATGACCCAGAGCTCTCAGGCAGATGCAGGAGCAGCCTTTGTCCAAAAGGCCCCAAGTGACAGAACTAGAAACAAGAGACCAGGCTTGAGGAGCAGATTAGAGCTCAGGAAAGAGTGAACTTGCAAAGAAACATGTCCAAAGATGGAGAGGGTGTGGCCTCGGAGGTGATGAGCTCCCCACCCCTGGAGGTATGTGAGCTTTCCACTCCATACTGGAAGCCAGAAGCCCCTCTATAACCTCCTCACTCTGAGCGATCCCAGGTACTCCAGGGATGCTCAATGGCACCAGATCCTTCTGAGAAGCCCTACCCAAATTTTGGCCATTCCTCTAGAAACACCAGAAAGGGGCATCTCATAGCTGGTCCCATGAAAGCATGGGGTGAGGGACACATTCCCCAGCATCACCTTCCCCTGCCAGAGCCTGCCCAGGTCAACAGGCCCAGCAGACACGCCACCTCCTCACCTCTCCCCAATTCTCAGGGCCAACTTCATCTCCAGGAAGGCAAGCAGGGGGCACCATGCCCAGCACATGGGTGTGGGCACCCCCCAGGGGGGCTGTGTGAGGCCGGGGCATTATGGACTCAGGAGGAAAGCCCTGCAAGAGCCCTGGGGCCCCCCAGCCAGGCCGCACCAGCTCCAGCCGCAGCCGCAGCTCTGCCATCTCCTCCTGCTGCTCACGAAGACGGTCGCTCTGCAAGACACGGTCCAAGTGCTGATGGGGCAACGTGGATGTGCGAAAGGTGGGGTGCAGGGATGCTGAGAGGCAGAAGTGCAGGAAACTGAAGAGCACGCCTGAGGCCACCCTGCCCTCTCTGTGCTAAAATGCAGGAGGGCTAAATACCTCTGACCACCTCTTGGTGTCCCTCCCACGCACACACACTGCATCAGTTCCGGTTCAAACTCACCCACCCTGCCACATCCTATCCCTCCCTCCATATCCATGCCATTCACTGCCACCAGAGGGCGCCAGGAGCAATGCTGACCCAGTTACCCTGGGACAAAAGGAAAAGCCCAGCTCTGGAGTCTCATTCTGCTACCCCTCCAGTCCCACTTCCTATCCATCCTCATGACCATCCTGCACACCCACCCGCACCAATGTGTTCCTCACCTCCACACTTTTGCTCATACTGCGCACCCCGTATCTCTACCCATCCTGCCAGAACCCGCCCCCCCCCCCCCACACACAGCTAACTTCCTCTCATCCTGACAGGCTCAGCTCAGTTTCACCTCCCAGCAGAAGTGCCCCCCACCACCACTGTGGAAGGGGGTGCCCCACCTGCAGCTTGTACTGCTCCATGGCGTCCTCCAGCGCAGCCAGAAAGTCTCGGTTCTCCTCCTCCAGCCGGGCCACCTGGCTCTGCAGGGCCAGCAGCTGCAGTGCCCCCTCATCTTCCTATGGGGCCGGGAGAGAAGCTTCAGGGGCAGGAGCTGTCAAGACAAGCCTGCCTGTCCCTGAGATACCTCAGCCCTCTCCCTGCCCTGCCAGAGGTTCCCCTAGCCGGGCTTGCTACTCTGCTCCAAGCCCCGCCTGCAACAGGGGCTCGAGACCCCACCTGGCCTGCAGTCCCCTCCACAAGCCATTGGGCCAGCTCTTGTAATTATTAATCATATTTTCATTAACAATAACATCACTATTATTAGGAACAACTAGCCTTCACCTGCACTTGTGACACCTTCAGTCCTTACATCACCAGGAGGTAGATACTAATGCTATCCCTATTTTATAGATAGAGACCCTGAGGACTGGAAAGTCATCAAGGTCACCAGCAGAAGTGCCTCTGAATCCCGAATGTGCTCTGCTAATGAGCAAGGGACAGGGACACAGCTAGCTGTATGAAGACTTTCTTCCTTCCCCATCCCCTCCCCACCCCTAGGCCACACCTGACCCTTGGCCACCTTTCGTCCGCCGGGTCCCTGCATGGCCTGCTCCTCGGCGGAGGCACTCTCGATGCCGCTGTCAGGCCCGGAGGCAGAGCTTAGGGCGCTGCGCTCACCCTCGACGGCGCACAGCCAGTCGCGCACCTTGCGGGCGGCGGCGCCAGGCAGCCCAGGCTCGGCCTGTAGCTCGCGCAGGAGGCTGTAAGCGGCGTCGGTGCGGGCCCGGTAGCGAGCGCACTCGGCGCCAAGGCGGGCGGCAGCCGCGGCGGTGGGGCCCAGGGCGCGCCGGCCCCGGTGGATGATGCGCGTCTCCGAGCGGTGTCTAGGCGGCCCCCGCGGGCCAGCGGCTGCCTCCTCGGGCGCCCGCTCGGCCTCAGGCCGCCAGTTGACAGTGGCGCAGTTGCGGATGTTCTGGGCACGGCTGGCGTAGTTCAGGGTGTTGAGAGTCTCGTCGAAGTCCGAGGAGGAAGGGCTGACGCAGGCGATCATCACTGTCTTGGCATTCCCGCCCAGGGAGTCTTTGAGGATCCTGAGGGCGCCAGGCAAGACGCGTTAGGGGTCCCAACGTGCCAGGTCCAGACCCCAAACCGGGTCCGATCCTCGGCTTGCTTCCCCATGGGCCGGATACCTCGAACCGCCTGATGGGGACCCATCTCCTAGTCGCCTCCCCCCAACCCCAGAGGCCAGACAGTAGCTAGAACAGACTAGCACGGCTCTTGGGGCCCCTTCTCTGGCCAGCGGCCAGCGGCGGCTCACCGGGTGATCTTGGAGTCCCGGTAGGGGATGTGGCTGCCACGGCGCTGGGGGTCACCCAGGGCGCTGATGACGTTGCCCAGCGCCAAGAGGCTGCTGTTGATCTGGATGCTCTCCTTGAGCCGCTCGCCTGTGCTGCCCGTCTTGAGCACCCTCTCTGAGCCCGCCAAGTCCACGAAGTGGAACTTGGAGATGAGCAGCTGGCCCGCGGCAGGTCGGGGGAGGCGGCTGGGGGCGCGCCCCCGCTGCTCCAGGGTCACGGTGAACACAGTGTGTGAGCGGCTGGAGAGGCGGTTGAGGTGTGTGGCCCCCGTGTGCCGTGCTGCATTGCCCATCTCCAGGAGGCTCAGCACCTCATCCAGGCCCTCCACGTCCACCTCCTTCACTCCACACAGCACTGCGGGCACAGAAGGCCATGAGCCCAGGGCAGGGGCAGCCTGAGACTGACAGCCAGGAGAGCAGGCAGAGCACGGCTGGTCCTCTAAAGCTCTTCCTGACTCAGGGGTCCCTTCCCCATGCCCAGGGGGTCCTGCCCATACTGGCTGGGGCTTGAGGGGGCTCCAGCTTCCCCACGCTTACCTCAATGCCTATCACTCTGGGCACACCAATGTATACTGAACTCAGTAGGGACGGGAAGTGAAAGCAAAACTTTCCAGAGCTTGGTTTCCCAGTTAGGAGGTACCCCCACCAGACAGGTAAGGCACCCTAAGCAGGTAAAGCCTCCCCAAGCCAGGTATCCCGCTCCCAGCCAGTGGAAGACCCAGGAGTTCCTCACCAACATTCCCACGATCATCTTCCCGAAGCTGGATGTCACGGCTGGCGGTGCCCACCTCCAGCAGGTCTCGGAACTCCTCCTTGTACACTTCCAGGTAGGACACGTGCACCAGACAGTCAAGAAGGTCATTCTCATCAATCAGCTTAAAGGCCTCAGCCATGGCCCGTGGGATGATGCCCTGCTCGTCCTCGTGAAGAGAGGCTGAGGAGACACCGCAGGGCCTCCTGCCACCATGCTTTCAGCTGGATGTGACACCCACAAGGCCCAGAAGCCCCTAGCAGCAGCTGGAGGATGGGGCTCCAGTGTGGAGAAGGCAGCAGCAGAGGCCAGGATGGGCTGGGCAGCCTGAGCCAGGCCATGCCCCAGGGTGGTCAGGCAGAATTTCAGAGTTGGAAGCAACCTCTCAAGGTTCAACCAATCCCTTTCATGATGTAAGCATCCCCTCCACTACATCCCTGCCAGGCGGTCAGATACCCTTTGCTTGATTACTCCTGGAGACTCATTACCATAGTCTATGCTCAGTTATCTAAAGGACCTCCTGAATTTATCCCAAGGAAGTAATAAGAGGATATTCAGAACATATTCTTCCTCATAACTCAATAAAAATGTAAACATCCTAAGTGTCCATCCTAACATCCAAAAAGGGGATCTGGTTAAATAAGTTACCTTATACTCACAATGGCATGCCAGGCAGCCATTAAAATTTTTGATTGAAGAATATTTAATGATACAGAGAAATGTTCATGATATACTGTTAAGAAAATAAAACAGGATACAAAAGAATGGGTACACTATAATACCATTTTTTAACGTATACTAATTTTCACCCAGAAAGACTGAAATGCTAACAGGGTGAGTGATTTCTGAAAGGCAATTATCAAGTAAGTTTTATTTTGTGTATGTGTTTTCTGTATTTTCCTAATTTTCCACAGCAAACATGTACACTTTTAAAACCTAGGATAAAGCAGTTCATGCTCTTTAAAAGGGGGAAGTTCCTTCAGTTGGCCCAAAGCATCTCTCCCAAAACTCTGCTCCAGAGCCTCATGGAACCAGCCTGCTTCCCTGCTATGCAGCGGCCAAAGCATATCTCTTCCAGGACAGTTCCCCTTCCAACCACTCTGACTAGAACATGGATTCCTGACCCCCAGCAGCCATCCTAACAACCTCCAGAGACAAGCCAACTTCCCGTGCCCTTCCTCCCCGTGAGGTCCCCACAGCCAGACAGCATGGTCCCATCTCTATGGAGTTGAGAAGGTCACTCACCTCCGAGGACTCTTCCTGCCTGCCCGACCCAGCCCACTGACACAGCTGGTCCCACTCCGGGCTGCAGATCTGTTTAGGAAACCTGCCCCTCCCCCCTCCCCCAGCATCCTCATCTTCAACAGAGAATGGCAGCAAGAGGGCAGGGGCAGAAATTCAGGAGACACTGAGGACCCTCAACAAGGGCAGGGGGCCTCAAGCAGGGACACTCACCCACACTGGCCTCCCCCATGGTGTACGTCTTCCCGGAGCCTGTCTGACCGTAGGCAAAGACGGTGGCATTGAAGCCCTCAAAAAAAGCCTCGAGGAGGGGTTGCACGCAGGCCTGGTACACAGCCTCCTGCCCGGTGTCCTCGTCCAGCACTACGTGGAAGCCAAAGTGGCGGTCCCGGCCCAAAGTGACCCGGCCGTGCCCCGGCTCCACCCTCAGGCAGCTCTGGTGCCCGTGCAGCAGCTCCTTGGGCAGCAATGGGCGGACTCGAAGGGCCACCCTCACTGGGGCCTCCTCAGCCCCTGGCAGCCTCTGGGCCTCCAGCCCCATGTCGAGGGAAGGCTGTTCCCTGCCCTGCGAAGAGAGGAAGAGGCCCCTGCCATCAGCACCTGGACTCACTTTGCAGATGACCTGGAGCCAGATCCTGCAGCTCCCGACCTTGCAGGGATTAAAAGGGAGGGTGGTCAAAACTCAGAACATCCTCCGTGCCCCAACCTAATGCCCAGATGCTGCAAGGGCCACGATAAAATCCTGCACAGTAACATTTCATGGTTCCCATCACTGGCAAAATAAGGCCCTAACTCCTCCACCTAACATCCAAGGGTTTCTGTGTTCCAGCTGCATCCTTCCCCTGGGACCCTATCTCCTAGAAGGAAGACACACAGACACACACACAAGCAGCACCACATCAGGGATCTCTTTTCCCTAACACCCATTGGGTTTTCCATAGTCTCTGCCTTTGTCATCTCACATCCCCTGCTCCACCTTCTTAAAAAGAGTCAGCACAGGACAGGAATAAAGATGCAGACGTAGAGAATGGACTTGAGGACACAGGGAGGCGGAAGGAGAAGCTGGGATGAAGTGAGAGAGTGGCATGGACATATATACATTACCAAATGTAAAATAGCCAGTGGGAAGCAGCCGCATAGGACAGGGAGATCAGCTCAGTGCTTTGTGACCACCTAGAGGGGTGGGATAGGGAGGGTGGGAGGGAGGGAGACGCAAGAAGGAGGAGATATGGGGATATGTGTACACATATAGCTGATTCACTTTGTTATACAGCAGAAACTAACACACCATTGTAAAGCAATTATACTCCAATAAAGATGTTAAAAAAAAAAAAAGCAGGGCTTCCCTGGTGGCGCAGTGGTTGAGAGTCCGCCTGCCGATGCAGGGGACATGGGTTCGTGCCCCGGTCCGGGAAGATCCCACATGCCACGGAGCGGCTGGGCCCGTGAGCCATGGCCGCTGGGCCTGCGCGTCCGGAGCCTGTGCTCCGCAACGGGAGAGGCCACAACAGTGAGAGGCCCGCGTACCGCTTGAAACCAAGCCCCCACCATCAAATACTGCCAATCCCATCTTCTAAATATCAAGTACACCTGCTTCTTTCCATCCTATTACCAAAGCCCTGATCCTGCCCACCGACATCTCGACGGAATGACATTTACCAGCCTCCTCACTGGCCTCAGCCTCCCTGCACCTTCCTATGCAGCAACCGGGGCATTTTTCAGAAATGCAAATGCGCTCACATCACTCTCCTATTTAAACTCCCCCCAAAAGAGACTCCCTAATGCTCTTGAGATTCAAAACCTTAACAGGAAAAAAAAACTTTTAATGGGCCCTGCCTACCTTGACTACTTACCCCCTATACCCCACCTTTCTCCGCCTGCAGCACACTCAGTGTTGCCCAAGACTCCTCATCCCCCCAGGCTTAGGCTGGTCCCACCTTCAGGGAGCCAGGGAGGGGCCTCTGCTCTGTGCCCCCACCACTACACACACACACACGCACACGCACACACACACACAATGCCCTGTGGTTCTCCCATCAGCCACTGACCACTCCCTTCCCTTGCAAAAGACAGATTACCCGTCGTCCCCCCCCCCGCCACGTCCCAATCTGGGAGCTGGGAGGCAGGGACCCTCCTGTCCCCCTTCGTGCTGCATCTTCAGCACCCAGCACAAGGTCCGACGCTTAGTAGTTGCCCAATAGTGATGAATAATCTTCACCCATGGCACCTTCCCCATCTCCTTCCTCCCTTCTCTTATCGCAGTCCTCACCACTCCCTACCCCCACCCCCAGGTCACAGCACTTTATTTTTCACTACTTAACGTCTCTCAGCAGCTGTAACGCTTCGTTCGTTCATTCAATCATCAGCGCCTGCTGGGTGCCCGGCCCTGGGGCCACAGCGGTAACTGCCACGCGATACTGTGGGCACCTTCGCGCACCCCTCACCCAAAGCTTTTCCAGCCCCGTGCAGTCCCGGCTTCTTCGCACCCCGGCTCGAGGCACAGTGCTCCGCGCACCGAAGGCGCCCAGACAACACCGGGGCGGTCGGGCGCCCGGGGTAGGGGAACCGGAGTCAGAAGCGCCAGGCACGGGATAGGAGCTCGCGGAAAGTTCGGAGAAGTGATTACAAATGCGAATCCAACTCTCGCAGCGTGGGCGCTAGCTCCACCTGGCCAGGCCCAGAAGGCCGGCCTCAGGCCCCCGACTTAGGAAAGGGGAGACTCCCACCCGCCCAGACACGGACCTCCAGGAGACTGGTAAGCAAGGATGGGGGAGGTCCCCGTGCTCGGTCAGGGCTCCCCAGGCGTGCCGACACCGTGCCACCCGGTCCAGGCCTGCTCAGGGAGGGGGCAAGCGCGCGCCTCCTCCCTCCCACCCCGGTCCTCGACCGCCACCCCTCCCCGGCCCACACCCACCTGCTCCGGTGTGAGTGCAGTCCCCCCGCGAGACAGTCAGGCTCTGAGCCCCAGCGCGGCGCGCGCGGATGCCGTCACCGGGACCCCCGCCCACCAAAACATCCCGCCCCTCATCCGCAACTCCGCCCACCTGGGCGCTCGGGGGCGGCGGCGCGGGCTGCGCGGCGCCGCGGAGTCTGTCGGCAGACGGGGCGGGGCGGGGACAGGAGGGGCGGGGGATTGGGCGTGGCCTGGGCTGAAGTGCGGGGCCCCTCACCCCTGGGCCCCCAGCACCGCGTGGGGGCCCCCAGCAGCGCCCGGAGTCGCGAGCACTATTCGCCGAATTCTGGGGACACAGCGACCAACAAGGCCGCCCGGATTCTCCGAGCTGGAGAAGCCCACCAGCTCCTGGAGCGGGGAGCCTAAGTTTTATAATGCAAGTTGTAACAAGTGAGAGAATGAAAACTAACTAGGAGACATTTTCGTTCCGGGAGGGGAGGGTGGATTTTCTAACCCTGAGACTCCGGTTAAAGTGGCCTAAAAATCAACTACTCTTGGTTCGTTAGTTCGTTTGTTCATTCAAGTGCAGACCTTCCCTCCTTCCCGCCATTGCTACCCTTCTATCGCAGAACTCCCCACGCCCCGTCAAAGGTCAGCAAAGCCTCTACCCTTTTTTTATCTGATTTCACTACCCCTTCTAAAGCTGAGAAGGATTCATCCCCCCCTGAGATATTCGGGGTTGGGATGGGGGCCCACTCCCGGCGGTGTGGCCGAGGCCCTGGCTGCACCCTGGGCGCTCACACCAAGCAGTGGGTGGATGGATGAAACCACGAGGGAGCTCCTATTCAGGCCTTCTAGCATTCTGGGCAGAGAGCAGGATGGCTGCTGCCCCCTGCTGGGGGCAGCCTCACCCCAGGGCAGGCCCTGACAAAGTCTGGCCTCACAGTTCTGGCTTGTAAGCCCCCAGGTGGGAATGGGCATGGGATCCACTGGCCCACTGGTGGATTACACTGCCACCCAGCCTTGGGTTCCTGGATGGACAACTGCCCCTAGAAGAGGCCACTGGGAGTTGGGGGCTGCTGCAGAGTTCTTAGCCAACCTCTCCGGTTGGGGTGGCAATTATGTGTGTTAACAGCCAGTGGAAATCCTGCAGAGGTATTCATCCTGCATCTACCTGGGCAGGTGCTGACCAGGAAACTGCCCCCAAACATCTCTTCCAGCATGCCCCCCACCATCCACCCCATCGCTCAAGCCATCTTTGACTCCTCTGTTCTCCTATCTACCACCAAGCCCTGATTCCCCCTCCTCAGTAGCTTCCAGTCCAGGCAAGTCTCTTCATCCTCCACAACCTTGCTGCCCAAGCCACCACTATCTCTTGCCTGGGCCACTGCAAAGCCTTATCACTGGTCCCCCTTCTGCCCTAGTAATGCATGCCAATTTTTAAAAAAATGTTTTTAAAAAGCACGAAAGTACAGAAGGAGACAGGTAAGCGTAGTCATGTTTTGGAGGGTACCCTTCCAACTATTACTCTCCATGTTGCTTAGTCCTCTCAGGCTGCTATAACAAAATGCCACAGACTGGGTTCCTCATAAACAACAAATATTTATTTCTCACAGTTCTGAGGGCTGGGAAGTCCAAGATCCTGGTGATGGCAGATTCAGTGTCAGGTGAGGCCCCAGTTCCTAGATGGCCATCTTTTTACAGTGTCCCACATGGCAGATGGGACAAGCTAGCTCTCTGGGGTCTCTTTTATAAGGGCACTGATCTCAATCATGAGAGCTCCGCCCTCATGACCTAATCACCTCCCAAAGGCGAGCCTTCAAATACTATCACACTGGGGGTTAGAATTTCAACATATGAATTTGGGAGACACAAACATTCAGACTATAGCACTACGATATACAAGCATGTTCATACATATATAATATATACAAATATGTTATACATATTATAACTTGTCTTACTAAACTGTGAGGTCCTTGCATGGAGTGTGCTTTATTTATCTCCAAGTCTCTCTCCCTTGGCCCAAGACCTGGCATAGTCACCCCATGAAGGTTTTTGGTCAAGTTATTTTAGAAAGAAAGGAAAAACTGTCTTTGCATTAACAGAAATATGGATGTGGATCAATATGGCTCATATTTTCATTTTGTAGGCACAAACGACAGAGTGGTATGTAGAACATCTTTGGAGAATGAGGAAGTATCCTCATGATGGCATCTCCTTACGTCAAGCCTCCAAACTGGATACCAGACGATCCTGTCCTCGGTTCAGAGTCCTTTCTCCGCTCGTCCCTGTTTTCACTCTCAGCCCTAAACCACCCCTCCGCCCAAAGCCAGCAGAAACTTGCATCTCCCTACATACAAAAATGCTTCCTCAGTTTTAAGACGCTCATTTTAACGTTTCTGAAATTGAGTTGCATCTTGTAGTCATTGCCAAGGGAAACTTGGCACCAGGAGAGATGATATAGGAATGTCCACATGCTGCCTGAAAGAGATGGTCTCTTCACCTCTGTGACCTCTGATGGATTGGTTGCATTGGGAGCATCACGCATGGTTGAATTTTAATGAAAATCTAGAAACATCTTTGCGACTTAAAATGTCATTAGAAAAATCAAACTTTGAGGTAGTAACGAAACAATTTATTATATATACAGAAGATTGCCTGTCACAAACAGGCATTATAATTAAAGGCTGTAGAAACTGCCAAGTCTCTTAGGATAGATCTATAGGAAATCCTCAGCCTCGAGGAGCAGAAACCACACTTTGAAGTGGCTTGAACAATAGGCCATTTGTTATCTCGGTGAACAGAGAGACCAGAGGGAGGAGGGCTCTGGGGCAGGTTGAGTCAGTGAAAAGGGACCTGGTTTTTCCATTTCTCCCCTCTGCCATCACCATCAACCATAAAACACCCAGAGGGGGAAGAGAGCATTGTGTCACGCAGCACTGTCTTTGGATCAAGGGAACTTTTCCTAGGAGACCTACCATCAGCTTTCCCTCACATCATGGCTGAGGCCTGTCCACCCCTGAAGTCATCACCGACAAGGAGACAGAATAACTATGGTTGGCTTGGAATATGCACATGAGATGAATATGCATGGATGTTGGGAAGTGTGATGGTTAATTTTATGTGTCAACTTGACTGGGCTGTGGGGTGCCCAAATATTTGGTCAAACATTATTCTGAATGTTTCTGTGAGGGTGTTTTTGGATGAGATTAACATATGTTTGAGTAGAGCCGATTGTGCCCCCCAACGTGGGTGGCCCTCATCCAATCAGTTGAAGGCCTGAATAGAACAAAAAGGCTGACCCTGCTCCAAAAAAGGGAGAGTTTTCCTGCCTGTCTTTTAACTGAGACTTTGGCTTTTTTCCTGCCTTCAGACTCAAACTGAAATATCGGCTCTCCCTGGGTCTTGAGCCTGCCAGTCTTTGGACTGGAACTAAACCACTGGCTCTCCTGTGTCTCCATGCTTGCTGATTCAGCCTGTAGTTCTCGGGACTTGCCAGCCTCCATAATCTTGTGAGCTAATTCCTTATAATGAATCTCTTTATATATATATATAAATATAAAATATATATATGTATATATAGTTATATATACAGTTGACCTTTGAACAACACAGGTTTGAATTGTGCAGGTCGGCTTATACTCATATATTTTTCAATAAATACATACTATATTACTACACAATCCCTGTTGGTTGAATCCGCAGATGCAGAATTGCAGGTACAGAGGACTGACTGTAAAGTTATGCTCGGATTTTCTTTTCTTTTTTTTTTTTGGCCCCGTGGCCAACCAGGGATTGAACCCAGGCCATGGCGGTTAAAGCGCCGAATCACAGACCACGACACTAACAACTAGACCACCAGGGAATCTCCCTCAGATTTTCAGCTATGCAGAGGGCTGGCACCCCTAACCTGTGCAGTGTCCAAGGGTCAATTGTATATATATTTCCTACTGGTATAAATGTATATACTTCCTCTTGGTTCTGTTTGTCTGTAGAACCCTAACACAGGAAGTCATCCATAATATCCACAACCACCTCCTAGAATTTTCAAAGCTAAGAGAGGCTGGTCAACTGATTCATGTATCATGAAGGACCATCATTCTGGTACCAAACATTCATCTGTTAGAAGCTGCCAGAAGCTATGACCCTTCCTACAATATATAATTCAGTTTACGAGAAACCAAAAATTCAAGCATGTGGGAAAAGTAGATGAAACCCCATTGTTCTCTGATATGCTATAGAACTACTCTGTTGGTCTGAGATATTCTAAAGAAGTTGGGGTCCTCAGCTGGAATGATTCGGAGCAGCCTGTTACCACACAGTCAAAAAAGATTCATTTAGACTCAATGTGAAGAAGCCTAAAACTAAACTTGGATCTTTATGTATGTAAATGTAACAAAAGGTGATCATGATCAATGAAACCTTGGTATAATTATAATTACAATTTTAAGGTACTTAAATTTAGAGAAAAGAAAATTGAAACTTTTGTTACAGTAATTTTAAAGATTTTTGTGATGTTAAAGTTCACTGGAACTATCAATGTGGATTGATGACCTTGGAAAGAAATGCCTTTTTTCTAGCTGTCACTAGTGGGTGTGCAGTGTTTTTCTGTCTATCACCAATATGCACATGGAACAATCAGATATGCATACCCAGGGTCCAAACTGTGCTACCACTATTCCTCTTTAAAAGTAGCTGATCCCATGGATTAGGTCAAGAACAGGAATAATTTTTTTGTGGTCAGAAAAAACATGCTTTTAGAATGTCCGTTGTCAGCCTGAAGGACAAAGGCCCCAACTTAAAGGGGCGAAATTGTGACAATTTGAGCATCAAAAGAGCAAATAATAATTATAGTTAATTGAAACAAGCTGAGTCTGTAAATTTTCCTTTTGTAGAATTTGACAAGCTGACTTTATTATTTGTATGGAAAAGCAACGAGCCAGAAGTTGTAAAGCCCTCCTACAGAAGGGCAATGTGGGGGGCTTGCCCAACCAGATATGAAAACAGATTTTAAACCGTTGTAAGTCAGACAATGGAATAGACAGGAATAGATAAATAGAACACATTTGGAAACTTGATCTACGACGGAACTGAGAGTCGGGGGAAGCCAGACTATTCCATACATGAGGCAGAACCTGGTCCCTCTGTTCCACCTAGATGCAAGAAAGCATCATTCAGGCATCAGACATCAACAGGTCAGAAGCTTCCAGCTGACTTCTATGAGAAACTCTTAGCCTTCCCACAGTGTACAATTCAATTAAGGAGAAACTAAAAATTCAAGAAATTAGGAAAAGTATAGGATAATCAGTTATCCATATGGAAGAAAAATCAGATTCCTACTTAAACCATACATAAAAATTAATTAAATGTAAAAGGCAAAACTACGAAAATATTTGAAGAAAATACAGGGGAATATCTTCATGACTTCATGGTAGGGAGAGCTTTAAAAACTACTCAAAATTGCAAAACATAAAGGAAAAGAATTATAATTTTGACTAAGTAAAAATTAAGAACTTTTGTTCGTTGAAAGAAACCATAAAGAGAATGAAAAACCACACACTGGAAGAGCATATTTGTGATGCGTAGAGTTGATAAAGGATTGGTATCCAAAAAATATTAAAGTCTTCTAAAAATCAATGAGAAAAAGAAAAACAACCAATAGAAAACTGCGCAAAAGTTTTGACAGACACTTCACAGAGGGGAAATACAAACATTCGATAAACATAATAAACAATGTTCAATATCACTGTGATTCACGGAATTAAGTCCACAAAGAAATGCCATTATACACACTTCAGATTTGCAAAAACGATAAAACCAGACAATATCGAGTGTTGTTAAGAACGTTGAATAAGAGGACTCATATACTTCTGGTGAGAATGTAAATCAGAACCACCAAGTTGGAGGACAATTTGGCAATATCTAGTTAACAATACACATACTTTATGACTTAGCAATCCCACTCTTCATCATATTCCCTAAGCAACTCATAACAATGTTTACTGCCAAAAATATGTAATAGTAGAAATAGAGGAGCAACCCAAATGTCTGTTGACAGGAGAGTGGTGTGGCAGAGATTGCAAGTTGCCCCCACCCCCAGAATCCACTTCCCCTCCTTTTAAGACCTCAGATTTTTAACTAGATGCATAGCCACCCCAAATAAAGACTATATTTCCCATCCTCCCTTTCAGCCAGATGTGGCCATGTGACTCTAAGTTTTTTCTAGTGAGTTATAAGCAGAAGTTTAATTTCTTCTACCCCCTTGCTCTTTTCTGTGGCTGGAATATGGAGCTGATGACTTTTTAGTTTGTATCAACATTTAAATATTTAAAATAATTTGATTAATGCATTTAATAAGTTTGATTAAGTAAAAAGTGCTTAAATGTTTAGGAAAACTATGGCTAATACAATGAGCATTAAAACCCAAGTTGCAGAGATAGCTCTCTCCAGGCTCAGAAGTCCTTTGGATATTAAGATCCCAGATAAGTATGGAAGAAAAAAGTGGTAAATAATTGCATGGATAAATGTATGTCTGTAATGGTTGTTTTTCCATCTCTAAAAGTTGTGATTGAGTTGGAGGTGCATTTTATGAGCTGGAATAGAAGAGAGGGGATAGAGTATTTCTCTGGAGAGGAACGTTGGCATCCCAGTGTGAAGGGGAAGTCTTCCTGAGGTCCAGAGCTACCAAAGATGAGTGTGGATGAGCCCTCACATCCACATGAGCAAGAACATGTTCTGTCGTCAGAACAAAGTCCCACATCCATCCTGGAGCCAATGAGGCAAATTTCTGCCATTTAGAGAAGAGGCTTTGCTCTCATTTCTCACCAAAAAGTATTCAGAAATACTGAGGGCCAGGCTCAGAGCACTTTGCCATCTATTTAATAATAAAAAGAGACTTACATGGCAAGCTGTTTGCTTCCTGGGCTGTCCTGTACTGGTTTCCAGCACCCTGGCTGAGGTCCAGGACAGGGTGAGGGGTCTGTGTCTGGCCAATGGGTGCGCTGACTTCTACAGTTCTCCTGGGTTGCTCCTGGCAGGAGCAGCCACAGGACTATGGAGGAGTAGACAGTCAGGAGTGTGGTTTCTGGAGCTCCAGGAAGAAAGCAGCATGGGCAGGTGAGGCCCAGGATAGCTGTGTGTTTCTCTCTACACAACCAGGCCTGAGGCCAGTTCTCCAGCAGCTGCCCACAGGAACCCTGCCAGGGCTAGGCTGGTACTGCCTTCTTAGCCATGTCATATCACCTTCTGAGGGCCCCTCTTGCCAGATCCATACCCCCTGCCCAGGAAACTGCTGAGTGTGGTGTGGATTGTGAGGGTTGGGTGGAGGGCCCAAAACTAGTTCAAGGTCATGACCATGTCCATATGTATATGTCCATCAACACTCCCCTCTCCTCATTCTGGGCATCCTCAAATTTCAAAACCACGGATAAAGGCCAAGGACTCATTACACCAAAGATCTGTCAGGGCCCAGAGTCAGTTACAGGGAGCTGGACTCTTAGGTGTGCCACAGAGTGGCGGCCAAGAGGGTGCTCATGGATCTGAGGGGGACCTATAGGGGCTGAGTGTATATATAGAGATGTCTAAAAGGACTGACAGAAGTGTCAGAATTATCTGTGCAGCTGCAGATGACAAGAAAAACTGAGTTTGGTTTGGAAGGCTATTTGGCATTATCTATCAAGGTTTAAAATGAACGTTCCCTTTCACTCGACATGTCATCATTCCAAGTTATAAATTTACCCTATAGATATATGCACACATCTACATGAAACATTTGTATAAAGACATTTATTGTAGCACTGTTCGAAGGAGCAAACAATTGGAAACAACCTAAAAGTCCATGATTAAGGCACTAGTTTAATCAAACATAGCACATCTATATTATGAAGCACTTACTGTGTGGCTGTTAAAAAGAGCAAGGAGGATTTATGATACTGATACAAAAAAGATTTCTAAGATGTATTGCTGAGTGAAAACAGCACTGAGTATAACCTCCCACAGCTTGTGTAAACAGTGGGGAGTATATACACATGTGCCTGTGCATGCACAGTCCGTAATCAGAAAGATACAGAAGTGACTGGCACCATGGTTGCTTTGGGGAAGAGAAACCAGGGAACTCAGGGAGGAAGGCACACATCCTTTGGCAGTGTTTGAATTTTTAATTTATATGTATGCATTTCCAAATGTACGAAATATTAACGTTTTCAAAAATAGGGCTTGGAATGAAGTGTGGCTATAGAGTCCAAATATATGGTCTATACTGTATAACAAACGATCACCACTGTCTCCCAGCACTAGGGGCGCCAGCATTCGAGAAGTGGACGGAAGGGTGAACATGCAGGTGGAAAGCAGTAAGGGTGCAAATGGAAATGTAGCTGTGAACAGGAAGGTGGCGCTACAGAGCACAGGCCAGGACTCAGCCTGTGAAGAGTGTGGGGCACTCAGAAAGTGATACTCGTATGTATATAAACACTCAAGAGCTTTTGCACCTGATTGCTGTTCCCCTCAAAGTAGTCTTCTGAGAGCCTGTATACTCAGAGGAATCTCTGCATTCAGGGCTTAAAAATGTGCCAGGATCTACTGCTTGAACCTTTAGGGTGGTGACACGTTCACTGGTGACAAATATTTGTCTACAGAGGATGGATGTAAATACTGGAAACAGTTAAATGTCACTTGGCCACAAATTTAGTGAAAGAAGTGAGAGATCAAGTTAGGCAATTAATCTTTTGGTAAAAATAACAAGGCATAGAATTAAAGCAGACTGCTAGTCTGATGCTTCTCAAAAATGGGCTCTGACAGCTAAACCCAAAAAGGATGCTCAGAAGATGATGTGTGCCTTGGCAGCATCCTTGGAATGAGGCTCGGGACCCAAGGGGACTACTTGGAAGAAGTCAACGCTCATTTGGACATGTAGGTTCTGTTTGTTTTCAGGAGACAACGGCCCCAGCGCTCGGCCGGGGCGGGGCGGGGCGGCGGGCCGGGCCGGGAGGGCGATGGGGGCAGCGGGCTCAGCTCTTCTTGCGCAGCTGGCTGTACTGCGTGCGGCCCAGGATGGGCTCCATGACGCTGGGCCGGAAGAAGCTGTCGCTGACCCTGCGCGCGGGCTTCTCGCGGGGCATGGCCGGCAAGGCGGTGCGCGGCGCGGCGGCCGTGTCCACCCGGTCTTCCGCGCCCGGGCCCCGAGCGCTGCGCAGGCTGCCGCGGGACTGAGCGGGGCGCGACGCGGCATCCGAGCCAGCGGGCAGCGCCCCGGACCCCCTGCGCTCCGCCTCCGGGCTCTCGGCCTCGTCAGGCGGGTTGTCGATCTCCCGAAATTCGCTCTCGGGCTCCATCAGCGACAGCCTGGGGAGCTGGGGGCCGGCAAACCACGTTAGGCCCCCGCCTTGGCCCTAGTCCCTGCGCCTCCCACCACCGTCTCCTCTGCGGCCCTCGCGGTCACGCCTCCCGGGAGCGGCCGTCCGGAGGGCAGAGGCCAGGGTGTGGGACAGGGTTGGAGGGTGTGGAGGAGACCGCTTAGGTCCTGCCCTCCCTGACAGTGTGCACAGTCCAGACCCCCAAGGCAAGGCAGACAGCCACCCTCTAAAGTTTCTGGACCCCTCGGGTCTCCCTCGGAGGTTCCTCAGTGGGAGGTCGGTGGCATTCCTGGCCCTTCCTTGGACCCTTCCTTGCCCCTGCCTGGGTCAGGGTACCCACGCGTGGCTCTGTTTTGGGCCCAAGGTGAACAAGCTGGCTGCCAAGACCCCTGCCATGCCTCTTGGTGAGAGTGAGTGGCTGAGTAACCCATTCCCCCACTACCCTCACAGCCTCCCTCAACCCTCAGCTCTAAGGGGCCTCCTGCCCTGACCAGCCCTCCTACTGACTGCTCGACCTGTAACTTGCTCTGGAAAGGGACCCAGGGACCCCCAAAGTGATAGTACTGGCACTCCTTGGGGTTTTCCTGTTGGTGACAGGTGTTGGAATTGGCATGGGGGCAGCTGCTGTCCCTTGGAACCTAGCCGACCCCGCAGGGTGCCCTGGAAGCCTCCCTGCAACCCTTTCCCAGGGAGCAGCATGCAAACCTGCCAGGTCCTTCAGTTCGGAGCTGAGGGGTGAGGACTTGGTCACTGGGACCCCCAGATTAATGGTGGGTGACCTCCCCAGCAGCAGGTGGGAAGGACAGATGTGGGGAAGGGTCTCAGGCCAAGGCCACAGGTCTCTGTACTTTGGGGGCTGCCAAGGCCCCCAGTCAAGGCCATAGTATGTCAAAATGTTTCTGGGGCACTGAGGATCTGAGACTGGGGAAGGGAGGGCAGCTGCAGCCCCTTCAGTCAAATCTGCTTTATCTGTCCTTTCAGGGGTGGGGGGGAGGGGGAGGGTTAGCCGGAAGGGTAGGGGGACTCACCGGCACATAGTGCACCACCGTGTCCACGACATTGTCAGTAACGCCCTTCAGGGCATCAGACAGGGACATGGCCCTGCCCTTGGTGGAGGAGACAGCACGGGCTGGCATGAGATGCAGCAACCTCCCTGCCGTGCCCAGCACAGCCGCAGGCACCCACGTCACGACCGAGATGGTGCTCTGGAAGGCCTTCTGCAGGGTGTGCACCACATCGCCCAGGAGGCCTTGTGGGCCAGGCAAGGCTGCTCCCTGGGGGCCAGAGCAAGGTCAGTGCCTCCTCAGCAACTCCCCTGACCCTTCCCCTCTCCTCACCATCCCCAGAGCTAGAGGGGAAAGAATGTGGATACCAGACTGAAAAAACTATTAGCCTGGCTCTTGGGCAGGTCACTTCTGCTCTCTGAACCTCAGTTTCTTCATCTGCAAAATGGGGATGACAATCTCTGTCCTGCCTATTTTATGGGGCTGTTGTGAGGATCCTCTGAGAGAACTTTGTTAGCTGGGCGTTTGGGGGTGAGGTGAAGAGCACTGCACCCATGTACTACATTCCTGGGCCTGGGGGCAAAGACCCTTGTTTCACCCGGGGCCTCTGCTTCTCACCCCCTCGGTGGGCTGTGGGACCTCCAGGTTCCTGCATCCCGCTCGGCTTCTGCTCTCTCCCTTACCTCACTGAGCTTGTTCTCCTCCGTCTCTGATTCCTCCTCCTCCACCTCTGTCTCCTCCCCCTCTGTGTCCATCTGGTCATTGTGGTCCTCCTCCCGGGTGGCAGTGAGGTTGTGCAGCCAGGGCACCCGCACCTCGCTCGACCGCCGGGACACCACCTGTATGGCTGCCGATGCGCCCCACTGGGCCAGGCTGCTCTGAGGGCGGGAAGGTGGCGGGCTGCTGGTTTCACAGCCCCTGCCAAAGGCTGGGCAGCCCCAGCACGCAAAGGCCCTCACCCCCAGGGTCAGGGTTGGGGGAGGCAAGCAGGGCCTGGCCCCAGCAGACTGTTCTTCAAACTTTTTATGGAGTGGTAACTTACACCCACTAAGGTGCACAAGCTTTAGTATACACTCTGGGAATTTTTAGAAACACACACCTGTGTGACCATTACAGATCAAGATATAGACCATTTTCGACACCCCAGAAGACTCCCTGTGCCCCTCACCCAGTCAGTACCACCTAAGGGTGACCACATTCTGGCCTCTATCACCATGCATTGATTTTTCTCATTTGTAAATGGACTCACACAACGTGTTTTCTTTCATGAATAGCCTTTGTTCAACGTTGTGCTGTGAGAGTCATCCACATTACTGAGTGCCAGAGTAGTTCCTCCTTTTTCATTTGTGTCATATTCCACTAAATAAATATACCACAATATACCCATTCTACTGTTGATGGACATGTGTTATTTCCAGTTCTTGGCTAAGGATAAAGCTGATAGGAGCATTTCCGGTGTGTCTTTGGGGGACGTAAGCTCTTATTTCTGTTGGGTGGAATTGCTGAGTCATAGGGGATATGTATGTTTAGCTTTAGTACATACTCCTTGCAGATCTTTTAAAGGGTGAAAAAAATCAAGTGGGCCAGAGGATCCCATGGGAGGAAACTGACCTGGGTAGGTGGGCTGGTGTCCCCTGGGGCACAGCTTGGCTCATTTCAAACCCCTAGGGAACCCCACAAACAGGGTCTCCTTGTTATACATCCTTAGGCTACACCATTATTTTCTTTTTAAGATTTTTTTCTTTTTTGATGTGGACCATTTTTAAAGTCTTTATTGAATTTGTTGCAATATTGCTTCTGTTTTATGTTTGGTCTTTTGGCTGCAAGGCGTGTGGGATCTTAGCTCCCTGACCAGGGATCGAACCCACACCCACTGCATTGGAAGGCAAGGTCCTAACCACTGGACCGCCAGGGAAGTCCCTGGGACACCATTATTTTCTATATGAACGGTGGTGGCTGAAGCTGTGCCGTACAGTGGCCCCCGCCCACTAGGGGCTAGGCCAGGGCACAGGAGTTAGTCTAGCCCCCATGGGGAAGTGGCCCCCCAGTGCAGAGGAGAACTACTACTCCTGTATCCCTACTGGAGCTACAGGAACTGGCACATAGTAGGTTCTCAGCAAACATTTGCTTGAATGAATGAGCCAGGCCTGAGGATGCTTTTAAAAGTACCACCCTCTTGATGGCTGAGAAGTGGTTATCTTGTTTGCTGACATTTATGCGTTAATGCTTTTATTTCCTTTTTTTTGAGGGGGGGGGGGGCTGCTTAGTTTCTTACTAAAGTTCCTATGAAAATAATCCAGGCTATCTCTGCTAAAACACACAGAGAGGTGGAGGTGGGGTGTGGTGGGGAGTAAGCCCTATCTGGGCCTAGAAAAGGCAGCTTTACCTTGGGTGCAGTGGGATGCAAATTAGAAGCCTCTAGAAGGGAAACCAGAACCCTGGGGGCAGTCAGAGACACAGCCCAGCTGGGGCTCTCTTCCCAACAGAATGGGTTTTGTGCCTTGCTTATTTACAGATGACACTCCCTAGTGCCTAGAGGGCAGATGCGGGGGGCGGGGGAGTGTCTGCTTCCTCACAAGTGGGAGGGCCCACTTGGGAGGAGGAAGGCTTGGGAGGGTGGGGGGGACTCAGAGGGAGAATGGGAGAGACAGAAGAGGGTGGGGGCAGGACCACCCTAACAAGCAGGCCTGCCCTCTCCCCTTGCATCCTAGAGGACTAGCCCACCACCCCACCTAAGTCCTCTTGTCCTTAGACCTAAAGTCCCCACCCAGGCCGGAAGAGAGGAAGTTCCTAGGACAGGAGGCAGAATTGGGTAGGGGATGGGAGGTACCAGGAGGCCCACAGACAGGGTTTCCAGGCCGTGGGTCAGTCAGAGCTCAGGGCAGACACTCACCAGGGGCGCCACACCTGGGATCCACATGGCCAGGGCCTGGCCCTGTTTCAGCACCCGGGCTGTGGTCTGGAAGGTGTGTTGAGAGAGAGTGTTGGCCAGGGCCCCAACCCTGCTCACGAGGCCCAGCTTGGCCTGGGGAGGTTTCTGGGCATGCTGGTGTCCTGGAGCAGGGGCTAGATAGGAGTTTGTGAGGGGAAGGAAAGGAAAGCTGATCAGAAAGGCACTGGGCAAAGCTGGGTTGTGTCTAGGGTTGGAAAGTGGTCATCCTAGCTCCACCACAAGCTCGCTGGTGATTTGGGCAGCTCACTTTCTCCACTTAAAAATGGGGAGAGAGGGCTAGGTGAGGATGGATCCATCTGAAAATCTTGCTGGGCCATCCCTGTTCCAGAGCAGGGGCTAGATGGGCCCTGGCTGCCTCTTCCTAATTCCCAAGCAGCATGGGTGGCCAACTCACTCCCCAGGCCCCCTAATGGCAGATACCTGACTCTTCCTTGGCTGGAGGGAGGAGGAACTCTACCACCTTCTCAACACCACCCAAGGCCAAGTCGGCCCCTCCAGAGGCTAGCTGGCCAGCTCGGGTGTTGGCAGCAAATTCGGCAGTGTCTTTGACCATCCCCCAGGCGAGCTCACAGCCAGCCAGAGCGGCCCCTAGGACTTTGTCTGAAGTGCTGGCGATGGGCACACTGATGCTGTTCCTGGCACTGCGAAGGCGGGTAGAGATGGTGTCCTTCAGCTCAGAAGCAATCTGGAGGAAGTGGGGAGGGGAGTCAGGCATTGGATCTGACAGACCCTGAGCCCAGCTTCAGGAAAGCCTCATTTAAAGGGGACTGGCACCAATATTTGGGCAGCTTGATTAAGCTGAACTTAAAAGGTAAAGGGCTCCAGTCCTTCCTGTGCCAACCACTTAGATCTCCTGACTTCTTTGCACCCCGTTTCTACCTGTCAAGATCCTAACCATCCTTCAAGAATGCCCCCCAAAGTCCACCTCCTTGATAACACCTCATGCACACAAGACATCTCCTCTTCCAAATTCCTCTGCTGTCTGCTCTGTCTTGCCCTCAGAACATTGCTCACATTCCTATCTGCACTTATGTGGACTTATAGATGTGGTTGATCTTCCTGCAGGTTCTGCATTGAAATAATGTCTTTCTCTCCTTTGCCTTAGGAGCTCCTCTGTGACAAAGACATTGCCGTTTATCTGGAAAAATAAGTGAAGAGCACTCGCCTCAGAGCCAAATAGACCTGCTCTCATGTGGCCTCCACTTAAGGCTGTGTAGTCAGGAGGAAGTCACTAGTTTTCTCATCTGTAAAACGGGGATACCCACCCCTATACCAGAGGATTGACAAGAGGATTAAATGAGAGGGCTCTATACATCATACGTCATGACCCCTGTCATAGGGTAGGGCTCAGTAAATGTTTGTGAGATGGGTGGTAGTTTGTCAGTGAGACGGATGGCGTCTGAGAGTGCAACTTATTCCCCCAAAGCACCAGACATGGCCCTTACCATGGCAAATGCCCAATGAACAGCTATCCAGGTGAAGTGACGTTTTCAGTCTCATGGTCCATAAAGTGTTGGATCTTGAGGACATGGGACTGCAATCCTGGGATCTGACGAGTGTGACCCATGATCTTAGGTGGCTGTAGTCACCAAACGGTCCAAAGAGCAGGGAATCAGAAGCAGTGGGCCCTACCCCAAGCTCCTGTTTGAGTTTGCCTCTGGGCTGTGCCTGCTGGTTTCAGAAAGCCTGCCTTCATCTGGCCCCACAGGGAGAGGAAGAAGCCCACCGTATGGTCTTAGGGACAGGCAGCTGCCACCAGCCTTGGAAGGCATTTGCCACAGAAACAAAAGACTCACATTTATGCATCATGGGCTTGTGCCCTCTCCTCAACTGGGAGGCAGTGACAACAGAATGTGGGGAGCCTTAGAGAAGAGGGGAGGGGCTCACCTTTTCAGGAGGATACTGGAGGGCCGGGATCTTTTCCTCCAGGTGGTCCAGGCCTCGGCAGGCCAGCTCGTTGGCAGCTATGACTGGAAGCAAAAGGCCATGGTCAGGTGAGCCCTGCCCCCACTGTGAGAGCCCAGCAGGGGCCTCTGTGCCAAGGAAGGCACCTTGGAGCCTTCAAAACCCCCAGCCCTGCTACCCCCAAAGCATCTGGGGATCTGAGGCCCTCTGCTACCTTTAGCCACCATTCACTGTGACTCCTTGAGAGCAGGATGTTTTCCCTCTGAGCAGGAGCTCTGGAGTCATGCAGATCTGCACTCAAAGCCCAGCACCTGCCTCTGCAGTGTAGCTTCAGGCAGGTCGCAACCTGGCTGAGCCTCAAGCTCCTCACTTGTAAAATGTGGATTCATGTGGACAAACCTTGCAGGGTTGTCGTGAGGAGGAAGTGACAGAACCTCTGTGAATCACCAACAGATCCTGGTCTCTCCTCCTCCTCCAACCCCTCTTTGGGTGAGCGCTGGGTGAACACGAGGGGGGAGAGCAGAGGTGTCATGGTGGAGGGGCAGCCGGGCCCTAGGGTGGGAGCAGGCCTGGCACTGCTTAATTCTAGAGGTGAAAGGCTGTTCTAGAGTTCCAGATAGTCCATGGCCCTTCCTTTTAACCTCTAGGAATGAGATGGTCAACACTGGGAAGAAGGTCACAGGGAAGAGAAAGGGGCAAGTGCCAGAGGATGCAAATGTTCCCGGGAGATACTGCCCAGGGGCTGCCGAGGACATCAGCTCTGCAGACATGACCATGGAGGTCACAGTTTTAAAGGATATCTATATATTCTCTTTCATATGTTCTTTCTCCAGATAGCCCAGGTTTCTTCACAAAATTCTCAAGCAGCAGAGAGCCCAGATGACTTGGCTGACTTCCGATTGGGCAAAATGAGACCCAGGGAAATTATTTAAGGAGTTTGCAGGCAGGGAGGTGGACCCAGGCCCAGGTCTTCTTTATATCTGTCCTCTCCCGTTGGCTGTGCCAAATCCTCAGATACCCATAACTCTGTAATCAGGACTGTGGCAGGTCCTAGACTTCTGGAATTTCCCTCAGCCCTGTCAAGAGCCGTGCCGTGGAGACCATATTTTCCAACGGGGCAGAACAATTTGAACAGGGGCAGGTTTGGTAAGTTGTCCTCACCTTCAGGGCCCTGACTGGTAGCTCTCTGCTGCCCCGGCCTGTCATGGGGCCAGTACCATCAGCTTCCCCTCTCCCTCCTCTCTCCCCATCCCTGCCAGGCTAGCCCTAGTGCCCACTGCCTCTGCCTCTGTGCCAGACTCTGCTAGTTCCTGCAGCTGCTGCTGGATTTGGAGCCAAAGTGGGTGTCTGGTCTGCCATGGGCCCCCACTCCCACCACTGCCCTCATAGCTCTGCCCACCCCTTCTCCTGCCAATTATGTGGCCCATCATTGTCGTCCTAGGAAAATGCCAGCTGGGCTACAGATGAGGCATCTATAGGTGAGAAGAGACCTATATCTATATCTACATCTATATTTATATCATCTATATCTGTAGATGAAAAGACTATGTAAAGGGATGTAGATACTCAGGAAGGCAGTCAGACAAACAAAAAGGCAGACAGACAAGCAAGCTATCAAACAGACTGATAGACGGACAAAAGATTGGCAGGCAGGCAGTGAGCATCAATGAACAGGCAGACAGCCTCCGAGTGCCACAAGGACTCACACTGGGTGGACAGCCTTCGGACCACCGGCTCCATGCTCCAGGCTGCCAAGCTGGTGGCGCTCTGCACGCCCTTCTCGTACGCACTGCATACAGAGGTCACCAGGGGGTGGGCTTCCTTGGTGCTGGTGTAGGTCTTCTGGAAGCACTCACAGGTGCTGCTCACCACCGGCAGCTGCAGGACCCGCTGCAGCACGTTCTCCTGCTCCTGGAGTGGAAGGAAAGCAGGTACTGAAGTCATCCCACCTCCTCCTCCCACCTCCTGGGGAGGCAGCCCCAGGGCCATGGAGCCCATTAGGGCTGGCCTGGGTCCAAGTGACCTAGGAGAAACCCAGACTAGAGAGGTCTCTGGAGGCCCCACAGGGAAAACAAGAGCCAGGCTGCCATGCTCTCCTGGTCACAGTCCTGGCTCTGGAGAGCTACTGGGCAAACTCTGGCCTCCAGGGGCCACCCCCCAACCCGCAGCCACCCCACTTAAACTTAATGGTAGGAGCAAGTGTGTCGGCGCACCTGCCTAGAGTTTTAGTCCACCTTGGATTGGTAGCTTCATCTGAACATCTTTCTGGTCTTTTCGGGAGACTGCCTCCCTGCCTCCAGTGCTTGTCCCACTGCCTAGGATGCTCCCCTTCCCTCCCAGTCCCTTCCGTCTGGCAAAATGTCACTCCTTCAAGACACGGCTTGAGCATTGCTTCTTGTGTGAAGCTTCCTGACTCTCCCCCTTCACATCAGAAGCCACCACTTCCCTCGCTGGGTTGTTTCCGTATCATACATGGTGCTCGTCTTGATCATGTGTGTACTTGGCTCTCTCCTAGGAGACTGTCATCTCTGTATCTCCAGGGCCTAACCTAAAGCCTGCACAGTAATGTTAGTTGAATAGGTGAATCACAGTCAGGGCTGCACCTAAGGTGTTAAGTTTAGATCTGCCCAACCATACAGAATCACAGAATCTTAGGCCTCCAGGGGCCTCTGTAGCAAGACTGCTTCCCACGGTCCCTCTGGGAGGCTTGTATTTGGACGTCTCCTTGCATGGAGCTCACCCCTCATAGAGTGGCCTATGCCCCTTGTTGGACAGCGTGGCTGAGCTGAAATCCGCTCCACTCTCTGCCCTGTGTAACAATACTGAGGAAATCTGTTTCATCATTCATGGGCTGGCCTTTCACACACTTGAAGACAAATATTTCTCCCTTTAGCAGTCCCTTCTCCATTCTAAATAGCTCTAGTTCCTTACTTAGCTTACAAACGGCTCAGCGCCCTGATCTGCTGATTCCCTCCTCTGCACACACTACAGTTTGACATCGCCTTTCTAAAAAATATAGCACTCAGACTTGAAGACAGCATTCCAGGTGTGGTCTGAGTGTGTGAGGTATAGTGAAACCATCACCTCTCGTTATTGGGGTGCTGTGCTCTTATTAATGCATTCTAACCTCAACAGCAGGCACTTAATTAAACTTTAGATCACCTAAGAATCTTAGTGGAGAAACACTGATCTTTGAGGTTAAAAAAAAAAAAAAAAAAGTGGATTCTAATCCTGCAGAGGGAAACAACATTTACTCAGTGCCATTATGCTCCAGGCACTGATTGGGGCGCTTTCATGATATGACCTCATTTAATTCTAAGAGCGACACTCTGAGGTCAGCATTATCATCAGCACTTTGCCAATGAGACAAAGACTCAGAGATGTGAAGTGACTTACCCAAGATCACACAGCTAGTGAGTGGCACTGCCAGGCCAACTCAGGCCTGAAACAGCATGTCTGAGATTTGCTTCAAAATAACACAAGGGGGCTTCCCTGGTGGCGCAGTGGTTGAGAGTCCGCCTGCCGATGCAAGGGACACGGGTTCGTGCCCCAGTCCAGGAAGATCCCACATGCTGCAGAGCGGCTGGGCCCGTGAGCCATGGCCGCTGAGCCTGCGCGTCCGGAGCCTGTGCTCCGCCACGGGAGAGGCCACAGCAGTGAGAGGCCCGCGTACCGCAAAAAAACAAAAACAAAACAAAAAACACAAGGCTGGGGAATGAATGGGGTGAGGATGAGGCACAACTGTCCATGGATTATGGTTGCTGGGGCTAGTGAAAGGTATTATATTTTTCTGTCTGTTCTTAGGAATATTAAGAATTCTCCACATAAACATCCCAGGTCTGACTCAGATGTTCGAGCTCTTTCTGTAGCTTTGAATATGCACTGTTGCATAGTTCTGCTCTAAAGATGAGGACCTAGCTTCTTCTGTTTGTAGGCGGTTGAGTTAGAAGACCCATCAAGGAGACCTGATGTATACTAGACAGCAAGCTGCAATATTTCAGCTTTTGGTCTTGCAGGTGAGTTTGAAATTTGAACTAGAAAAAGATTATGACTGTAAACAAGAAAAAATTTCTTTAACATTTTGGACAGAACCTTCAGGAGTTGTTTTAGGCAAAGCCAAAGGAGAGAGGTCCTGGGACGGCAATAAACTATCGATACCTCTTAACTATGCACTTGACCATTTTATGCCTCTCTGTGTTCTATGATCCAATAAAAAACTTAACATGGTGATTACTAGTACAGAGGTTAGTTAAAGCCTAACTTGGGACAAGATGGGTATTATATGGGTTCACAATTTTTAAGTTTCACTATTTGAACTGTACCTAAATTAGAGAGGCCTTGCCAGGAGGCATCAATACACCTAAACGTGTCAAACCACTCTGAGTCACACTGAAAACCAGGTCAGACACACAAACTGGACACACTGCCCCTCTAACCCCTTCCCACATACATAATGTGCATCGTGTAACTCTAAGAGGTGCCATTTACATAGACTGCACCATACAAGAAGCCTCTGGAGTTACAAAATGCAGAGGCTCCATCCCAAATATACATTTCGCCTGGGTGGACAAAGCATGGGCTTCTGTTTCAGGCTTTAGAATATAGTAGTTCCCTTCCTCTCCTTTCCCTCCCAGCCAACTTTTCTGTGCTTTTTCTCCAAGGTACTTAGTTTTTAATAGACATCTATTTTTCCCCCTCACATTCTCTAACAGCCTTCTGCAAAAGGTAGTGAGGGCAAGAATAACTAAGACATAATGGTCAATGAGTTATGAATATAATCTAGACATATCTTGCTCTAAGCCCCCTGAACTTCTCCTCCCATCTCCTTCCTCCCCACAGAGTTGTCCACTGTCTCATATAAGCCCAAGTTACTTACAGGGCGGTCTTCATCCAGCAAAGTTGGACCCTTGTTAACTGCCATCGGAGCTCTTCAAGCTGCAAAGCAGAGGGTTCCAGGTCCATGAGAAAGTCCTCAGCCTGAGATCCACAGGATCAGTCCCCTACCTCTCATGGCCATCAGGGGGGCCCAGGCTGTCTGGGAACTCAAGTTCCCTGAAGAGAAGGTATTTGGAAGATGAATGTCACAGACAAGTGGCCAGTCCTTAGAGTCCCATAGGGATGAGTTGTCCCGCAGCCTACTTGTCAAGACCGTAGTTTCTTATAAGGATTCAGGGTAAGAAATAAAAAATGAAAGTAACTTTAAGAGATAAGAGGTTGTAGATGTTTAGGAGCTCTTAGATGAGGGTCCAAAAGAGACAAACAAAGTTTCAGATTTAGTCTTTTTTTTTAAATGAAAAAGTTCTGCATTAATTCCTCTCTTTTTAAATAAGCAAATCTGCCAGTTATTCCCTCTGTGCTCAACCAGAGGAGAAAGTAGTCATTCTTAAAACCAGTAATTTCAGCTCTGTTCTGGAAAACTAGTGGCCCCAGAATATCTACTCTACACTCTTGGTCATTCACCCTGAATAATCTCTCCCTTAGTGGTTTCCCTGCAGGCCTCTTCATCCTCAGTAAAATTCCCAGAAGACCCTTACCCTCAACTTCTTTAATTCTCAGAAACAAACCAGGTAAGGTTGTCCCAGGATCCCCACACTCACTCCAGCTGATGCCACCTCAGTCCCACGGAGCCCGGGCTGCAGAGCGTCTCCTCCAGCAGAAACAATTCCAGTTGCTCTGGGGAGTCTTGAGCAAAGCTACTAACACCTCCCAGATAGAGGAGGGCAGAGAGGAAGAGAAAGCTGGTTCATGGTTATTTGACCCAGCGTCCCCTGGGCATATCTTAACTTCTGTAAGGAGGTTTAGCCAACTAGGAGTTAGATTGCACAGCTGTAGGAAACCATACTCAAAGGAGTTATTATTCCATGAGATAGCTGTTCTGTAACATATTTCTGGCCCCCAGTTCTCAAGAAACTTTTCCAGAAAGAAGATTTTGGGATATGTGTCATTAAACTCATAAGCTCTGAAGTTTTATAATCTTTGGTTCCTTTTCCATTAGAGGGTCCTACAGAACCGTTTTCAACCCATTTGCCTCATCCTTATTTTTTACTATCAAGAGTGAATTTTGAACAGTAAGATTTAAATCCACACAGGAACACAGTTTACCTGAATGTATTAGTCTTTGATTATGAAGATGAATTGCTCCCAGTGAAGAAGAGAACCAGAGCTGTGGCTTACTCCTTGAAATCTAGGCTTTGAGGGAACAATTTCAATCTCTGCAAAATCCTGGATTTCAAGAAAGTTTATTGAACTCTACCTGGTCTAAGATGCCACCAGAATATGCAGTGGGAAAGCCAACTGGATTTTGTCAAGTTTGGAAAAGTGACAATGTTGACCAAGGTTCTGTTACTGATCAACAGCATCCAGACAACCACCGATCACCTCTCATCTCTTCCTTAGCGATGAATCAGGCAGGAGCCCAGGTGCTAATTCTTGGCTTCAAAGATGATGGAGGCTGTGGTTTTCAGCCATCGTTTTCAGATTGTCTAATAAGGGCTTTTTAATTAAAATGGGTAATAGGACAAAACATTTTTTCTTTATTTCTTGTAGAATCATATTGTGTTGACTCTCTGCTAAGTTGTATACTGTGGGCAATAGGAGAAAGAGGCAGGGAGTGGAGAGACTGATACAAAGGATCTATTTGGTTTTTTTTTGTTTTTGTCTTTATTTTTGGCTGCATTGGGACTTCGCTGCTGCGCATGGGCTTTCTCTAGTTATGTTGAGCGGGGGCTCTTCTTTGTTGCAGTCCATGTTCTTCTCATTGCGGTGGCTTCTCTTGTTGCGGAGCTCAGGCTCTAGGTGGGCGGGCTTCAGTAGTTGTGGCGCACAGGCTCAGTAGTTGTGGCTCGGGGGCTCTAGAGTGCAGGCTCAGAGTTGTGGCGCACAGGCTTAGTTGCTTCACGGCATGTGGGATCTTCCTGGACCAGGGCTCAAATCTGTGTCCCCTGCATAGGCAGGCAGATTCTTAACCACTGCACCACCAGGGAAGTCCCCAAAGGATCTATTTGTGGTAGATCCTTTGTATCAATCCTGTATCTAGGATACTGATAAAGCAGGAGAGGGAGGAAAGAGTCAAGCAGTCTCCAAAAGGAGTAATAAATATGTGATACATTTAATACTTATTGATCCAACCTGGGCTTTTAAAATATAAGACAATAATGGAGAGGAAGAGAAGTATCTAAAAAAAGTGGCCTCAGCCCTCACCTCACTTCAAGGTTCAGGACAAATTATCTATGAGGTTGTGTCGAGAGAGTACCCTGGGCCAAAGGGTAATGTTAAGATTTTGAAGCCGTGGCTTTGGGCCAGAGGGCATACAGGGCTCTGTGCCTGAAAGCTCTGTTGACAAAGGTCGTTCTTTGGCCGCTTCAGCTGGGTGTCCAGAATGTGGGTGAGAGGTGAGAAGTAGTGAAAGGGTCTAAGGGAGTCCCTCAGGAAGAGTCCACTTTCCAGCAGCAGCTTGAAGGACATGGTTACCTTGTTTTCTTCCCCATCCCTACATAGCCCTCCCAACCCTGTCCAACTACCACATGAGCACAGGGACCTTGGTCATCTTGTGCACAAATGGATCCCAAACAAATCTAAGAATGGCACTCAAACATTCGTTGCTGAATAAACAAATTCTCAGGCAACAATGTTCAGTTGTCAATGTGCTGGCCCATACATCTATTAGAAATGTCTCTGGACAAATATGATATCACTTACATGTGGAGTCTAAAAAATAATACTAACAAATCTATATACAAAACAGAAACAGACTCACAAACATAGAAAACAAACTTATGATTACCAAAGGGTAAGGGGCATGGGATTAACAGATACAAATTACTATACATAAAATAGATAAACAAAGGTTTACTGTATAGCACAGGGAACTATATTCAATATCTTTGTAATAACCACAAAAATATTAGGTTTGTAATAACCTAAAATAATCTAAAAAAATACATATATATCACTGAATCACTTTGCTGTACACCTGAAACTAACACAGTATTGTAAATCAACTATACTTCAATTTAAAAAAAACAAAACAAAAAATACACTTAGTAAGAATACCTACCATTTGGGGTGGGGATGTGCAGGGAGGAGAGAAATAGGTGAGGGAGATTAAGAGGTACAAACTTCTTACAGTTACAAAATAATTGTGTCACAGGTATGAAATGTACAGCATGGGGAATATAATAAATATATCTTTGTCTGTTGACAGCTGGTACCTAGATTTATCACGGTGATCATTTTGAAATGTACAGAAATATTGAATTACTATGTCGTGCACCAGGAACTAACATTGTGCTGTAGGTCACCTTTACTTCAAAAACAAACTCATAGAAAAAGAGATCAAATTTGTGGTTACGAGGCAGGGGGTGGGGAGAGGGAAAATTAGATGAAGGCAGTCAAAAAGTACAAACTTCCAGTTATAAGACAAATAAGTACTAGGGATGTAATGTACAACATGATAAATATAATTAACACTGCTTTATGTTATTTATGAAGGTTGTTAAGAGAGTAAACCCTAAGCGTTCTCATCACAAGGAAAAAAAATTTTTTTTCTCTTTCTTTAATTTTGTATCTATATGAGATAATCTATGTTCACTAAACTTACTGTGGTAATCATTTCATGATGTATGTTAAGTCAAATCATTATGCTGTACAACTTGAACTTACACAGTACTGTGTCAATTGTATCTCAGTAAAACTGGAAGAAAAATAAAGAAATGTCCTTGGTTTTTAGAATCCCTCATGAATGAATGTGGAGGCCTGGAGGTGGGGATGGTTAGTTATAAAGGACAAAGATGCACAGGGAAGGAGGTAGCAGGGCACCATTAAGGTTTTCACAAATTCTAGAAGAGGTGGCATTTCCCAAGCTCTCCACCACCCACCCTAACTTGCAGAGGACAAAACTACCAAGATGGACACCACTGTAAAATGCCATCACAGATTCAAGGCCAACTTCTCCAGGCAGAATCAAAAGCACCACTGACAGGGATGATATAGAGGACCCTCTCCTGGCTAGCAGTCTGGATGAGATTGTCTTAGAGGTCTCTTTCAACCTGGACGTTCTACATTTAAATCTTCCTTCATCCTTTTCCTGAGCTTGGATCTTCCAGCCAAGAGCTTATTTTACCAGAACTCACTCTACCAACTGTGTAGACTCTGATTATCTTTGGATCACCTTATTTTTAACTCTTCTCCATTCCCAGAACACACTCACAGATACATGAATAAATTTTGTCTATAAGTTTATTAGACATAATTTGTTACAGTAGAAGATCTGGACAAAGTAAAAATAGTTAAATTTTTTATTTGCCCTGATCTAGCAGCTTTTCTCTTAAAATTCCCGAAATGTTCTTTCTCAAATCCCATATCTTGATTGGTCACTTTAAAAATAGAGAGCCAAGGACCTGAGTCTACTTTTTAAGAATCTCAATCACATTTATGGGAAATTTACTTAGTGCACATTTCTTTTCTCCTTTCCATCCAGTCCTGTCAGATGGCTTTACTGGCAGGACTGACACTGACCTCTTACCTGATGGTACCCTATTTCTCTACCTCACTTGCCTCAAATTAAGAGGATCTGTAATCACAAATAAGAACCCAACATCCAAGATGAGAAGTAGGAACACGAGCAAGTGGCATCAACTCATCGTTCTACTGTCCTCTTCTCTTGCCCCTTACTGCTCTTCTCCACCTCCCCCAACCACCCTACAAATACGAACTCTGATTTATTGTCGAATATAGAATTTCATCATATTCGTGAAATTTCTTAACTGCACAAATTTTGATGAAAATTAACGTGTAAGTGCCCAAAATGTTATATGGTTTTAAATAAAACAATCCTGCTGGTGTTTCTAGATATAGTTTTAATTTCTGTAGAACAGAATATAAACCACTGACCAACAAAGGTTCTAAAAAAGGCTTTTCGCACAGGATTCTGGAGAGTCTCGCACTTCCACTCAATCAGGAAGGCAGTGAAACATTGAAAGAACACTGGATTGGGAGTCAGAGAAATGAGCTTATGTCCTCAGTTTTAACCTCAAGTCTCCTCATCTGTCACAGGGAAACCTGCAGGCACCAACTGTAACTTTCCACATCATTTTTACCTCAAGTCCTTTCTATCTGCTTCTGATTTTTTATTTCCTTACTGCGCTACCTAAAGACACAATTTATACCATGAAGGCGCCTGAAGTACTTCTGATTTTACTACTAGACAGAGGAAAGACAGGAGCGCAGTGATGTAAAAGCCAAATTAAGAGGCTATAAACCCAGCTTTCCTCCATCCTGGCACTGGCAGCTATGGAGGAAGTGGGATAACTGATCAGAGAATAAGGGGCCTCCACTAAATCTGAGAGAGGGTGTGTATCAGACCTACTGTAGTTGGGCAAAAGTAGTGAGGCACATGGCCCAAAAGTTAGTTATATTAGTGTCCACTTGTTAGTTTGGATCTTTTTCAATTTTTCTCTTAATTTTTATCCATTCAGCAACCACTAAGTTCCTAATATGCACATAAAAGATGCTCAATAAACATTAGATGAAGGAAAAATACTCAGAAATTCAGAAGTCACTCCAGCGCTCTAGAAAACACATAAACCTTCATGTTCTTCCCTCCACCATTCTTGGCCCCACCTCTGTTCACATCACAGGTCACTCAGTGCTCATGTGACTAAGTCTGTAAGCGCAGTGTGACATGGCTGTACCTAATGCAAATGTCCATTTCACTAACAGGTTGTCTTCAAAGCAGGTACTAGTCTTCAGCCTGAAACCACCTCAGCGGGTCTTCAGTTTCATCTGAGGATACGCCACAGTGATGATGCCTGCTATAGAGGACACGAGACCTCCAAGGCCTATGATGCCAGGATTGGACTTATAGATCCCCAGCTGGTCCAAAGGGTTCAGGATATCACAGAAGTTCTTCACTGTGTCCAGGAGCAAGGGAGGATGCTTCTTCAGAGATTGGAATAAGAGAAGAAGAAAGGACTGGAGCCATTCTGTTTCCTCATCAGCCACGCTATACACAAGAGGATCCTGGGATGGTGATTTCTCCTTCTTTGCTCTGTCGTGTGCAACCTGTTCCATCTGCAGGGAGATTTCATACAGATCCCTGACCAGGCTCAGCAGAAGAGAATAGTAGTAATGGCGTGCAGCCCACATTCGCCATTTCTCTTTGTTAATGCCAGAGGCGAGCCCTACACTCCTCACAAAAAGGATGGTGTCACAGATGAAATAAATCACACGGTTCAGGCTGGCTAATATTAGACAGATGCGGGGCACTAGGTCAGTGGCATGACTGCTCTGCTGAATCATCTGTACAGCATGTACCACATTGCCTAGTCTGAACCCTGCAAGAAGAACCCACAAGAGTTAACAGTTATTTAATCAGTATGTAATAGGATTTTACAGGCAGAATCCCTGTATCAGGGTGAGGGGTCAGCACTGTCTTTCTCTTTTTTCTTTTTTTTTTTTTTTTTTTACATCTTTATTGGAGTATACTTGCTTTACAATGGTGTGTTAGTTTCTGCTTTATAACCAAGTGAATCAGTTATACATATACATATGTTCCCATATGTCTTCCCTCTTGCATCTCCCTCCCTCCCACCCTCCCTATCCCACCCCTCCAGGCGGTCACAAAGCACCGAGCTGATCTCCCTGTGCTATGCGGCTGCTTCCCACTAGCTATCTACCTTACGTCTGGTAGTGTATATATGTCCATGCCTCTCTCTCGCTTTGTCCCAGCTTACCCTTCCCCCTCCCCATATCCTCAAGTCCATTCTCTAGTAGGTCTGTGTCTTTATTCCTGTCTTACCCCTAGGTTCTTCATGACATTTTTTTTCTTAAATTCCATATATATGTGTTAGCATACGGTATTTGTCTTTCTCTTTCTGACTTACTTCACTCTGTATGACAGACTCTAGGTCTATCCACCTCATTACAAATAGCTCAATTTCGTTTCTTTTTATGGCTGAGTAATATTCCATTGTATATATGTGCCACATCTTCTTTATCCATTCATCCGATGATGGGCACTTAGGTTGTTTCCATCTCCGGGCTATTGTAAATAGAGCTGCAGTGAACATTTTGGTACATGACTCTTTTTGAATTATGGTTTTCTCAGGTATATGCCCAGTAGTGGGATTGCTGGGTCATATGGTAGTTCTGTTTGTAGTTTTTTAAGGAACCTCCATACTGTTCTCCATAGTGGCTGTACCAATTCACATTCCCACCAGCAGCAGCACTGTTTTTTTTTAAACAACTGACCGCCCTCTGAGGCTCAGTCTTTGCTCAGGAAAGGAGGACTGTACAGTATGTTAAGGACACCTAAAATGATCCTGGAATGTAAAAAAGACAGTGACTCTTTAAACTTATTGCCTCCATTTCAATGACTACATTAACAATGACTTACTACACACTTTAGGCAAAGGTCAATCATAAGTGTGGATTGTTACATATGAATATCACCAGCTACACTTCTTTAGAAGGAAGGTACTGCAAATTACATGAACTCCAGATGCAACATTCTTTTGGAGAGTCTGATACCTTACACTGTACTTACTTTCCAGTTAAAAGATTGCTTTAAAAAAAAATACCATTATCATACTGCCATTTCTCTGGTCCAAAGCCCCTTTGGCTCCCTACTGTCAAAAAGACAAAGCAGAGATGGTAGGATTTAGTGGATAACACAACTAATAATACTGTCATATGTGACTCCTAGTTCAATTAAATCAACCATTGCAAGGGCATGTCCTTTATCTGAGCATGTAACTCAATTAAGCAGGGATGCATCAATCAATAAATATTTACTGAGCACCTTCTCAGAGTAAGTTATAGTCCTAAACATTATGGAGGATACAAAAGAACTACTTTCCCTAAGTGACTATATCTTAGACTCAGCAAACGCTCAGAAGTAGCTACCCTCAGGAAACTTATGATCTCAGAAAAATGTTTTGTATTATTTTATCAAAACTAACACAAAATATGTAATGAATAATCCTGGGTTCCAGTTCTGGCTGTTGCACTAACTTAGTGACCTTGGGTAAGTCTTTTCTAGACTTCAGAGACTAGTGATCTTTAAAGGACCTTTGAGCTCCAACATTCCAAAGAGCCTGAGAACTTCTAATCTTGGCTTTCCAAGCCATCCAGAAAAGCTCCTTCCCATCCCTCTGCTTGACAATCTAAGTCTTGTTTCCATCAAACTAGTTTTCTCATTGATCCTCAATACAATGGTTTGCCCAGAACAGTCCTGAGCCTCCACTAGAGGAAACCACCTTCAAGAATGTTCTCCTAATCCTTCTCTCTCTTGCCACACCTCAAGTTCCATCTCCTCCAAACATCTTTCTTTTTCTCTACCCCAACCAACATATTTGGTACTAAATCTTAGATCATTATACCATGTGATCTTAGTTCTCCCATAAAGCTCAGGACTATATCTATATGAAGCAGGTACTCAAAGTGAATTAAATGAGTACAAAACACTGACCACTTTTTGGCATTAACATGAAACAATCCCACAAATGACTTAAGAAAATGTATCCATCCATTTCCCCTAGCAATCCCTCAAGAGAAGGGAAAAAGGCAGGGGGTCAAGGATATAGCTATTCTATTCTTCGAGGGTTCCCAGGAGCCAGAAGCTCATGTCAAAGATTGCCAGAACGTTTTGTGATTCTAAGAACTAAAGGTGAACTAACACATTGCGTGTCCCACTGGTTATGATTAAGCAGAAAGATATAATGTAGCACCAAATGTGAACATAGGAGGGTGTTTGTGAATGGTGTGCAGCAAAACATTCAATCCTTTTGGCCTGTCGTTCCATGAGGGCAGCCTTACTGGTGAACTTCATCAATAAAGTTGATTGACTAGAAAATCATGACCTAGGAAATATTTTGTGAATTACAAGGTCTGAGGATTCTAAACCAGGAGCCACTGTCCCTCAAGGGACAGGGTACTTACATTTACGGCCAGTGCTCACACTGGACTCCAGTTTCTTGAGCTTCATAACAACCTCCTCTTTGTCAGCTTTAGGCTCTAACAAATGTCTAAGCAACATGCATGTGTACTGAGTGGCTCTGAAATGGAAACAAAATGAGGAGAACGATTTACAAACCAAATAAAATTTGACTCATGAAGTAGGGGAAGGAGAAACATGTCCTGCTAAAAGCAAAGTTTCCAAGACAATTTCTCATGTAGCAGCTCTTACAAGAGCAAAATTCTGCAAGAGTCACTCCACAGGGCTAAAGGGTAGAACATGTCATGGAAATGCAACACAAGGGTAATGAAAGAAAACTCTGCAATAATACAGTGAACAGCTCCTCAGAAGGCCTCTTGCTGGCACAGAGAAATGGATATAGTCAAAGCAGTAAACTGCACAAAAATGTTAAGTCTGCAAAGATCCATATTCTTTATTTCTTCCAGTGTAAATTTCTAAAAGATTTTCAGATTTCTAAAAGGAAATTTTTGTACCAACTACTTATGTGACAGGTCACACACTCAAACCAGAGCCAAATGAAAAGTCCACCATTTGCATATTGCTTAACTTTTTATAAAAGGACCAAATACATACCACTACATAAATAAGTACAGATTTGTCTTTCAAAACTAATTAGTATTTTATATAAAATACAGACTCCTGTTTAAGAATACTAAATATTCAATAAAGGGATTATTGTCATGAGTACAAATAGCAATGCCTTACCAATAGAAACATAATAAAAAATTTTATATCACATAAACATCTAAATGCATTTGGCAGTCTAGTAAATAAAGTAGGTAGATGCCTGTTTCCTACTGTCCTGTAACCGCATTTGAATCCCTTTATGCTATAAATATTATTCTCAATAAAAATATAGCACATTTTCCAAAATGGTGAACTTGTTATTGTGAATGAAGTAAAAAGAAACAATCTCTCCTTCTCTTTTAAGTATGCTTCCTGGATAGAGGGCTCAAGCTGGTCAGGTCAATGAATCCCCCTTTTTCAGATCTGGTCTAATAGTAGGAATGCGTCCAAACACAAGGCATTATTTTCTGAATGCCAGTGTGTTCAAAGAAGCTATAGATCACCAAGGGGATTAGGAAATGAATAATAGAGATCTCACATCTTGCTAAATAAGTATATCTTAAACAATTATTTATTTTTTATTATTTTTTTGCCACACCACACAGCACGTGGGATCCTAGTTCCCTGACCAGGGATCGAAGCTGTGCCCTCTGCAGTGGAAATGCAGAGTCCTAACTACTGGAACGCCAGGGAATTCCCCTAAACAATTATTTATTAACCAACCTCACTGATAAAATTTGCAGGGTACATTCTAAGTACATTGGATATGTAGGCTTCTATTTTAATGAAGTTTGTACATAATGCAACCATTTTGAAAATCTATCAAATTAATTAGAAAGATAGTATGGCTTGATAGTTAAAGAAGTGGGCCCTGAGTCAACTGTTTTTTGTTTGTTTGTTTTTGCGGTACGCGGGCCTCTCACTGCTGTGGCCTCTCCCGTTGCGGAGCACAGGCTCCGGACGCACAAGCTCAGCGGCCATGGCTCACGGGCCCAGCCGCTCCGCGGACACGAACCCGTGTCCCCTAGCATCGCCAGTCGGACTCTCAACCACTGCGCCACCAGGGAGGCTAAACTGTGTAGTTCTAAATCTCTCGGTTCAGTCACTTAGTCCCTATTAACCTTCTACTTCAGTTTCCCGTTTCACGTAAATGGGGATGATTTAGAGAATTTAACCTAATAGGATTGTGTTGAGGGTTAAATGGGTTAATAGTTGTAACACACTGAGAACAACGTCTGGCATTAAGTCCGCTTCCAAAAGTCTCATAATTATTAGGGCTACTACTGATCTGTGTGTATTAGCACTTGTACACCCAGAAGAAGGAAAAGCTGTTACATAAAACTGTAACTGTGACTAATTTCTTATTATTGAGCAAGACTCAACCAAATTCCTAAAAGAAACATCATGAATTAGTATTAAAGCCGCAATCTCTTTAATATTTTCGTGTACCTTAGAGGTGCAGTAGTTCTTTCTGAGGCTCTCCACACTATTTTACAGTTCACAAAACTATTTCACATGCGCTATCTCAATGAGATATACGGGACAAGAACGGAAGATAAATACAAGTGTTCGCTTCACTGGTCATAAATGTCAACCCAGAGTGTCTCTTAAATAATTCCTCGGAAGAATGTTGGGCGGAGAAAACCCAGTCTTTCTCAGGTTAGGAGAGGAGGGTTCGTCGGCTGGTTTAACTGCTGGTTTAACTGCCAGCGCCCCCGAAGCGGCTGCGGGACTTTGGGGCAGGAGGCTCGGGACCGGACGCGGTGCGTTCGGCCCAGCCCCACTGAATTTAGGGTGAGGAGGGGCTCCGGACCACACTCCCTCCGGGAGCCGGCAGCGTCCTTCCTGCTTTCGTCCACTGGGCTGCCACCTCCTTCTCCGAATGCCGGAGAACAGGGAACCTTGTACCGGGTTGAGGGACGGGGAAGGGCTAGAGGCCGCGGGCACCGGACTCACCTGAAGAGTCGGTCCCGGCCCTGGGTCTGGTTGGTGAAGCGGATGAAGGCGTCCATGGCACCCAGCCCAAGGACAAGAGTCGCACCGGGTTCTTTTGCGAGTCCTCAGGGGCTGCTGACGAGTCCCCACGGAACTGTCAGTCTCTGCCACCCAGAGGACCCAAGTCTCCCCACCCCCGTGGGGGCGGGTGCACTTACCGAAGAGCAACTTCTCGGGCTTCCGGTTTGGGGCCGGAAGTTGTGGTTACTAAGGCAACGTCAAGCTGCCGGCCCAGGTGAGCGGAACTTCGGCTTTTGCCCTCGGGGGCAGCGGCTCCTCACTTGTCCCAGGACTCTCCTCTATCTCTAGGATCTCCTAGAGGGCGATCTGAGGGAGCCCGTCTCCTCAGCGTCGGCTTCCCCGGGACGCCCCGCACCTCCCCTCGGATCCCGGGTACCCAGGGACCCCCAGCGGAATCCCGAATGGAGATTCCTCTGAACTTTTGCTTGGGAACTGAGAAGCCTAATCGTTTCCCAGCTCTGTGCCTCCGTTTCCATTAGCAACACCAGCTCCAGATCTGGGGAAGGAAATGGTTAGAGCAGAAATAAGCCGATTCATGGAGTGTATTTTAGCAGGAGAGCTGGGTAAAGTGAGAGAATTTTCTGTTAGGATTATTAACACTGAAAGAAGATTGCTACTTGAGGAAATTCTAAAAGGGTTAACGTGAACAAAGTTGGGGCAAAAAGAGATTAAAATGAAATTGCACCACTGAACGTTCCTTCTGTGAGGGCTGAAGACATGAAGCCCCACTCATTCCATAGCAGTAATTTTATAAAATGTACAACCTATAGTCACAAAGTAAGGTCATCTATTTTTGTAATCTTTATTCCCGTGGTCAGGCCTGCACCTAACATTTGCAGGCCCTGGGTAACAGTACAAATAGAGACCCACAAACCATATGTTTAAATGTTTAAATTTTTAAATCAAGGTAACAAATTGTTGAATAAGCTACGTTCTTTTCTCCTTCCTGGACAAATGTACCGTCATAATGATCAAGAAGTCCAGTTTCACATTCAGGATTCTTGGACTCCTTGGAATACCTGGAAACACGGCTAGAATATGGTACTGCGGGGAGAGCTGATCTCCAGTCCTTTCCCAGCCCTTTCCACCCCACTTCTGGCTCCCACTTACATCACTGAGAGGGGCCTTGCATACATAGTGTGGATACTCCAAGCCACATGCAAGTTCTGCCCATTATCCTGCAAAGCGCCCTGCCTTCTCCACCTTTCAGGTCTAGGGGTGCCCATATTAGCACCCATTTCTCTGCCCTCCAGAGAAAGCTGGGAAAGAGGCTCATGCAGAACCTGGCATCGTTTGGGCAGTAAATTCCAGGGGTACAGGTACCCTGAACATGGTCTAGACTCCATAAGAGGGGCAGTCTAGGCTTTGGGTGGGGATAGCCTCTTTACCCCACGAATTACTCATCCTTTGCAGAGGGGAGTGCCTGGAAGAGAACCAGAAGTATTCTCTTAATTCATGTCCCAGAGCAGGGCAATACTGCAAGCAATAAGAATTTCAGTGCTAGCACTGGACCAACCACAGTGCTAAGCTCTAGGCCTAGGGCAATAGATTAATGAGGGACACAGAAAAATGGGAAAGTACAACACAGTGATGCGTTAGATGATAGAGATGAGCACAGGGTGCTCCTAAACACAGATTTATATAGTTTGTTTTCTATACCTACAATTCTGCCTTTTCCGCTGTATCATAAATTGAATCATTTAGTATGTAGCATTTTCTGATTTCTTTCACTTGGTATTAATGCATTTGAGTTTCATCTATGTTGTGTATGTCAGTAGTTTGTACATTTTTATTGCTGAGTGGTATTCCATTGGATGGATGTACCATACTTTGTTATCTCTTTATCCACTGAAATACATTTGTGTTGTTTCCAGTTTGAGACAATTATAAAGCTGCTATAAATATTTAAGCACAGATTTTCATATGAAACATGTTTTAATTTTTCTTGCATAAATATGTAGGAATGGGATTGCTGAATCATGTTAAGTGTATATTCAGCTTTGTAAGAAACTGCCAAGCTGTCTTCCAAAGTGACTCTACTATTTCGTGTTCCCGCTGAATATGGGATGTGAATATATAGGAGTTTATCTATTCACCTATGATAAACATTTGGGTTGTTTCCAGTTTGGAGCTCCTACAAGTAGAGCTGTAATGAATGTTCATTTACAAGTCTATGTATGGACATATGATTTCAGTTCCCTTATATCACACCTAGGAGTAGAATGACTGGCTATTGTGGTAGGTGTAAACTTAACTTTTTAAGAAATTGCTAACTGTTTTCTACACTGTACTATTTTACTTTCCCAGCAGCAGGTGGAAGAGTTCCAGCTTCTCCTCATCCTCAACAACACTTGGTATGGTCTATCTTTCTAACTTCAGGCTTTCTAATACATGTGTAATTACAATTTGCATTTCTATGATGATTAACCATGTTGAACATCTTTTAATATGCCTGTTTGCCTTATGTGTATCTTCTTTGGTTAAGTGTCAATGCAAATCTTTTTTCCATTTTTAAAAATTGCATCATTTTCTTATTACTGAGTTTTAAGAGTTTTCAAAATATTCTGAACACAAGCACTTTATCATATATATGACCTACAAATATTTTCTCCCAGTCTTTGGGCTACCTTTTATTCTCTTAAGTGTCTTTTGAAGAGCGTAAGTTTATTTTTGAAAGGTTCAAATTATCAATTTGTTCTTATAGATTGTGCTTTAATGTCATATCTAAGGAATCTTTGTCTAACTGAAGATTGCAAAGGTTTTCTCCTGAGTTTTCTTCTAGAAGTTTAATAGTTTTAAGTTTTATATTTAGGCCTGTGATCTACTTTGAATTAATTTTTGTATATAGTGAAAGGTATGGATTGGAGTTCTTTTTTTCCCATATGGATATCTAACTGAGGCAGCATTATTTATTGAAAGGATTATCCCTTTTCCACTGAATTATCTTTGCACCTTTGTCAAAAATAAACTGTCCATATCTGTGTGGGTCTAATTCTGTATTCTCTATTCAGTTTCATTGATCTATTCGTCTTTTTTTTTTTTGTACCTCTTCATTTCCCTCATCTATTTCACTTATCCTCCCACCCCCATCCCTTCTGGCAACCACCTGTTTGTTCTCTGTATCTATGACTCTTTTTTTTTTTTTTTTTTTTCCTTTTTTTTTTTTTTTGATTCCACATATAAGTGAAATCACACAGTATTTGTCTTTCTCTGTCTGACTTACTTCACTTAGCATAGTACCCTCTAGGTCCATACCTGTTGTTGCAAATGGCAAGGTTTTATTTTTTTTATGGCTGACTAATACTCCATTGTGTATATCACAACTTCTTTATCCATTCATCTATCAGTGGGGACTTAGGTTGCTTCTGTATCTTGGCTATTGTGAATAATGCTGCAATGAACATAGGGTGCATATATCTTTTCAAAATAGTTTTTGTTTTGTTTTGTTTTCTTTGGGAAAATATCCAGAAGTGGAATTACTGGATCATATGGTAGTTTTATTTTTAATTTTTTGAGGAACTTCCATACTATTTTCTGTAGTGACTTCACCAATTTACATTCCCACCAACAGTGCATGAGGGTTCCCTTTTCTCCACATCCTCACCAACACTTGTTATTTGTTGTCTTTTTTGATGCCAATACCACACTGTCTTGATTACTCTGGCTTTATAAGTCTTGAAGTAGGTAGTGATGGTCCTCTAATTCTTTCTTTTTCTAAGTTATCTTGGCTATTCTAGGTACTTTGCATTTTCATATGAAGTATAACATCAGCTTCTTAATTTCTAAAAAAAAATGCCAACTGGGATTATCATAGGGATTGCTTTGATTTTATAAATCAATTTGGGGAGAATTGACATCCTAAAAAAGTTGAATCTTCCAACCCATGAGTAAGGTCTCTCTCTCTCCATTTATTTAGGTCTTCTCTTAGTGGTATTTTACAGCTTTCAGGGTACAGGCCTTGTACATCTTTTGTCAAATTTAACCTTAAGTATTTCATATTTTTATACTATTATAAATAGTATAATAAATAGCATTTTTAATTTCAATTTTTTATTGCTTGTTGTCCGTATGTAGAAATATAGGAGGTTTTTGTATATTGAACTTTTATCCTGCAACCTTGCTAACTTCATTTATTAGTTCTAGTAGATTTTTTTTAAAAGATTACATCAGGTTTTCTCTATAGATAATCATATTGTCTGATTATAAATAAAGACAGCTTTACATAGTTCTTTCCAGTATGGATAAAACAGTCCCACACCACCCAAAAAAATTCCCTCATGCTGTCCTTTTTAAATAACATTAAATAACATCATCCCTCCACTTATAACTCCTGCCAACCACTGATCTGTTCTCCATTACTCATTTTGATTTTCAAGAATGCCTTATAAATGGAATCACTGCACATAAATTTTTAGACTGGCTTCTTTTATTCAGCAAAATGCCTTTGAGATTCATCCATGTTTTTGTATGTATCAGTAGTTCTCCCCTTTTTATTACTGAGTAGTATTCCATTATGTGGATATAACACAGTTGGTTTGTCTATTCACCTGGTGAAGGACATTTGGATTGTTTCCCATTTGGGGTAATTATAAATAGAACTGCTATAAACACTTCGTGTACAGGCTTTTTTGTGCCCACAAGTTTTCATACTCTTAGAGTAGATACTCAGGGGTGGTATTCCTGGGTCATATGATTAATATATGTTCAACTTTATAAGACACTGCCAAACCCTTTTCCAGAGTGATGGTATCACTTTGCATTCCTAACAGCCATCCATGTATGAGAGTCCAGTTGCTCTGCATCTTCACAAGTATTTCATACTGTCAATATTTTTTTTAAAATTTGAGCCATTGTAATTGGTATGTAGTAGTGATTGATAAGTTATTAAGAAATATTTCCTAATATTTTGAGGTTTTGTATACCTCTAAATATCTGTTATTGATTTCTAAAATAATTTCTGTATGATCAGAGAACATAATTTGTATGACTTATAAATTTATTAAGACTTGTTTATGGCCCAGAATATGATTTTTCTTGATAAATGTTTCAAGTGTACTTAAAAAATAATTTGTATCCTGCTGTTGTTGGGTAGAGTGTTCTACAACTGTCAGGTCAAATTCATTAATAGTGTTCAAGTTTTCTGTATCCTTGCTGATTTCTTTGTCTACATGTTCTGTAAATTATTGAGAGAGGGTATTGAAATCTCTGACTGTAATTGTGGATTTGTCTATTTCTCATTGAAATTCTATCAGTTTTGCTTCATGGATTTCAAGGCTCTGTTATTAGGTTCATTAACATTTAGGACTGTTACGTCTTCTTGATGAATCAACCCCTTTATTATTATAAAACATACCTCTTTATCCCAGGTAATATTCTTTGCTCTGAAATGTTCTACATATGATATTAATATAGCCACTCCAGCTTTCTTTAGTGTTAGCGTGGTACATCTATTTCTACTTTTTAAATTTTAACCTGTATGTGTCTTTACATTTAAAGTGGATTTTTGGTGGGCAGCATATATGAGTCTTTCTCCTTTATCTAATCTGACAATTTCTGTTTTTTGATTGGAGTCTTTAGACTATTTACATTTGATATGATTATTGATATGGTTAGGGTTTCCTATTTGTCTCATCAGTTTTTTGCCCTTTTTCCTCTTTTTTACTTCTTTTTTTTTTTTTTGCGGTACGCGGGCCTCTCACTGTTGTGGCCTGTCCCGTTGCAGAGCACAGGCTACGGACGCGCAGGCTCAGCGGCCATGGCTCACGAGCCCAGCCGCTCCGCGGCACGTGGGATCCACCCGGACCGGAGCACGAACCCGTGTCCCCTGCATCGGCAGGCGGACTCTCAACCACTGCGCCACCAGGGAAGCCCACATTATTATTTTTGTTTAAACATTTTAGATATCTTTTAAAGGAATTTAAATAGTAAGAGAAAGTCTTTTATATTTACCTACATAGCTATCATCCAGTGCTTTTCATTCCTTTGCGTAGATTCACATCTCTCTGATGCCATTTTTCTTCTGCCTGAAGGCCTTCCTTTAACATTATTTCTTATAATGCTGGTCTGCTGCTGATGAATTCTTTCAGTTTTCGTATGTCTAAATATTCTTTATTTCACCTTCATTTATTTGTGTTTGTTTGTTTGTTTGGCCTCGCAGCTTGCAGGATCTTAGTTCCCCAACCAGGGATTGAACCCAGGCCCTTGGCAGTGAAAGCACAGAGTCCTAACCACTGAACCGCCAGGGAATTCCTTCACCTTCATTTATTGAAAGATATGCTTTTTGGCCTGGAATTCTTAATTGACAAATTTTTTGCTGTCAGTACTTTTAAGACGTTGCTTCACTGTCTTCTCACTTCTGCTGTTTCCTTCAGGAAATCTCTTGTCCTTTACTTTGTTCCTCTATGCATGCCTTTCTATCTCTGGCTGCATTTCAGATTTTGTCTTTATCACTAGTTTTGAGCAGTTTGATCATGATGTGCCTTGGTATAAATTTCTTCATTTTTAATTTGCTAGGGTTTTTCTTCTTAGTTTTCATCAAAATTTGAAAATTTTTGTTCATTATTTCTACAGCTTTTTTTGGTCTCTTCCCTCCTTTGGGGATTTCAATCACACTTATACTAGGCTACTTCAAGTTATCCTACACCTCACTGTCTTCATTTTTTTTCAAAAAAATTTTCTCTTTCTTTCATCTTGTTTCTATTGCTATGTTTTCAAATTCACTATTCTTTTTTTTTGCCCATCTAATCTGTTTTGCTCTGAAATCTTGTTATTAATCTAATCCAGTGTATATTTTCATTGCAGACATTATATCAATAGTTTTCATCCTTAAAAGTTCAGTTTGGGTATTTTTTTAAACATCTTCCACATCTCTACGTAACATGTTCAGCATTTCCTCTTGATTTTTGAACATGTGGAATATACTAATCTAGATATATACTAGAATTATATATCTGCTAATTCTAATGTTCTGTGTTGATTATGAGTCAGCTTCAACTGATTGAGTTTTTATTATGGCTTGTGTCTTCCTGCCTTTCTGCATTTGAGGTAATTTTTTTAATTGGATGTTAGACATTGTGAATTTTACTTCATTGGATGCTGCATATTTTTGTAACCGAGCAAGGGCTTATGTGCCTGCAGCGCAGAAAGTCAAACTCTGACAGCGGGTGTTTGCAGCAAAGTAAGGGTTTATTGCAGGGCACCAAGCAAGGGAGTGGTCTTTGAGATAGGGATATTTTAAAGGGGAAGAACAAGGAAACTGGGTTTAATCATCATCTTGTGACATTTCTTAATCAGGGTTTCGGGAGTCAGGATGACTCTGGTTTATGATTCTCTGGCCAGGTGGTCCATGGCTCGGAGGTCTGTGAGTTCATGTTGCCCTAGAGAAACAAGCTGAGTTTATATGTTAATGATGATACCTATAACAGCAATTTTAGTACATTTACGATGTTGTCAACAACTGCAATCTTAGTCATCTGTTTTGGTTTATTAGTGTCCAATTAGCACAAGATTGAGGTCAGAGAGGACAAGAAAGGGATTGAGGTCAGAGGAGACAAGCAAGGGAATAAAGTTTTGGATAGATTAATCGCAAACTCAGTAAGGGAACTTGGTTTTAGGGGGGCTTAGTTTCATATTTGTATTCCTATAAATATTCTTGAGTTTGTTCTGGTATGTAGTTAAGTTACGTAGTAAGTGTGATCTTCTGACTTCTAAGATTTGGTGGGCAATACTAGAGCAGCGTTTATTCTAGGGTTAATTTTTCCCACTACTTGGCTATGCTCTTCGGAGTACTCTAACCCAATATTTGTGAATTATGAGGTTTTCCATTCTCACTGATGGAAACAGGCATTATTCCTGGCCCTGTGTGAGCTCAGCTTACTGTTCCCACTGATGATTTCAGGTGATTCTTTATTTTCAGACTCAGACCCAGATAGTCTCTCCTCACTTTGCACTGGAAACATCACAAATGTACTCTAGCAGGTGAGAAAAGATGATGGCAGCAGGGCCTTTATAAGACTTCCATGGCCCCAGGGTACTCCGACAGTGTAAGACCCTATGCCACTACCTACTAAGCATCTTAAAATGTACCCCATATTCCACATTAAATGCCTTTTTTAAACTGTAACATTTGAAAATCTTTTTATAATTTGTACAGTTTTGAGTTTTATAAAGTATAGGTTGCTTGTTCTTTTCTTATAGACTTAAACATTATGCACACACAGAGTGGAGTTGATAAGTTGTAAATATTTTTGTAAATATTTAATTATTTTGATTTTGTGGGGGGTTATTTTTTAGTCAGTATTTTTTCAAGTCTCAAACATTTCTGCAGGCCCTTGAAAAATCTCATAGGCTCTGGGCACTGTGCCTACAGAGCTCCTGGATGGGAGCAGGGGGAGTAGAGAGGAAGGAACAAATTGGACAGCAAGGATTGGATAGTGCTTGAGCTGCATATGATTGGAGGGGAGGGAAAAGGAACTGGAGAAGTTGTTGCTCCCTACCCAGCTAGCTTCAGCACAACCATTTGCAGAGATGGAAGAGCCGTGAGAAGGCACAAGTTGTAGGAGAAAGGGTGTATTCTATTTGGGACAGAAAGACAGCCACTCTCTTATCAGGAGGTGAAGAAAGGCAACAGGGTGCCAAATTCCTTTCCTTTTGTCATAGGGCACATCATCTTGAGCTGGTCTGGAAGATGTGAATAGTCAATACCTGTCTCTGCTAACACCCTTATTAATATGAAGACCATATCTTAGAAATGTGGCAATAACGCAGATGCCAATCTCTAGAAAAAATAGTTCCCATAGGCTAATACGCTAAGGAGGATGATGAGCTGTCTCATGATAACTTCCCCTTTTTAGCAAAGTACCTTGGCTTACTTCCTTGATCAGTTTTTCAGAATTTCATAGATGTTTCCAGCACCACCTTCTGTGATGACATCTCCCAAAGGAAGTCGAGCCCAGAAGCTGAAGCTGCCCACTTTAACACGAAAGGGGACACTGGAGGTGCCGTCCCCTACAGAGAAGGACTGGTCTAAGGATGATGAAGAGGATTGGGTCTTCAAGGGTCCAGATCAAGAGCAGGATTCCCTACCTCAGCCTTATCGAATGATCAACAAGCTAGTGAACTTTCTGTTTGACCACTCGTGGGAAATTATTGAGGAGAGGGATGCATCGAGGAAAGCTGAGCTCAGCCGCATCCAGCCCACCATCTACCCTCCACTTCTAGAAAGCAAGGTATGGAGCAGCTGACAAGGCAGCCTTGTTTCTGAACTGAGTGTTAATAAATGATAACACCTGATCCAGGGAAGGAATTACTACCAGGAACCTTCATTCAATAGGACAGTGCATTTTTGAAAGATTATAGGCATGTTGGTGTTGATGAAAATAGATCTAGTAATTGCCTGGGGAAATGGGTGTTCTGGTTAATTGAAGATTATACAGATGTATCTTTTACATCCTATTGTTATGTAAAAATCTTTCAGAGTGCATTAATCACTCCCTTGCTTGACGGTTGAAAATCTGCCAGTGTGTCAGTTATAGTTCTTACCAGTGTTCTAGTTGAATAAAGTACAGGGAATGGGGCCACTGGTCCACTCACCACAGCGCCTGTGGTCACGCTTAGTGTTGTGAATGAGCATTTATTCTCAACTTCTTTGTTTTCTCTGGCCCCTTTCCCCTAAGAGTAGAATGCTATGACTTTCTTGATGTTTGGGCAAGATATTTAGATGGGCACTGTGTTTGGACATGATACTATAACTAGGAGGGACCTGCTTCCCTCTTTGAAAAGTTAGCTCATATTACTTGCAGATGGTGATACCTGAAAAATCATTCCTTTTTTCTATGTTTTTCTTTTCCCAGCTCAACAAAACGCCGAATTGTATGGCTATTTCCCAAGACTATGTGTTTATTGGAGGAACCAAAGGATTCTCCATCTATAATCTGTACAATGCTAAACGAATATATGTTTGGGAGAAACTTAAGGTTGATGTCACTTACATCTGGGCCACAGATTTGGGGAGTGAAATACTTATTGCTTCTGTGGATGAAATGGGTACACATTCTTCATCTTCCTTTTTAGCCTAATTTATAGGTACCTGTAGACTGTTGTTCAACGTAATCTCCTTTCCAGGCATGGGAGGGGCCAGACCTGGAGAGTTCTCCCTGGTCATGTAGTATTAACTAACATCTGCAGGACAGTATGGTGTGCCAGGCACTATTCTAACATTTCACACATGTTGGCGCATTTCACCGTCACAACAGCCTTAGTAGGTAAATACAGTTTATTATTCTTGTTTTTCAGAAGAGGCAACTGAGGCATGGAGGTTAAATAACCTACTTGAGGTAATGCAGAAAGTAAGTGGCACAGGCAGGATTTGAACCAGGCAGTGTGGGCCCAGAGTCCACATCCTTTCCAGCACTCAGCAATCCTGCTGCTCATTTAAGCCAGGCTTGCTTTTCTTCCTCAGCCTGAGGATGACCCAGACATGGGGACCATAGTATAGAGAACTATGGACAGTGTCCTGGAAGATACGTGTCTGCAGGAGAGTGACCTGACCCAACTGGCATTTTAGGAAGAGCATCTTGACAGGAGTTTGCAAAAGTCAAATGGAGAGGTAGAGAGACCAGGAGGAGCTAGTGCATTCATTTAGCAGAGAAATTATGAAGGCCTGAACCAAGGCAGGGGCTGTTAAAATGAAAAGAAAATTGTACTGTAGTTCTGTAAGATGTTAACATTAGGGGAAATGAGGTGAGGGATTATAAGGGAACTCTGTACTATTTTTGCAGTTTTTCTCTAAGTCTAAAATTAGTTCAAAATAAAAAGCTTAAAAAAAGGAAAATATAGTAGAAAAACTTGGTGAGTGATGGAATATATGTATGGGGTCAGGGAGTAGGGCGGTATGTGAGGGTAAGTGAAGAAAAATTACTCCTTTCCTCCTTAGATAATGGGGTGGGTGATGATGTCATTACTTGATAAGCAATTTTAGGAGAATAAGATTTCAGGGGTCTGTGAGTTGAGAAATTCCATTTGAGCATGCACATCTTTGAGGCACCTGGAGTGGGAATGTTGATACTCAGGAGGAGTTTGGTGTAAAAATAGGACTGCATTTATCACACTGCATTATATCTAGTTCGTTTCCTGTCTGTGTGATTCTCAATGTGATGAATTTGAGGGCAGAGACTGCCTTGGTTGTCCCTAGCACATTTGTGGTCATGGAGCAGATATCCCATGAATGTTTATTGGGTTGAGTTAGACTGTCACCCACAGTGATCCAGATACCTCTGCAAGGTCATTATTATGGCTGTAGGGGCAGGTTATGAGTGTCTGGGAGGCACCTAAAGAAAGAGGCAAGAAGTCATGGTGGATGATGATCACATACTAGAGCCCTTAGGTTAAATGAGAATGAGAATGACAAAATTACTTATTGTATCAACAAAATTAACTGCATGAGGAGCTTGTTGGGCTGTGAGAAATGAGGCACATAGAAGAGTAAGATGTGATCCTTTCCCAGAGAATCTGTGAACTCACTCGAGGAATAAAAAACACTCACAGGAAGCAGTTGGATAACAATGTGAAACACTATGGGATGTTGTGCTAAAACAGGTGAATAGAAATCACGAGTGGATTGGTGTGGCCGAAGTGCTTACAAGAGGATTCTAGAAGAAGAGGGTAGGGCCAGTGTAGACCGAGACGACCCAAGAGGGAGAATAACTTGAACATTTCAAGTGAGGGGTGGAAGAAGGCAAGGAGTCCAAGATGATCACGGGCAGTGGAGGGGCCGGGCCGGAAGCCTAATAATGCATGAGTTTATCATGATATCTCAGAAAGTCAAATATAAAATTTCAACTTTTCTTCGGTTCACCTGCCTGTCTTTCACTCTTACTTATTTTTCTGTTTCAGGTATCATTAGACTATTTTATTTTTATAAGGATGGCCTTTACCTCATCAAAGCCATCAATGAAGTGGTAAGCTCATGTTCTTTCATCTGTAGCTGGGCCAAAAGCCGTAGAAAATCAAGTTTACTTTTAACATAGAGGCAATGACAGCCATCCTAGAGTAGAAAGACATAGAGACCTCCCTGGCCAGAGAGCCTCCTCCAAAATATCCAATTAAAAGATCCCTCACCATCAGAGGGTACATACTGAATGCCTTGGATTCATTTTCCCGGTTGTCAAGAGAAGAAAATGACTAAGGAACTCCGGTCCAGATTGAGCACCAGACCAACATGTCTAATAACTGCTTACAAGTCCCTAAAATTTCCAGGCTGCTTCACATCCTGTTCCCTTGTCCATGCTGTTCCCTTTGCATAGAAGGCTCTCCTTCTATGTCTCCCTACCTACTGTGTGTACCTCTTAAATTTCTCTCATTCTTCAAGACCAGCTCAAATATCCCCTCCTCTGAGATGCTTTCCCTGATATACCCAAGAGAAGTTGATCTCTCCCTCCTCTGTGCCACCACCATATAGGAAAGAATTTCTATCACAGTGTTTTCTCTACCCTCCACACTTATTTGTTTATATGACTGCTTCTTCTCCTGGATGTAAGTTCCTTGAGGGCAGAGGACATGGCTTATTCACCATATATTTCTTGTTCCTAGTACATTGCCTGCATACTATAGGTTCTTAGAAAGTGTCTTTTTTTTTTAAATTAATGAATCCAAAAAAGAGGCGGTATTGCTCAGAGTATATTTTTAGTTGTAGTTTGTTTTATAAAAAATACTATTGATGGGCACCAAAGCAGTTCAGTGGGAAAAAGAAAGTATTTTCAACAAATGATGCTGGAATGCTAGATAAACAAATGGGGGAAAATGAACCTCAACCCTACCTCACATCATATATAAAAATTAATTTGAGATGGATTATAGACCTAAATGTAAAGGCTAAAAACATTATCCTTTTTGAAGAAAACACAGGACATGTTTTTTGCAACCTTGGGGCAGGCAAAGATTTCTTAGGACATAAAAGGCACTATCCATAAAAGAAAAAACTGAAATTGGACTTCATCGAAATTAGATACTTTTAATTCCTCATGACATATACAAAAATTAACTCAAAATGGTCATATATCTATATGAAAAATCTAAAACTATAAAACCTCTAGAAGAAAACATAGGAGGAAGTCTTTGTGACCTTGAGTTAGGCAAAGATTTTTTAACTACAACACGAAAACCACATTCCATACAAGAAAAAAATTGATAGATTAGACTTCATCAAAACTAAAACCTTCTGGGCTTCCCTGGTGGCATAGTGGTTAAGAACCCACCTGCCAATGCAGGGGACACAGGTTCAATCCCTGGTCCAGGAAGATCCCACATGCCGTGGAGCAACTAAGCCGGTGCACCACAACTACTGAGCCTGTGTGCTGCAACTACTGAAGTCCCACGCCTAGAGCCTGTGCTCCACAACGAGAATCCACCTCAATGAGAAGCCTGCGCACCTCAACGAAGAGTAGCCCAGACTCACTGCAACTAGAGAAAGCCCCCACACAGCAACAAAGACCCCACGCAGCCAAAAATAAATAAATTTATTTTTTAAAAAACCCCCTAAAACCTTCTGTTTTGCAAAAGACATTGTTAAAAGAATAAAAAGGCAAGTCATAGACTGGGAGCAAATAATTGCAAGTCACATATCTGATAAAAGACTTGTATCCAGAACATATGAAGAACTCTCAAAACTCAAAAGTAAGAAAACAACCCAGTTTTTTAAAATGAGCAAATGTCTTGGGGAAAAAAGGACAGTTTACTAAAGAATATATAGAGAGGGTAAATAAGATGTTCACCATCATTAGTCATTAGGGAAATGCAAATTAAAATCATGAGATATCACTGCACGTGTATTAGAATGCCTAAAACTGAAAAGACTGACCATACCAAGTGTTGGCAGAGCTATGGAAGAGCTGGAACTCTCATTCACTGCTGGTGGTAAAGCATAGTGTCACAACCACTTTGGCAGTTTTTTTAAAAAGTTAAACATACACCTAGCATATGATGTGGCCGTTCCACTCCTAGACATTTACCTAGGAGAGATGAAAGCATATCTCCATACAAAGACGTGTACGTGAATGCTCACAGCAGCTTTCTTTGTAATAGCCAGAAACCAGAAATCACTCAACACCCATCAACAGGTGAATGGATAAGCAAATCATGGCACATACTGCTCAGCAGTAAAAAGGGTGCACATAACAACATGGCTACATCTCAGAATAAATAGACTGAGTGAAAGAAGAGAAACAAAAAAGAATACATACATACTGTACGATTGCATTTATGTAAAATTCTAGAAAATACAAACTAACCTAGTGACAGGAAACACCAGTTTTTGCCTGGGGTGAGTTGGGAGAGGGGTGGAGGGAAAGCTTACAAAGGGGCAGGAGGAAACTTTTGGCAGTGGTGGATATGTCCACTTTCTTGATTGTGGTGCTGGTTTCAAGGGATACACATGTCTAAACTAATCAAACTGTATACTTTAAACATGCAGTTTATTATGTTATCACATCCCTAATAAAGCTGCTAAAAAATTTAAAACTTATGCTCGTCAAAAGATGCTATTAGGGACTTCCCTGGTGGCACAGTGGTTAAGAATCCATCTGCCAATGCAGGGTACACGGGTTTGAGCCCTGGTCCAGGAAGATCCCACATGCCGCGGAGCAACTAAGCCTGTGTGCCACACTACTGAGGCTGCATGCCACAACTACTGAAGCCCACGCGCCTAGAGCCCATGCTCCTCAACAAGAGAAGCCACTGCAATAAGAAGCCCACGCACACCAACAAAGAGTAGCCCCCGCTCACTGCAACTAGAGAAAGCCCACGTGCAGCAAGGAAGACCCAACACAGCCAAAATTTAATTAATTAAGTAATTAATTTAAAAAAAGATGCTATTAGAGTTCTATCAGTATCAGGGGCAGAGAGCAGACCCCAGAGAGCTCTGAGAAATCCCACCGCCGCCCTGCCTAGTGGCCTCACTCCCTAGGAGGAACCACAGCTGTCACAGCCGGCCCCAGTCACCATGACCACAAGCCTGAGCAAGGAGGTGGAGACCCAGCAGCCCACAGCCCTCCACACTGCCCACACTTGCACCGCCCGTGCAAGGAGCTGCGTCTGCTGGTGGGGACAAGGAGATTATGGCAACAAAGGTTTGGGGAACAGTCAGATGGTTCCTGTGAACAACAGATACGGTTTCACCACCAGTAAGGACACAAAGGAAGAGGTACTTGGACAACAGACTGCCATAAAGAATAACCCAGGAAGTGTCTTTGCCGTGTAGGAGATAGACCGTGGAGTGTGATGTTGTTGAAGGAGAAAGGGTGCAGAGGCTGCCGATGTTATAGGCCCTGTAAGATTCCAGTTACATGAAATTTAGGAACAGTTGAAACCAAGCTATGTTGGTGAGGAAGAGCAGAACGTTTGTTGCCTATAGAGGTGTAATTGACTGAAACAGGGCACTAAGGAACTTATACCTTGACTGTGTGTTAGTTACATGGATGTATACATATGTCCAAACCCATCAAGTTGTACATTTAATTTCTGTGCCTTTAACTGTTTTTATTTATTTTATTTAACAAAGTACTTTATTCTTTTCTTAAAATTTATTTATTTTATTTATTAATTTTTGGCTGCGTTGGGTCTTTGTTGCTGCATGCAGGCTTTCTCTAGTTGCGGCAAGTGGGAGCTACTCTTTGTTGCAATGCGCGGGCTTCTCATTGTGGTGGCTTCTCTTGTTGCAGAGCACGGGCTCTAGGCGCGTGGGTTTCAGTAGTTGTGGCATGCAGGCTTCAGTAGTTGTGGCTCGTGGGCTCTAAAGGGCAGGCTCAGTAATTGTGGCGCATGGGCTTAGTTGCTCCGCGACATGTGGGATCTTCCCGGGCCAGGGGTCGAACCCGTGTCCCCTGCATTGGCAGATGGGTTCTTAACCACTGTGCCACCAGGGAAGTCCCTTTAACTGTTTTTACTTTATTTTATTTTATTTTATTATTATTTTTTTTTTGCGGTACGCGGGCCTCTCACCGTTGTGGCCTCTCCTGTTGCGGAGCACAGGCTCCAGACACGCAGGCTCAGCGGCCATGCCTCATGGGCCCAGCAGCTCTGCGGCATGCCCAGACCGGGGCACGAACCCGTGTCCCCTGCATCGGCAGGTGGACTCTCAACCACTGCGCCACCAGGGAAGCCCCAACTGTTTTTAAATTTTATGTAAAAAGAAATCTCTCTAAAAAAAATACAGGGAATACTCATCAACTGATTTTAGGAGACCAGCAAAACTGTGATATCCAAACTTGACAGGGACATTAAAAAAAAAGTAGTGTTGGTGGATTAGAACACACCAAAAGTGTTAAAAAAAAGTTAATTCATTACATATATTTTTAAGGACTTCATTATTACCTCTGGAAGTTGCTAGGGTACAAACTCAGTATTCTGAAAACTGATTAGGGAGAGCATCAGCATTTATCTTGACTTGCCCATATAGGCTGTATTTCAGGGTAATCAAATAGTTGATGATGGAAAAATGGAAAGATTTTCTTTATAGAAGAATTCTAACAAATGCAGAAGGAATGATAGAATTGGGGGATATCAGTTTTGTAGCCATTTTGCAGAGTAATGGTCTAGGTAACGACCATCAGTGCTGATGGGGGACTTTATAACTGATGAGCCAGGATGACACCTCTTGTCAATGATCACCATGAACATTATTAAAAGAAAGAACAGGGCTTCCCTGGTGGCGCAGTGGTTGAGAGTCCGCCTGCCGGTGCAGGGGACACGGGTTCGTGCCCCGGTCCGGGAAGATCCCACATGCCGCAGAGCGGCTGGGCCCATGAGCCATGGCCGCTGAGCCTGCGCGTCCGGAGCCTGTTGCTCCGCAACGGGAGAGGCCACAACAGTGAGAGGTCCGCGTACCGCAAAAAAAAAAAAAAAGTAAAAGAAAGAACAGCTAGCTATTATGAGCCTCCTCATGTGATGCCGGAGGGAGACACCAAACACCTGTGGAGTATTCTGTCCTTTTGTTTTAATTGAGCCTAAATCTAATCAAACCTCTAGAACTGGTTGCTGGTTTACAGGAAATACATGTAAACAATGCCATGGGATGCAATCAGTCCAATCCAGAAAGTGAAAAATTCCACAGGACAAATGAACTGGTTTATTCAACAAAAAAATGGTGAAAAGAAAAACAAATAGGGTAACAGTTATAAATTAAAAGAGACTTAAGAGATAAATTAACGAAATATTGGGTTGGCCAAAAAGTTCATTTAGGTTTTTCGTAAGACGTTACAAAAAACCCGAATGAACTTTTTGGCCAACTCAATACAATACATAGACTTCATTTGAATCCTGATTTCTCAGTTTTGATAGTGACTTTTTTAAAAAGATTTTTATTGGAGTATAGTTGATTTACAATGTTGTGTTAGTTTCAGGTGTACAGCAAAGTGAATCAGTTACACATGAATTCTGATTTGAACAAACCAGTTGTGGAGCGGTATTTATTAGATTGAGGAAATTTGAAAACAGACTGGATAGTAGGTGGTATTAAGGAACTAGGATTAATTAAATAGAAATATTTAATGAAGTTGGGAGACAATAAAACAAGATTTGTCATTTATTGATAACTGGTGAAGTTGAGTAATGGATACATAGGGTTCATTATACTAATTTTTGTCTTCATGTACATTTGAAATTTCTATAACCTACAAATTGATATTAAAATACATAAATAAAAATATTTTTAAATGACCATATTACCCAAGGCAGTCTACAGATTCAATGCAATCCCTATCAAAATACCAATGGCATTTTTCACAGAACTAGAACAAATAATTTTAAAATTTTTATGGAAATACAAAAGACCCTGGATAGTCAAAGCAATTTAGAGAAAGAACAGAGCTGGAGGAATCACAATTCCTGACTTTAGACTATACTAAAAAGCTACAGTAATCAAAATAGTAGGTATTGGCACAAAAACAGACACATAGATTAGTGGAACAGGATAGAAAACCCAGAAATAACCCATGCATGTATGCCCAATTAATCTATGATAAAGGAGGCAAGATTGTATAATGGAGGAAAGACAGTATCTTCAGTAAGTGGTGCTGGGAAAACTGGACAGCTACATGTAAAAGAATGAAATTAGAACATTCTTTAATATAAAAAATTCTTTAATGTTCTAATGAAATTAGAACATTCTTTAATATAAAAAAATAAACTCAAAATGGATTAAAGACCTAAATGTAAGACCGGATATTATAAAACTCCTAGAGGAAAACATAGGCAGAACACTCTTTGACATAAATCACAGCAATATTTGTTTTGGATCTGTCTCCTGAGGTAATGGAAATAAAAGCAAAAATAAACAAATGGGACCTAATTAAACTTAAAGGCTTTTGCACAGCAAAGGAAACCATAAACAAAATGAAAAGAATGGGAGAAAATATTTGCAAATGATGCAACCAAGGGATTAATTTCCAAAATATATAAATAGCTCATACAACTCAACATCAAAAAGACAAACAACCTGATTTAAAAATGGGCAGAACAATTGAATAGACATTTTTCCAAAGAGGAAATGCAGATGGCCAACAAGCACATGAAAAGATGCTTAACGTCACTAATCATCGGAGAAATGCAAATCAAAACCACACAAAGATATCACCTCACACCTGTCAGAATGACTGTTATCAAAAAGAACACAGGGACTTCCCTGGTGGTCCAGTGAGTAAGACTCTGCACTCCCAATGCAGGGGGCCTGAGTTCAATCCCTTGTCGGGGAACTAGATCCTGCATGCGTGCCACAACTAAGAAGTCCACATGCTGCAACTAAACATGCCACAACGAAAATCCTGTGTGCCACAACTAAGACCCAGCACATCCAAAATAAATAAATATTAAAAAAAACCCCCAAAAAACAAAAGCCCTTTAAAAAAAAAAAAAAGAACACAACAAATGTTGGCGAAAGTGTAAAGAAAAGGGAACCCTCATACACTGTTGGTTGGAATGTAAATTAGTGGAGTCAATGTGGAAAACAGTGTGGAGGTTTCTCATAAAACCAAAAATAGAACTACTGTATGACCCAGCAATTCCACTCCTGGGTATATAAGGGAAAAAAACCCAAAAACCCTAATTCGGAAAGATACATGCATCCCAATGTTCTTAGCAGCATTATTCACAATTGCCAAGATATGGAAGCAACCTACGAGTCCATCAACAGGTGAATGGATAAAGAAGACACACACACACACACACACACACACACACACACACACACACAGAGGAATACTACTAAGCCATAAAAAAGAATGATATTTTGCCATTTGCAGCAACATGGATGGACTTGGAGGGTATTATGCTAAGTGAAAAAAGTCAGACAGAGAAATACAAATACTGTTTGATATCACTAATATGTGGAATCTAAAAAATATAACAAACCAGTAAATATAACAAAAAAGTAGCAGACTCACAATTATAGAGAACAAACTAACACTTACCAGTGGGGAGAGGGCAGTGGGGAGGAGCAATATAGGGGTATGGGATTAAGAGGTACAAGCTATTACATATAAAATAAGCTACAAGGATATATTGTAAAATATGGGGAATATAGCCAGTATTTTATAATAACTATAAATGGAGCATAAATTTTTAAAATTGTTAATAACTATATTGTACGTCAAATATACTCCAATTTTTAAAGAAAGAAAGTGAGGGACTTCCCTGGTGGTCCAGTGGCTGAGACTCCGTGCTCCCAATGCAGGGCACCCGGGTTCAATCCCTGGTCAGGGAACTAGATCCCACATGCCACAACTAAGAGTTCACATGCAGCAACTAAAGATCCCATATGCCACAACTAAAGATCCTGCATGTCACAACTAAGACCTGGTGCAGCCAAATAAATAAATGAAATAAAAATAAAATGAAAGAAAAACAAAAATTAAAAATGTTTAAAACTCATTCTCCTTAAATAATTTAGGGGACTCACCAGCCTAATTTGTCTAGCCACCTTATGTTGCTAGTCTTAGAGCTCCTTAAAAGTATAGCACAACCGTACACATTGAGTCTTTTTCACCTGGCCCAAAGTTTGAGCAGGTTTCATTGTAGGGTTACATTCAGTCTCTACTTAATATGGACTGAATGTTTGTGTCTCCCTAAAATTCATGTTGAAATCCTAATCCCCAATGTGGGAGGTGATTAGGTCATGAGGGCAGAGTCCTCATAAATGGGATTAGGGCCCTTATAAGACCAAGAGAGCTCCCTCAACCCTTCCACCACGTGAGGACATAGCCACAGGTGGCAGGTGGTCTATGAGCCAGGAAGCTAGGTCTTACCAGACACTGAATCTGCCAGAAATCCTTGGAAATCTTGGATTCCCAACCTCCAGGACTATGAGAAATAAATGTTAATTGTTTATGAGCCACCCAGTCTATGGTATTTTGTTTTAGCAGCCCAATCAGACTATGACACTACAGTAGCCTAGACAGAGCCTTTTTTCAAGCAACTTACCAGAGTTTTCAGTGTCATGTAGAACTTGTTTCAGCTCATTTTGAATACCTGAGTGGTGGCATAGGTCTGTAGGGTTTGCAAACCTGACCAGGAGATCAGATAGTATGAAATCACTACAAATCATCAGGAGTACTTAAGAAACCAGGAAATAAGTCCCAAACCCTTTAGACAGAAAACTGAGTTCCACTTCTTTACTTACAATCTTGTCTAATTCCTGTGCAAAAATGGAAAGTTTGAAGCAGTTTGAGGCATCTTTTTATGCCTCAAGTTTTAAAAGGATTTATTTCCCTGGTGTGAACTACAAAAAGCCCTGAAATACATTCTCTTCTGTCATCAGGCTGAACTTGCTCTCTCAGTATCTCTCTTCCTTTCAGGATGATACCAGCAAGCAAACCACCTGTATAAAGATGGAGATTTCTGAAGGAGGAGACTTTGCAGCCTTCCTCCTACAAGGTAAGATTAACCAAAGGCTCTTAAGAAGATTCAGATTTGCAATCTCTTCCAGATAATCACTTTTCTCCAAAACCTTTTTAAACTTCATTTATTTATTTATTTAGGCTATGCAGGGGGGGGGTGTCTTACTTGCAGCATGCGGGATCTTTGTTGCAGAATGTGGGTTCCTTAGTTGTGGCATGTGGACTCTTAGTTGCAGCATGCGGGATCTAATTCCCCGGGCCCCCTGCATTGGGAGCACGGAGTCTTACCCACTGGACCACCAGTGAAGTCCCAAACATTTTATTTAGAAATAATTTACAGAAGAGTTGCAAAGATAGGACAGAGTTCCCTTATACCCTTCACCCAGTTTCCCTAATGCCAACATTTAACAAAACCATGGTACAGTTGTCAAAATTAAGCAAATAACATTGGTATAATACTATTAACTACAGTTTTTTTTCACGTTTTGCCAGTTTTTCTTCTAATTTTTTTGCTCCAAGGTGCAATCCAGGATATCATATTGCATTTAGTCATCGTCATATTATCTATACCTATTTGTGATGTCTTGACCTTGCCTTGTTTTTCATGACCTTGACACTTTTGAAGAGTACCAGTCAGATATTTTGTGCAATGTCCCTGAATTTCAGTTTGTCTGAATTTTTTCTCATGATTCAACCAGGGTTAAGGATTTGGGGTAAAGTCCCACAAAGGAACTTTTTGTTGTATTATATCAGGGGCGTATGTGATAGCACTACTGCTGATGTTAACCTTGATCATTTAGTTAAAGTGATCTGCCAGTTTCCTCCACTGTTGAGCTACTGTTTTTCCCTTCCCATACTCTAAGTAAGTCCAGACCACACTCAAGGGGAGAGGATGTAAACACCATCTCCTGGTTGTAGGAGGATCAAAGAATTTTGAGACATGTTAAAATCTCCACAGTGGTTGATAAAAAATTGGGGGGAGATACTTTGAGACTATGCCCAGCATTAAAGTTTAGTCTCTAAACTTTCGTCTCTAAGGAGACTATTGTCTCCTTAGAGTTTTGCTCACCATTTGTAGCATTCAGTGTTGGATCTTGCCTCTTGCAGTTATTCCTGTGGTGATAGAACATATTTTATTCAAATGATTGTTAGCTTGATTTTTAATTTTTAAATATTTAGACATGCAGTATATGGGCCTCCATGTATATTCTTGCCCCAGGCCTCTCATATGTTAGGTGCTAGAGAAAGACACATATTTTATAATGCTTTATGCATCACAAGAAACTTATATACTATCTGTAGTATTTTCCTACGGCTGCCGTAACAAAGTACCACAAACTGGGTGGCCTAAAATAACAGATATTTTGTCTCTCACAGCTCTGTAGGCCGGCAGTCTGAAATCAACGTGTCTATATAGATTACTTTGTTAAGGAAACATTTAGCCAGAATCCCATCATAGGAAAGTAACTTTTCCCAGGTTGGCAGGAGTTCAGTATAGAAGCTGAGCATGTTTCTTTGATGAGATAGTCTCACAACCACCCCATGGGTTGTCATCTCCTCAAATATTGGTCAGAAGAATTCTCTGGGGCATCTCTCACAATTCTAACCCTTTCTCAGCCATACCCCTCTCAGTTATTGATTCTATATATGCCATTTTCCTCCCCAGACGGGAATAGCTGTGAGACAAAACATCAGGGGAATTTACCATTGGAACCTAGAAAACACAGAGACCAGGCAGCACAGACAGTTTGGTTAAAAACTGTTACCTCAGTGCTGTGAGTGAGAGGCCCGTTTCATTTAGAGGCAGTGGCCTGAGGAGAGGAGCTCTGCAGCTCTCCGTGAGTGAGGACTGGCAATAACCATTGCAGAACTACATCTCCTTCCGTTTGTCAAAGTTGCTGTTCTGAGGGTGCCTGCTGGGCTCTGTGCCAACCTTCACAGAGGTTCTGTGAAGACGGGCCGTTTCTCAGGGGAAACTTGTTGCCTGCTTGCAGTTGCTCAATGGTTCCTTGGTTTCCTAATGCAGGAGCTGGGGATATTTGGCTGGATGTGTATAAATTGCCTAAGGAGTCTTGGCTCAAGGAAGTGGAGCACCCCCAACTCACCATAAATCCAAAGAAAAAAGTCAGACAGCTGCAACTGGTAGGCAACATCCCTGTTTTCAACTGATATGTTTCTCCCTACCCTTGACCCACATCTAGCCTAACTCCTCCTTGCAATTTCAAGATGAAGGAGGCCTTCTAGAGGCCATAAGAGAGGACAAGAGGCACACTGGCCCATGTCTCTCAAATCAATTTGCTGTGGTTAAAATAAGATGTTAAAAAGAAGAGGTGTCATTGTATATATGTACCACATCTTCTTTATCCATTCATCTATCGTTGGACATCTAGGTTGGTTCCATGTCCTGGCTATTGTAAATAGTGCTGCAATGAACATTGGGGTGCATGTGTCCTTTTGAATTATGGTTTTCTCACGGTATATGCCCAGTAGTGGGAATGCTTGGTCGTATGGTAGTTCTATTTTTAGTTTTTTAAGGAACCTCCTTACTGTTCTCCACAGTGGCTGTATCAATTTACATTCCCACCAACAGTGCAAGAGGGTTCCCTTTTCTCCATACCCTTTCCAGCATTTATTGTTTGTAGATTTAAATGGGTGGGATGGTGGGGAGGGGGGAGAGAGGGAGGTCCAAGAGGGAGGGGATATAGATATGCATATAGCTGATTCACTTCATTGTACAGCAGAAACTAACACAACATTGTAACGCAATTTTACTCCTATATATATATATATATATTTGGAAAAAAAAAGCAGAGGTGTTGGAATCCGGTATCTCTCTCGTCTAGGTGTTGCCTCTCCACCAAGAGCACTCCCAGGCATTTCTCTGGAAGTGTGTCTTTTTTTTTTTTGACTCTAATAGATATATTTTTTTTCCCTCCTGGGTTGAAATAATCCTTCCATGTCTCCCATTCCACTAAATTCCCCAGATTATGGTATAAAAGGGTTATTCTAAATATACAGTAAGTCCCCTACATACGAACCTTCAAGTTTTGAACTTTCAAAGATGCAAACGTGCCTTCACATGTCTGGTGTACATTGTCACATGCTCGCATCCTCTACAAGTGGTTGTGCTTTTGTGTACTTTACTGTACAGGACTGTATAGAGGGCAGTAGTACAGTATCTTTATTTCAAGCCCAGGATGTCCAGAAGCAAGAGTAAAAGCAGAGGAGATGTAGCCAGTACTACTGTACTGTTCAAGGTACTGTACTGTAAGATTAAAAATGTTTTCTTTATTTTTTGTGTTTCTTTTTTATGTATTAGTTGTGTGAAAAGTGTTATAAACCTATACAGTGCAGTACTATATAGCCAATTGTGTTAGTTGGGTACCTAGGCTAACTTTGTTGGACTTAACGAACAAATTGGACTTACGAACATGCTTTCAGAATGTAACTCGTTTGTATGCAGGAGACTCACTATATAGGAATACATGCATTCTTCATTTATTCTTAGAAGGTAGGAACTCTACCATTTCAGTTTAATTGTATGTGATCCCTGGGCTTCATGCCATCTCTTTAAAATATAGTTTTTCAGTAAATATTATTTTAAGATGTAATTTTCTTTTTTTCCGTTTTGGCTGCATTGGGTCTTCATTGCTGAGCATGGGCTTTCTCTAGTTGTGGCGAGTGGGTGCTACTCTTAGTTGCAGTGCACGGGCTTCTCATTGCGGTGGCTTCTCTTGTTGTGGAGCATGGGCTCTAGGTGCATGGGCTTCAGTAGTTGCAGCACGCGGGCTCAGTAGTTGTGGCTCGCGGGCTAGAGTGCAGGCTCAGTAGTTGTGGTGCACGGGCTTAGTTGCTCCGCAGCATGTGGGATCTTCCCAGACCAGGGCTCGAACCCGTGTCCCCTGCATTGGCAGGTGGATTCTTAACCACTGTGCCACAAGGGAAGTCCCTAAGACAAAATTTTCTCATCTATCTGATGTGCACTTATTTTTTTAATCAACAACAACAAATATTCATTGAGCATGCCTTTAAAACTACTGTATTAGGTGCTAAAGAATTAGTGAAATTATTAATATAGGAGACCAAGATTGAGACTCAATGATGCCGAGCTCATTGAGTGGCTGTGAATAAATGCCTTTTCTCTCCAGTGAATGTCTTCATAGCAGGGTGTGATTTTGTATCCCTGGGAGAGTTACTGGCCCAGAGACCTTCCTCCTCTAAACTCTTACAGAAATTATTCTCTATACGTCTCTTTGACACTTCTCACATACTATCTGGTTGTGCATGGAAGTCCTTTTCTCCTAACTAGATGATAAATTTCTAGGTTGTTAAGACCATAGCTTCTGCTTCTTTTTATCAACCAACCCCATGGTATCCTACTTGGTGCCCAACAGATACATTTTTTGAGGGATTAATTTATTATCCAAGTGGGAGAAGCACCTTGGAATGGGGGTGGTTTCTTGCCATAATTCACTGTTTCTATACACTGAGAAGCAATCAACTAATGCCAGTTACAGTGGTAATTCATGTCCTATGAATTGTATTTAGAGTTACTTAAATATAATTGTCAACATCACTGATATATTTTGCCAATCAGACATATTCGCTTCAACTTAGATTTTTGTAATAGTCTCCTAATTGATCTCCTCCCCTCTACTCATATTTCCTCTTAACGTCACTAATGATTTCTTGTTTCCCCAAATACATTTTAAGATCCTAGAGGACAAGGATCATGTGTTAAAATCCGCAGGCCAGAAGACCACACAAATATTGGTCCTCAATGTCTACAGGATGAGTTCACATCTCACGAAAATAATTGGGGGGAAGAAAGAGCATCTCAAAGGATTGAAGGAAGAAGGAGAACATATACCAAACCTATTGTGAATTAATTTCTTGTTTTTCTCCTCAGAACACTCTTGATCCCGTGACTGCAGATAATTTAGAAATGGTAAGAAACTTTAAAGGAAATCTCCAAAGAGATTTAAGTTACGTGTCAGAATTTTTATTTTGATTTGAAATTTACCTTAAATATCAAATATACCAATAAAATGTTCTACCAGGGCACTATTTTCAGATTCTCTGTGACTTAATCTTGTGCCTCATTCCCTAGAAGATGGCCCCCTATCCTTGAGGATAATTGACCCAAGTCATTTGTTCAGAGATGGGTTTCCCTGAAGGTAAAGGAGGTTAAATTTCAGGGCCCCTCACTTGTATGGCCCCTTCCAAGGCCATAGGAGGGGCCCTAGCAGTATGTTCACATGACCACATACTTTTGTAAAATTGGAAAAAGTAACATGTTTTAACCGTAATCACTTAAGACCACCATCTCTTCTCACTCAAACTTCCCCTCTGTCACAACTTCCCCCAGATTGAGTGGTATTAGGGTGGTCATGGGCATTTTGTATTCAAACTTTTGTGTTCTCTTTCTTACAAAGACCCCTAAATCATATACACTTCAGGCCTCATGAAATCCAATTTGCCTCTGCCAAAGTAACAGCCCAATCCACCAAACTGAGGGATTTTTTTTTTGGTGTTGGAGGTTGTCTTTGTATTGGGATACCGTAGAGAACAGAGTGGCTTCCCTGGAACTTCCTGGCTCTCCCTCTGAGGCAGAGAGCATACCATACTTTCCAGAGGCTTAGCTCTTGGGATTCTGGCCTATCAGAAGGGCAGTGGTGAACTTCCAAATGGAAGTCTCTTTCTAGAGTCCTTTCCTTTTTCCCTTCTAAAATTACATTATGTTTCAAATTATACAAATAATATGTGAACACATCACTCTGGGAAAAGCCAAGTAATTCAGATAGAGCAGCCCTCTCCAGAGGTCATCACCATTATTATCTTGGTGTGTGTTTTCTAGGACTTTAGTGTGTATTTTTATTCTGATATCAGTTTATTTAGAAAAATATAGTTTCATTTTATGGGAATTTTCTTCTATATAAGTGGCATCATACTATATATATTTTCTTACAAATTTGCATTTTTATACTAATCAACTTATTGGCAAAGTTTTGCAATGTCCGATAAACCTACCTTGTTCTTTTGACATCCTATGTACTATTCCTATTAAGGATGTACCATAGTTTATTTGGCTGTTTGTCCATTGAGGGTGGCTTTTATATAATGCAATGAAAATCTTTGTAAATTCTTCTTTGTATACCCGAGTGCTTCTGAAGGATATATGCGTTTTTAGTTTTAATGTAGATACTGTTAAATTGTCCTCCAAAAATGGCATGACAATTTACATTTAATCAGTAATTCTCCACAGCCTCGATAAATTTGATATTAATTTTTTGTGTGTGCAAACTGATGGAACAAAATGGCATCTCGTGTTAATTTTCATTAATCTCATATTTTTATTGGCTATTGAGGTTTTATCTTCTGTGAATTGCCTGTGAATTCTTTGCCTATTATATGTTTTCTTACACTCTGTTGTTTCCCTTTTTACTTTGCTTATGTGCTTTTTTGTTATAAAGAAGTTTTAGATTTTGATATAATCAGAATTTTTAATCTTTTCTTTACAGCCATTGCACTTAAGAAGGCTTTGTCTATCTCAAGGTTATAAATAAATTCTCCTGTGTTTTCTTCTAATACTCTTCATAGTTTTTTTTTTTTTTTTGGACATTTCACTCTTTTATACACATGGGAGTTTCTTTTGTGAATGGAGCAAGGAAGAGATCAACTTTTATCTATTCTTTTAAAATAGCAATTGCCACACAAATATTTTTGAGTAATCCTTCTTTTCCCATTTGTTTCCTGACCTTATCATTCATATGTACGACCTTTATCATTCCTGTGTCCTTGCCTACACCAAGACCTTACGAACTTTGCAGAATGACACAGGCATTTAGTGCTACAAACTTATATCTAAGTACTGCTTTAGCTGCTTCCTTTAAATTTTGATGTTATATTCTCATTTTTGAAAATACTTCCTAATTTGCTTTTTTATATCTTTTTTGACCAGTGGATTATTTAGAAGCATGTTATTTAGTGTCCAAATACTTGAGATGTTCCAGACATCTTTCTTTTCCTTTTATTGGTTTCTAACTTAATTCCATTGTGATCAGAGAACATACTTCATATAATTTGAAACCCTTCATATTTATTAAGACTTGTTTTATGCCCAGAATATGGTTTATCCTGGTAAGTGTTCTATGTGCACTTGAAAAGAATGTGTATTCTTGTTGTTGTTGGTCCAAGTTATTCAAGTCTTCTATATCCTCACTGCTTTCCCTTCTGCATTCTTACTGATTTTCTGTCTACTTATTCTGTCAGTTATTGAGAGAAGAGTGTTGAAATCTGTGAGATTGTAGATTGATTTATTTCTGCTTTCACACCTAAGAATTTTTGCTTCCTGTATTTTGAAGCTCTGCTATTAGGTGCCTAAACATTTAGAATTTTATGTCCCCTTGAGAATTGACCATTTTATCATTATTCAATGACTCTTTGATCACTGGTAATATTCTTTGCTCTGAAATCTATTATGTCAGATATTAATACAGCCACCCCAGCTTTCTTTTGATCAGTTTACAAGATGTATCTTTTTTCTATACTTTTAATATATTGGTGTCTTTTTTTTTTTATTGGTGTCTTTATATTTAAAATGAGTTTCTTTTTGACAGCATATCGTTGGGTCTTGCCTTTTTATACAATCTGTCAATCTCTACCTTTTAATTGGGGTGTTTAGGCCATTTATATTTAATGTGATTATTGATATGTTTAGGTTTAAATCTACCACTTTGCTATTTACTTTCTATTTGTCCCACCTGTTTTTCTTCCTTATTCCTCTTTTTCTGCCTTCTTTTGAAATGAGTGTTTTTAATGATACAGTTTTATCTCCTTTGTTGGCTTATTAGCTGTGCCTTTTCTTTATTGTAGGATATAAACATTTCTTTTAGAGGAGATGTTAAATTGAGTCTTCCAGTTTACATAATGAAAATCAAACCACCCAAACCAGTTGCAGGTAGGTATAACTCAATGAATACTTTCTTTCCTTTTGCCATTGCTTTATTAGTTTTTTCATTCTCTGCCTTTCTCCACATTTCCCATCTTTTCCATTTATTGGTAGCAATATCTAATTGACAAGTATAGTTCTGAAGGTAATTTTTTAATTCATAAGCTCTGAGACCTAAAGATTAAAAATATAAATGTTACAAGGATACAGTTAACTAACAGAATTGGGATATCAGGAAAGAGACATCTTTCCCAGGTGCTAGTGGAGTTCATTCATTCCTACATTCCTGTGTTAGTTCATTCATCAGTGCCAATACTGCATCAAGCACAAAGATGAGTAAGACACATCTCCGGTGCTCTGAAAGCTGCTAGTGTACCAAGGGAGAATAGGAGGAAACCACCATAGTAGGATATGATAAGTGCAACAATGGGAAACATCCAGGGCCATGAAAACATACAGGAAGGAGTAACTAACTCTGCCCAGGGAATAGGCAGAGGCTTTATCAGAAGAAGGGACATTTGGGAAGGTTTTGAAGAATAAGTGGGAGTTGGTTAAGAGGAGCAGAGGGGAAGTCCACTGTAGACACGGGACATAGAGTCTATCCTCTCAATATTCACATATTCAAAGATATACCTATATACCTACACACATATATTCAAAGATATACCTACAAGAATGTTCACTGCAGTGCTATTTATAGAGGCAAAAGACTGGTTAGATAAATCTGGTACACTCAGAATACTTTACAACCATTAAAAACAAAGAGAGAAATGCAAAACACCAAGGGTAGCCAATTCACTCTTTTAAAAGAACATGGTGATATGATTTGCTCCATCAAGATTTATTATAAAGCCACAGTAATTAAGACAAGGTAGAAAAAGAGATGAGTGAATAATAGAAATATATATAAAATACAGAAATATAAATAGATAGAAATAGTAGATAGAAAAATAGATTAATAAAACAGGATAGAGAGGACAGGACAAACTTAAGCATAAATGGACACTTGATACCTGACAGAGGTGGTGCTACAGAGTAGTGAATGGTCATTTCAGTAAATGACGCTGGTTGTCCATATGGAAACAAAAGTGAAACTTGACCCCTGCCTCACGTGATATACAAAATTAAATTCCAGATGAATTATAGAAGTAAATATGAAAGACAAAGCAATAAAACTTTTAGAAAATAAGTCAATATCTTTATGACCTCTGGGTAGGGAAAGACTTTTTAAACAAAACTCAAGTACTTATATATAATAAAAGTTGATAAGTTTGATTACATTAAAATTGAGGACTTATAATCATCCAAAGACATCATTAAGAGCATGAAAGAACAAATCATGTATTGGGAGAAGATATTTGCAAAACATGTAAAACTTATGAATGGTCCACATCCAGACTATATAAAGAATTCCTACAAATTGTTAGGAAAAAGACAGATCATTCAGCATAAAACAGGCAGGAGATTATTCAAATGGCCAATAAACATATACAAAGGTGCTCAACATAATTAGTTATCAGGGAAATGCAAATTAAAACCATAATGAGATACCACTCCACACCCACCAGGATGGCTAAAATTAAAAGAGATTGATCATACCAAGTTGGTAAGGATGTGGAATAATCAGACCTCCCATAGATTACAGTTAGCAATGAAAGTCAGTACAACCACCTTGGAAAACAGTTTAGCATTATCTGGTAATGTTGAAGATAAGTTATATCCTATGACCCAGCATTTACACTCCTAGGTAGGGCGACCAAGAATATCATTTTGCCTGAGACTAAGGGGTTTCCCGGGATGTGAGGCCTTTGGTGCTAAAACTGGGAAACTCCTGCACAAACCAGAATGAGTTGGTCACCCTACTTCTAGGTGTATACCTGATAGGCCTGCAAGTAAATGTGTACAAGGAGGCATGTACAAGAATGATAATAATGACATGATTTCCAATAGCCCCAAACCATGAAACAACCGAAATATCCATCAATAAAAGAACAGATAAATAAACTTTAGTTCACTTAATGGAATATTACACAGCAATGAAAATGAACAAACTACAGCTATACACAGCAAAATGGATAAATCTCACAAACAATATTAAGCAAAAGAGGGTACATATAGAGCTAACACTCTGTAATTCCATTGTGTACAGCTCAAAAGCAGGCAAAACAAAGCTGTAGTGTTTAGATGCATATTTAGGTAGCAAAAGTAAAATAAATGTCATGAAGTGATTACATAAAAGCCAAGACAATGGTTGCCGCTCTTCCCCGGGGGTTATGACTGGAGAAGGGCCCTTGGAAAGATTTTAGGGAGGGGTGATAATCTGTTTCTTGACCTCAGTAGAGACAGATGTTTGCTTTATAATAATTTATTACGACATATTTTTATGCTCTTTTCTGAATGTGTTATATTTCACAACAAGAAAAAGATTTACTAAATGAAAATAAGCAACGAACAACGAAGAAGATCTATAGTACTGAAATGAAGAGATCTCCCAAGACATTTTGTTAAGTCAAAATGCAAGGGTTCTAGTGTATGACAGCAATTCTCAAACTTTAGCTGGATCAGACTCACTTGGAGGACTTGTTAAAACCCAAATTGCTGGGCCCCACCCACCGAGTTTCTGTTTCAGTAGGTCTGGGGTGGGGCTTGAGAACCTTCATGTCTAACCCTGCCAGATTCCTGCTGATCTGGGACCACATTCTGAGAACTGCTAGTTGATATATGCTATCATTTGTTTATAAAATATATACAAATGTACATGTAATACATATTTTAAAATATAATATAATACTGTATATATTATATAATATAATAATATATTGCCATCTAGAAGGGGCCTCTTTCTAGAAATTGATGCAAGAAACTGATAACAATGGTTGCCTCTGGGGAAGGAGACCTGGGGCACAGTGAGACCTCCTGGGCAACTTGAGGGACCTGGGCACTTTCAAAAGTTCTGAAAGTTGGGCTGTGAACCCAGAAAATAAATCACTTAGTTTTACTGTGAATTTAGGAGCAGATGAAAAAGAAGGAAATGCAAGGTCACTGGGAAGGAGAGTGATAAGAAAAGTGATTGGCAGAGAAAGGAGATTTTTTTAAAGGAAGGTAGTTGGATAAATGTAAGCACAGGAAGACGCTGGGACTGTCGAATGTAGGTCCTCAGCAGCAGCTGAATAGCACAAGTAACGGCAGATTTGGGGCCTTGCTGGGCTGGGAGACAGCAACAGTGATCTAAGGCCTCTAGTGACTCGTGAACATGTCCTTGGCCTCTGGAGATCCTGTAGTCTGGAAACAGGAAATGGCGGCAGGATGGAGATGGAGAAGTGGGAGGGGAGCAGCTGCCCTTTGCCTGTGCTCCATGAGCTGGTGGAGTAGGAGAGGCTGGGAAGAGGACTGAACACCTGGGCAAAGCAAGAACAGATTTCTGAGGACGAGGGATTCTGCAGGAAATTGGGAAGCATGGAGGAGAAGGGGGAAATCAGGAAGGAGGAAGTCAGATGGTTTGACCAATTCTGGAATATTTTCAACCTAGGTACCACATTTAAAAGCCCCCTGGAAGTCTTTGCAAAGATAGAGGATTGCTGTGGGCTGGGCTCTGGGCAGAATCACTTCATCAAGGACAGTCAGTGGGAGCGGCAGGCGGCAATCTTCAACGCCACCTTCAGGAAGTACCTGGATGGGGAGTGGGAGGAGGAGCTGCTCAGGTGAGCCATGGAGGGGCCCAGCTAGAACGCCTCTGCCCTGGGAGCTTCTCCTCCCTGGGCGCACGCAGGAATCAGCCCAAGGACCTGAATTAATTCAAGGTCTCAAAGCTCTCGATGGTTTGGGGGACTTTTCTGAGAACTTCAGAAAAGTCTTTTGAAAAGTTGTATGGAGGGACTTCCCTGGTGGTGCAGCAGTTGAGAATCTGCCTGCCAATGCAGGGGACACGGGTTCGAACCCCGGGCCGGCCGGGAGGACCCCACATGCCGGGGAGCGACTAAGCCCGTGCGCCACAACTAGAGAACTCACACACGTGGAGCCCATGCTCCGCAACAAGAGAAGCCACCGCAATGAGAAGCCTGCACACCACAATGAAGAACAACCCCCGCTCACCGCAACTAGAGAAAGCCCGCGCACAGCAACGAAGACCCAACGCAGCCATAAATACGTTAATTAAATTTTTTTAAAAAAGAAAAAATTCCTTAGAAAAAAGTTGTATGGAGATTGTTTAAATATAGCTCAAACAAAGGCTGATAACAGATTTTAAAGAAGGCATAGACATCTATGGAGATGAGAAGTAGAGTTTATTTTAGAATTTTTTTTTTTTTTTGGCCGCACCACATGGCTGGCAGGATGTCAGTTCCTTGACCAGGTATTGAACCTGGGCCATGGCAGTGAAGGCACCGAATCCTAACCACTGGACCACCAGGGAACTCCCTATTTTATAATTTTTTGTATGATAGTGTCTCCTTAAAAAAAATTGTTTTCCTGATTATCTAGACAGCACAGATGATCCTCAAGAGGGAAATAAAAGTCACCACTATTAATACTTTTCTCCATTTGCATCCAGTCTTTCTAAATGTAATACATTAATGTGTAATTATTAAAACGTTACTTTCCAATCTCGGTCAGCAGGTAGGCCTCAGTGATTGTAAAAACTGAGCCCAAGTCCTTGAAGTATCTGGTGGAGCAGGTTCAGGAACCAGCTCTCCTCACAGCTACTGTGGGTCTCAGGGGATGTCCTTGCTTCACGTGGGAAGTGAAACCTCTCATCTTGCCGTCAAGTGGGCCTTGAATTTTCTCACTTCACACAAAGTCCCAGGGCTAGGCCCTAACAGAAACTACCTGAGGCCTGAACTGGAACCCAGTAAGGTTCAGTGCTGTGCTGCCCAGCAAGGTATTTAGGAATTTTGCAAGCCAGTCATTAAACCACTGGTAACTGTCCATAGTGGGAATATTTATACCACAAAAAGCTACAAACCCTATAAATCAGGAAATCAGGTTTTTTTTGGTTTTTTTTAAGAGTGCCAACTTATCAGCACAACACTGGTTGTACTGCTCCCAGGATAGGAGCATTTATGCACTTCACCCAAGTCTGGCATTAAGGGATCTTCCCCAAGATCCCTTGGGGAAGGGATCTGCCCACGCTGGGTGCTGTTCCCGGCCTGGGAATAACTTCCACTGCTCTACCTACCTTGCCCTCACCAGGACCAGCACATAGAATGTGATTTGCCTCGTGGCCCTGAACTCCTGGGAAGGTCCATCTGAACTACCCATTTCTGGTCTTACTACCAAGACTCTGCCAGCATTTCTCCTTGCCAAGGAGTCTGCCATGGCTCTGACCAGTGTCTCTTTCTTTCCCAGTATGGCCACGTTCCACTTCCTCCTTCCTAGCTGCATAATTGCAATGCCAGTGGAAGTTAAGAGCCCCCCAGGTAACTGAACGTGAAGCAGGTCGTCACCTTGGGGGAATGCTTGGCAAGCCCTCCTAGAGAAGTTCTGCACAGCACACCCTGCCTGCTGGGAGGGAATGAGGTGGAAAGTCGGCTGCCAGCTGCAGCTTAATGGTTTCTGGTTGGACTTGTGACCCCTGAGCCCAGATTCCCTGATATGGAGGCTGGCACTGTCTTCAGGGAGTGAGCTGCCACAGAGGACAGTGTGCACACACGTCCTGCCAGGCTGCTTCTGGATATGAATTCCTTTTGTAGAAAATGTTATTTAAAACACTGACAGCCAAGTGGACATGAATTATCTAGGAGATGTGAAAGCAGCTGAGGGACAGTTGTGACCATCCTCCCTGCACTCCCTGCACAGGAAGGCGACTTGGCCCTAGGAACAGCCCTCCTGGGGGTTGCCCAGACCCTCATCTGGAAGCTCACCCTTCAGCTGGGTGCTGCCCATTAGAATGAACCATTTCAAACTGACTTCCTCTTGGGCAAATCCCTTCACACAAACCAAAGGCCACCCAGACTCCTTATGTAATGCCCGTTTCCTCTCTTCTTTCCCAGGGGTAGCCTGTGTCATTGGCGTACACTGGACTGGAAGTCACAACTTCTTCCTCTATTCACTTAACCGAACGCTGAAGGATAAAGTTGGTACTTTACTGCCGAGATGGGAGTGGCCTAAGCTCAGGGCTCTGAGAACATGTCCTTCTTCAGCTTAGCTGAGAGCACGTGACTGACACAGCAGCGTGGCTTTAGGGGACCAGAGCTGTGCAGGCAGAGTGGGTGGCTTGGCAGCTGTCATGTGACCCCAAGGCTCTGTCTCTGAACTGTCATGTTTCTTAAAGATGACAGGTCCATAAGGAAAGAGCCCCATCAGGTCCACAGGGCTCCTTAGACAACGAAGGTAAAAAGAAGGTAGGCTTGGCACCAGAGGGCCCGTCCCAGCACAACTATCTGCGAACTGTGTAGTCTCAGGCCAGTCACTTCACACCCCAATCCCATTTTCTCATCCAAAACAGAAAACTACTCAACTACACCATTGTTATCCACTGCATGCATTTGTTGTGAATAGCGAAATTCAGAGTTTCTGTATGTGAAAGCTCTTTGAAATCGAAAGGCACTTAGGAAATATGGGTGGTGGTGGTTTGTTTTTTACAAACTCATGGAGGCAGTTACATGAGCAAGTTCACTTTTGTGAGAATTCCTTGAAGTGCAACACTATGTTGTACTTCAGAGTTATATCTCAGAAGTAAAGTTTAAAAACTCACAAGGGAAGAATTTCTTTCCTTCCATCCCTCTCCCAGGCAACCTGGCTTCTCATCTCAACTTCTGTACTGACCAGGCTTATATGACCTCGGGCAAGTCACTTACTTCTCTGCTTCAGTCTCCTCATCTGTAAGACAGGGGTACTAACAGGACCCACCTCATAGGATCCTTGTGAGAATTAAATGAAATGATGCATTAAAGTGCCTACCACGCTGTTTAGCACCTAGTAAGTACTCATTCAATGTCAGCTGTAGTATAATAATGGTGTAACTTGTTGTTATATATATTATCCTGAGGAAGGAGACAGCATTGCACAGAGAGGAGAGAGATGGTGAGTCCAGACAGGCAGACTAGTCTGGGTCTCATGTCGTCCAGGTGGAGGTGATGGGTGGGGGCGGGGCCCCGGGGCAGCCTGGTGAGCGGTGTCCTCCCCACTAGATCCCGAGGGTGTGTGGCCCTGTGCTGCACCCATTGCGGTGTCTCAGCTCAGCTGCTGCTGCTCCTACCTGGTGCTGGCCTGCGAGGATGGTGTGCTCACACTGTGGGACCTAGCCAAAGGTGAGCCCCACCGCTGCCTAATACTGCCGTCCCTCTGATACACATTTGATGGCTAGAGTCAGTACCTGGCTGCGTTGTAGCTTCCTTCCCTCCGCTCCAGGGCTGACCCTGCCCCCCTCCGTGGGTCTGGTTCCCCCAAATACTTAGAAGGGGTCCCCCTGAAGGGGGCTCCCCTCGGACATTGGGGTTTATTGCCTTCACCCTCGGGGGATGCTCATTGCTTGGTTTTGCCCTCACGTCCCTCACACTCTTGCTGGTCACAGACCCTGCGCCCATGGCTGCCTCCCTCTTCCCCCTTTTCTGACCTGCTTGTGCCATTACTTTCTCCAGGACTCTCTCTTGGGGTCATCGCTCTTCCTGAAAGGTGTTTCTGCCAAAGCATTCACTTCTTGAAATACTTCTTAGTCCACAAAGGACAGAACATGTATCCCGAGGGGCCAGTGAAATCCCAAATGAAATGTGTGGTACTGTGTACAGATGCTTCTCTCCAACTGGTGGCAGCCACGGGGACCCAAAGACCCACCCTCAGTGTGCTGGTGGAGAGGTCAGTGGCTTGAGGGCAGGGTGGGTACATGATCTACCAGACAGATGATGCTATTTAATGGTAAAAAACTGACAATCTCTCAGCCTAGAGTCCACTTTCTCTCTAGTCATCACTTTCCCGGTGAGCTTCTCAAGATCACCAATGTCTTTTACATGTGGGTGTATATATATATATATATATATATATATATATATAGTATGATGGCACAAATGACATCTTTCATATCCCACCTGACCAGGAAGAGGGTCATTTCTGCCAAAAGTTTTTTATCAGTTTCTCCAAGGGTCTCTCTCTCTCTTTTAAATTGTGAATAATTTTATGCAGGCAAATGATCTGTACAATATGTGTGAGGGGGTGTATTTAGCATACATATGGGGGAGGGTGAGAACTCCACTGTACCCATCACCGAGCTTAAGAAATAGATCATCACCAATTCAGTTAAGGCTCTCTGTGTGCTTCTCCCTGATCACATCCTTCTCTCTCCTCCTCCAAGTTAACCACCTTTTAATTATCTATTGCTACATATAACAAACCACTCCACAACTTAATGGCTTAAGAAAACAGTCAGCGTTTAGTCTCTGATGCAGTAGGTCAGCACTATGGGCTGGTCTCGCCTTGGCTCTCACAGGTGCCTTCGGGCAGCTGGCAGCTCGGTTAGGGGCTGGATGTCTAAGCCGGCCTCACTCACGTATCAGGCAGTTGGCAGCTGTTGGCCGGGGCGCTCTTCCTTTCGGCCTCTCCTGCAGGCCATCTCAGGCTCCGTCACCTGGTAGCCTGAGGGCTCCCACCTGCCAGAGAGGTTCACTGATGCTTTCCAAGCCTCTGACACTGGACAAAGCATGTCACCTGGCCACACCCACATTTAAGCAGCAGAAAAATAGACTCCACCATTTTAGTGGGAGTTACTGCCAAATATTATGTCTACTTTTTTTTTCAATCTACCACTTTTTTTTTTTTTTTTACTTTATTTATTTTGGCTACACTGGGTCTTCATTGCTGTGCACAGGCTTTCTCTAGTTGCGGTGAGCAGGGGCTACTCTTTGTTGCTGTGTGCGCATTCCTCATTGCGGTGGCTTCCCTTGTTGCAGAACACAGGCTCTAGGTGTGTGGGCTCAGGAGTTGTGGCACGTGGGCTCAGTAGTTGTGGCTCACGGGCTCTAGAGCGCAGGCTCAGTAGTTGTGGTGCATGGACTTAGTTGCTCCGCAGCATGTGGGATCTTCCTGGACCAGGGATTGAACCCGTGTCCCCTGCACTGGCAGGCAGATTCTTAACCACTGCGCCACCAGGGAAGTCCCTTTTTTCTTTTTTTTTAAATTTACTTATTTATGTTTTCCTAAATTCATCATTTCTTTGTTTTCCTTTAAGAATTAACCACATCCATATGACTGTATCTCCAAGCAGTATATTGTTTAGCTGTGCATATTTTAGGGGACCTGTAAGTGGAATCATATTATGTATATTCCCCAACTTGTTTTTCAATGCTATTTATTCTGTAACTTGCTTTGTGATATGGTTCATGAGAGCCATACATGTTGTATGTAGCTCCAGCTCTTTTATTTTCGTTGCTATATTGTATCCCATTGTATAATGTAACACAATTACTTAAGCACTCTACTACCAATGATTTATTTAGATTGTTCCCAGTTTTCACTACTGTGAACATCTCTGACATACCTCCTGATGCTTATAGACAAGAATTTCTCCAGGATATATGCCTAGGAGAGGATAGCAAAACTTGAAAAGTCTTCAAGTCTGGATGTCTGTGTGTCTTGTTTCCTATAGGCCTGTGAAGCACCTGGATGAAGCCATCTGTGCAGTGGCCCCAGTCCAAGCCTTACCCGGCATGGTAGGTTCCTCAGGCCCTTCATTCCTCTTTAGTGAATGTATTCTTTATTCCTTCCAAAAATACTGGGCTGGCCAAAAAGTTCGTTCGGGTTTTACGTCCCATCCTTAGGGAAAATCCCGAACGAACTTTTTGGCCAACCCAATATTTGTTGAAGGCCTATCGTGTGCTGGGCACTAGACTAGCTTTGGGCACAGACATGAAGGATAAAGCACCTGCCCTCGTGGAGCTCACAGTTGAGTTGGGAAGACAGGCGAGCCCCCAAGCAGCTGCCCTAGAACCTGTAAAAGGCTGTGATATATCATGCAAAGGATACTGTGCAACGGAGAGAGGGGCCTCCTAACTCAACCAGAGGCCAGTGGTGAGGAAGTGATGGACAGTGAGCTGAGCCACGGGCACCAAGAGGGCAGCACCATGGAGGCGAGAGAACACTGTGTCCCAGGCCGGCAGGAAGTTCAAGGAGCTGCAGGATCAGACCCCTGTGGGGTGTGGAGAGGGAAGAGGCTGGGGGCTGGGGGCACAGGGGCCCTTGTCTGGGATGCAGCTTGAAGCTTAGAGGGGAGTTGGAGCCAGGGAGCTCCAACTGTGTCCAAGGCAGGGCGGCGAGTGGAGCGGTGTTAGTGAAGAGACGGGCCTACAGCTCAGGGCTGCCTGGGCTGCAGCCAGAGGACAGGGAGGCACTGAGGCTGCTCTCGGCTTGTGGAGCCGATTCTCTAATCCTTACAGGGCCACTGAAGGAAACACAGGCCTGGAGGGAAAGTCTGTGATTCCCTGTGTGGCCCTGCCGGGAGTGAGGGGCCTACAGGACCCCCAGAGGAGGCTCTGAGAGAGTCCAGGGCTGAAAGAGTAGATTCTGTGCTCAGCAACCGGTTAGCGGTAGTTAAAGCCATGGGGAGCAGCACGGCTGGCCATTGCGAGTGGGTGCATATAGAAGGGGCTCCCAGGGGCACTACCATCACTTACACTGTAAGTCTTCCGGGACGGGGAAAATGAGCTCATGAAGTGATGGGCAGGGGCGCCCCAGGAAAACCAGGAGGGGGCTCCTGGCGGCTCAGGGAGAAGGACTGGAAGAAAGCAAGAGCACAGTGTCCTGTGCTGAAGAGAAACCGAGTACTTTGTGGAGACCAGTGTCCATGGCAAGGGGGACAGCAGGGGAGGTTGGGGTGCAGGGAGGGCGAGGAGAGGCTCTCTCAGACGTCTGAGTGTGTGGCAGCGGGAAGAGGATGTAGGGTCAAGGGGAGTTTTAAAGATGGTGGTGAGGGGCTTCCCTGGTGGCGCAGTGGTTGAGAGTCCACCTGCCGATGCAGGGGACGCGGGTTCGTGCCCCAGTCCGGGAGGATCCCACATGCCGCGGAGCAGCTGGGCCCGTGAGCCATGGCCGCTGAGCCTGCGTGTCCGGAGCCTGTGCTCCGCAACGGGAGAGGCCGCAATAGTGAGAGGCCCGCGTACCGCAAAAAAAAAAAAGATGTTAAAAAGATGGCGGTGAGTTTAGTATGTTCACCTACAGAGAGGAAAGAGCCCAAGCAGGAGAGAGGTCTCAGCTCCAACCCAGGGCAGGAGCGGCCGTTGGCTTGAACGGTCCCCGAGGAGGTGGGAGGAAAGGGTATGGCACAGATGCAGAACTGAATCCTGGCCGCATGGAGGGGGAAGTAGCAAGAGAAGCAGGGCCAAGGGGGAAGGACGGGCCAGGAACAGACACAGCCCTGGGGCCAGCCGGCTGCTGCTGGAGGCTCCATAGGAGCAAACACACACATTGCTGCTGTCCCCTGAATGGTCTGGCTGGAGCCAGAGGCTGGGTGCCAAGAGTGAAAAAATTCCGTTTGTTTTTTATTTCTAGCTGTTCTTATTTCACACGGAGGTGAGTGACAGAGTGGAGAAGTCCCCATTCACCATCTCTTTGCTTCCCAGGTGCTGATCTTTTCCAGCAATGGTTCTGTGCACCTCATGGATGTGGCCAAGCCGCAGATTGTCTGCGCCTTTGCTCCCCCAAGGTCCTACCACCTGGCGGTCCCCTGGAAGCCAGTATTTGTCGTGTCTTTACACCACCCGTGTTTCCTGCTCCGAGGTACGGAAGGGGGATCGTGAGGGCTGCTGCCCAGACCTGTGGCCTGCTGACCGTTTCCCTGAATTTCTCAGTCCTCTCAGAAAGCATAGGGTGACCCCACCCAGTCTCCTCCCCACGCCTCATCCCATCCACCACAGGCCAGCAGAACACCACCGCTGAGTCCTCACTTGGCACTTAGATAAAATGCCGGACAAGGTCTCCTCTCTGGGCCCCTGTTCCTCCAGATCAAGTGAGCCCCTCACAGCTCAACCCCAGTGACCCCGGCTTTGTAAGCAGAGAGCAGCCCCTCATGCCCGCCCAGACTACAAGGCCACAGAGAAAGGGATCACTAACAGAACACGATGTTCCTGTTTCGTCCCAGGAGACCATCCAGATGAAATTGGATCTGCCAGCCAAGCCGAGGACATCCCAAATTCTATTTTCTATTTTAATTTTGAGGCCTACCCACTCCTGGAACAAATCTCAAGAAATTGCACCATTCCTCAAGCTAATGTGTTGGATGACACAACTTTCCCCCAGGTGTTGCCCTTGGAGGAAAGATGCGAGAATTTCTTCCAAAAGAGGTAGAGTTCTGGGTCTCTATCTCCTCCCTGCACCTCGGGTTGTCTCTGGACTAAGGAATAGTGGTTTGCTTGATGGTAAGATCCTTTCGGCATTCAAATCCCATTCAGACTGGTAGAAAAGGAGTAATGAATTCAGGCTGGTAAGAAAAGAGGGGCTGCAAGTTGGTGTTTTCTTCCTGTCAAGACTGTCTTTTCTTTTTGCTTTCTCAATTTTTTTTTAAGTATATTTGGATTATCAGACACAGTCATCTAAGACAGGGGTTGGCAAACTACAGCCAAATTTGGCCCACTGCCTGTTTTTGTAAATAAAGTTTCACTGGAACACATCATGCCCACTGCTTTATGTCTCATCTACTTATGTAAGTGCTTCAACATCAGAGTTGAACAGCTGCAACAGAGACCCTGTGACCCATAAAGCCTAAATCATTTACTATTTGGCCCTTTATAGAAGATGTTTGCCAGCCCCTAGTCTAAGACCCCTTTCCTCTCTCCGTCATCCAGATAAACGATTATGTGATACATCTTTCCTCTTCCCCTTTCTGTAAACCCCAGCCTCACAGGGACTCTGCTTGTGTTCCTTCCTCCTATAAAAGCATCATTAATGGTACTCAGTACATTCTGGGGAAGCAGGGGTCTCTTCTAATCCATCCACAACAAACTTCTAGGGGTTTTCAAATTCTAATTGACAATTTCTGCCATGATCTGACCATACCTGTCAGGTGGAAGAGGGTTGTCAGTGGAGCCCTGAACACTCACACCACCTGCCACTACAGAGCTGGGGGACTTTGGTGGGCTTTCCCTGACAGGGTCTCAGTGTCCCTCGAGGAACGAAGTAAAATGGCTAAGATACTCAGATTTGAGGGTTCTTTTGGTTGCGCTGGGTCTTAGTTGCAGCAGGTGGGCTCCTTAGTTGCAGCTCGCTGGCTCCTTAGTTGTGGCTCACTGGCTCCTTAGTTCTGGCATGCGAACTCTTAGTTGCAGCATGCACATGGGATCTAGTTCCCTGACCAGGGATTGAACCAGGGCCCCCTGCATTAGGAGCGTGGAGTCTTATCCACTGCACCACCAGGGAAGTCCCAGATTTGAGTTATGACTCTATCACTTACTAACTGGGGGAGACGTTGGGTGAGTTACTTAGCCTCTCAAGGCCTCAGTTTCCTTAGTCATTCAAAAATATTTATTGAGCACCTACTACGTGCCAGACTGTGTTCTGGACATTTTGATGATACCTGTTCTCCAGGCTTTGTAGGTATTCAGTGAGAAAATACACGTAAAGTGCTAGGCACAGGGTGGTCGCTCAGTAAATGGTAGATACAAAAATGGTGATGGGTCCCCTCTGAGTTCAAGTTCATGCCTGGGAGGATTGTACACATCACCACGAGGGGGCACCACAGCTCTCCTCCGTGACTACATTTACCACCGCATTCAGTTCCTCCCTGGGTTGTGGTGTGTTGCTAAGGCGGCTTCCAGTACCTCATGGGGGGAAGCATGCCCATCCACCAGGAGGGGAATATGGTCCATGGGTCTTGGGGGAGGAGGACAGTGAAGAAGGGGTCAGTTGACATTTCCCCTGATTAAAGATTTACCAAGAATGCTCAGCTATCCCTCACCTGGAAGTTTCTTATTTTGACCCTTGATGATTTGACTTGTCCTTAAGAGATGCAGCTGAAGAATTTAAGGGTCAAGTATTATGATGTCTACAACTTACTTTCAAGTGGTCTAAGAAAACATTTGTAGAGAGAGACAGAAAGAAAGAGAAAATGTTAACAACTGCTGAAACCCAGGAAAATATAGAGAGGGAGAAAGAGAGGGAGAGGAAATGCTAACTGGTGAGTCTAGGTGAAGGCTCGTTGTACTACTTGCAACTTTTCTATAGGTTTGCAATTTTTCTAAATAAAAGCTGGAGAGAGATTATATTATTTACAGTAGAATCCTGATTTTGAGTAAAAGAACACTATAAATGTACACACCACTAGTAACAATAGCTATATTTGGGTAATGGAGCATGTGTGATTTTTTTCTTTGTATTTTTCCTCTTTGCGGCTTTTCTATCAAACATGTGCATGATTTTGGAAAATTTCAAATACTGGTTTTAAAAAAAAGTCAAGAGTGTGAGGTTTGGTCATGGCTGTAGTGGGGCCGTTCTCCTGGGTTGGAGGTCATGGTGTGGAGTTTTCTGGTACTCTTGTTTGATGAGGCTCAGAGAACTTGTTTAATGAGCGTGTTACCATTTCTGTCCTTTCTGTGGAACCCCCTCCTTTTACTGGCCTAGGAAGGGTGAGCCTCTCCACTTCACCCAAAAGCCAACTGGCTGCCCTCCTTGTGGGAATGGATCACAGGCCAGCAGCTCCAGCTCTGGGCATTTTACCTCCTGGCTGGCAGCCGAGGGCCCAAGCAACTCAGGACACTTCAGCCCCTAACTGACATTTCCCGCCCTCAACCAGGGTGCCAGGTGGACGTTACCACTCAGACACCTGCTGAACTCTGCTATTAGCCCAATAAGGTTGCTTCACATGTAGAACTACTACCATAACATAGCAATTCCCCACTGTAAAAAATGTTATTATTTCTGATATATATATATATATATATATATATATATATATATATATACACTTGTAAAATTTGGGAAACAGGACAATACAAAGAAGAAAATTTAAATAACCCACAACCCATCACCCCAAATCCCAGCACTGTCATTAATGTGTTAGTACATATCCTTAAGGTTTTATCCTTAGCATTTTTACTAAGTTGAGATCGTGTTCACTTTTTTAATCTGGCTTTATGTCACTCCAGAATACAACTTAATGACTTTTTAATTTTAAGAAAAACTTCCTTGTCACAGTGGTTTTTAATGTCTATGTAATTTCCGTGGGAAAGGTGTCTATAATATCCTTCCCCACCCCACTATGGTTGGGTCTGCTCTTATGAGAAGACAGTCCCTTCTGCCCTGACCTCCTCCAGTCTCTGGAACCCCAGTGGGAATTGGGAGGGACCCCTCCAGTTCCCCCTTCCCAACCGCCTCTCTTCCCTGTCAACACAGCTTAGCCCCTAGGTCCCACACCCCAACCCCTCCCCGGGAGGGACCCCAGAGGCCGGGTCGGGTGGAGGGGACTGCCTCCCAGGGAACCTTCTGCAGGGAGGAGGGCTGGAGTCAGCAGGGCTGACCAGGTGGGGCGCTGGGGGCCAGGGACAAGGCTGGGGCTAAACGGGCAGTGGGAGCTTGGGGAGGGGAAGAGCTCAAGAAAATGTTCCCTGGCTCCGAGGACCGACAGCAGGAGCCGGGAGGGGCTGCACTGTGCGGTTGGGGCAGGCCTAGCTTGAGGGGACATTTACCTGGGCCTGATCACAGTATTCAAATCATATTCCTCACGGCAACCCATTTTCTGAATTGGGTCCGAGATAATTAGGAAACACTGATTTAAAGAAGGCTCTTCCTGTTCTGCTCGCTCTGAGGTCTGACACCTGGGGCTTTTCCAAAGAGTACCCCGCCTCCAACATTTTATTATGTTAAATATACAGCAGCTTTGAAAAAAGTCAGTAAACATCCACATACCCACAACCTAGATTCTGTCATTTACATTTTACTATCGTTTCTCACACATAACCATATATGTCAGAGGATTTTAATCTTATCTTTTTTTTTTTTCTCTATTTACTCCTTGTGTCTGAAACAGTTTCCATTGGCCCTAAAACTAGGTGAAACTTTAAGGCAATGGATTCAGAGTTTCAAACTCCCGATAGTCTGTACAAATTGTTTTTGCAAAACCTGCACTTGGGACTTTTATAAATAGCCAGTGTGAAGAAGCCTGCCTTTAGGACTTTGAAAGGAGCCCAGAGAGCACCCAATGTGCCCCCCACCCCACCCCCTCCGCAGGCCTGGCTTCTGCTCCCATCCAGCCTGGGCCTCCAGGGCACCATTTCCATCTGGCTCCGCTCCCTGTTGTAGTATCTGCCATCTCAGCCGGGTCAGACTTCTGATCACAAGACAGAAATTTCAGGACACAGGAAGCTGACAGAAACAAAATGCCTCTCTCTGTCTCTCTCCCCCCTGCCCCCTTTGTTCCCTGTGGCCAAGCAGAAGGTGGGCTTCTGGGCTGACCCAACAGTCCCAGCTCCACAGGGCACACGCCCCCTTGGCGAGAGGGTCAGGCCCTGTATGGACACCAGGTGACATTTCCCTTGAGGGTGGAGGAGGAATCCCCTCCCACCCCACCCCACCCCCGTTTTTACTATCCCTGGGAGGGAAACTGTGGGCCTATCCTAACCTTCCTTTGCCTTTCTTGAGAAACAAGGGGATGAATCCCTGGAAAATTATTTATAGACTCATAGATCCCAAATGTGCATATGCCATCAGGCTACTGGAATTCAGAGGTTTTGTGGGAGGCCTTACAGATGTTCCGTCTCCTCTCCCACTTTGCAGATGGACAGTCCATCTTTTTGGAAATGTATGCACACACATTGCTTCAAAACAATAGACAGCAGTCACATTTGTTGTGCCATCATGGGAAGGAAAACCCTTTCCTTGCTGATGGTGGAGGGAGGTTGTCTCAGTCTCCAGAGAGGGCTTTCCCCAGGGGGCACCTGACAGTCAGCGCCCAGCCTCACATGAACAGGCAGCCTCCCCTGTCCCTCCTCACCGCTGAGCACTGACTACCAAGGGGAAGCACACTGCAGATGTGCTGGTACCACGTGGCAGGCGGCTACCACCACCCCTGCCCTGGCCATTGGTGGATAACCTCACCTCCCACTTCCCAGAGCATGCCAGTTCCTTGGCTGCCCTCTCACCCGGGTCTCCTGGGTCACCCCCACCCCCTGTCTCCCTCCTGATGCAGAGAAAGAGGCATCCTGCTCATACCCAAGGCCATCTCCTCCCCCAGGACACCCAGACCTTATTGTCCATCTGGTTGGTGACCTCTTCCCCTCCACTGTCCTAATCACAGGCATGTGTCCCGACCACATTCCCACGTTAGAAAACAAGCAAGCGCCTTCCCAGTTCTGCAGCCGCCTTATTTCTCCTCCCCCCAGAGCACGGCTCCCAGCAATCAGTCCACACCCCACTCCTGTGTCCTCTTTTCCCATCTGCACCCCAGCCCACTGCAGACTCACCATGGGTGTTACTCTGGCCCCACTTTCCCAGACAATATCCTCAACCAGTCATTTTTGTGAGTTTTTCCTAGTATTTCTGTAGGGTAAATTAGAGGTGGACTTTCAGAGTTACGGGGTAGGCATGTTTGAACTGGGATAGTTGTACCCACCAGCCCTCCAGAGACGGCGGATTCACTCTGCACACTCACCCCTTCCCCATACTGGCCAAGAAATGAGGGATAAAAATTGATAGCTCATTACTATTTTAATTTGGAAATTAACAAGGTTGAGCATCTATGTGCTACATCTATTGTATGTCTCTCTCCTTCTGTGACCCCACCTGGGTCTTTTTCTTACGGGTGAGTTCATTTTCTTTTGATTTTAAGAGTTCTTTGTTAATATGTTGTGAATAATTTTTCCTGCATTGTCTTTGGATAGGAGTAATTTTGGTTGCTTGTTTAGCCAAACAGAAGTTTGGTATTTTTCCATCTTCTCCCTTAGGCTTTGCTGAGGGGCGGTTGTAAAGAGCCTCAAATGCAGGGTGCAAGTCTGCAATGCGATGAGGGGTAGACGAGAGCCTCTAACTGTGTGACAGGTCAGACCTCAGTGTCCTCATATGTAAAACAGTGACAGTCCTATCTCCTCATAGGACATTGCCTGGCACATTCAGTAAAGGTTAGCCATTATTTATTACTAGATCATAGAGGAAGCCCTTCTACACTCCAACATTATATTTTAAAAGTCACCCACATCTTCTTTGAACAGATTAATGACTTTATTTTCAGTCCTCCTTTTAAAACTTGCCCTAGTTCCATCTATGCTCTGCCTCCTGGCTGGTCGCTCACTGATTCCATGTTGTCCTGACCCCTCTGCCCAGCAATTTTACTTCCACTTACTTAGTAGCAGCAATAGTATTATTATAATTAACTTTTACTGGAACTCTCCTACACTATTGGTGGGAATGTAAATTGGTGCAGCCAACAGTTTGGAGGTTCCTCAGAAAACTAAAAATAGAATTACCATATGATCCAGCAGTTCCACTCCTGGGCATATATCTGGACAAAACTATAATTCAAAATGATACATGCACCCCTACGTTCATAGCAGCACTATTCACAATACCCAAGACATGGAAACCACCTAAATGTCCATCGATAGATGAATGGATAAAGAAGATGTGGTACCTATATACAATGAAATACTACTCAGTCATAAAGAAGAACAAAATAATGCCATTTGCAGCAACGTGGATGCAACTAGAGATTATCATACTAAGTGAAGAAGTCAGAAAGAGAAAGACAAATACCATATGATATCACTTATATGTGGAATCTAAAATATGACACAAATGAACCTACCTATGAAACAGAAACAGAATCACGGACATAGAGAACAGATTGGTGGTTGCCAAGGGGGAGTGGGTTGAGGGAGGGATGGAGTGGGAGGTTGGGGTGAGCAGATGTAAGCTTTTATATATAGAATGGATAAACAGCAAGGTCCTACTATATAGCACAGAGACCTATATTCAATATCCTATGATAGGGACTTCCCTGGCGGTCCAGTGGGTAAGACTCCGCACTTCCAATGCACGGGGCCCAGGTTCGATTCCTGTGGGAACTAGATCCCACATGCATGTTGCAACTAAGAAGTCAGCGTTATGCAATTAAGACCCGGGGCAGCCTAAATAAATAAATAAATAAATATTTTAAAAAAATATCCTGTGATAAACCATAATGGAAAAGAATATTTAAAAAAAGAATGTATATATATATATATATGTATAACTGATTCACTTTGCTGTACTGCAGTCTTTAACACAACATTGTAAATCAACTATACTTCAATTTTAAAAAATGAAAAACAATTAACCTTTACTGAGCACCTACTGTATGCCAGGTACTATGCTAAGTACTTTGTGGCATATCTTGTTTCTTACTATGATTATTATCATCCCCACAGTACAGCGAGGAAGACAGAGGTCAAATTGCCCGTCCAGGGTCAGCACCTTATAAGTGAAGTAGCTGGGTTTGCACACAAGCAGTGAGGGGCCAAGGCCTGAGTTTCTAACCTGCATAGCCTCTGCCTGCCCCCTGCCCATCCGCTCCCCCCGCAACACACATATATACACACACACACTGCATACTGGAATCTCCAAGCGTCATCAATAGGGAAAGAGAATGAGGCAGATCTGAGTGCCTCCTGGAAGCAACTGCTAGGATACATTTTCAGTGAAAAAGGCAGACGGCACAAAAGTGTGTTGCACACTTCCATTTAAATTTTAAAAAAGATTCTATGCATGTCTGTACTTGTGTGTATGAACAGTATTCAAGGATTTATAAGGAGTTGTTAATTACAGTTGCTTTGGGAAGAGAAAATAAGGATCTGAGGTGAGAAGGAGATTTAATTGTATACTCACTTGTATCCTTGGTTTCTTTTTTAAAAGCAAAGCATAGGTTACTTCTTTAAGTTAAAGAAAAAAAAATGCTTTAATGCACTGTGTACCAGACATCTCCATGTGACTGTCCCATAGGCAGAGCCGCAAAAAACTGCAGTCCCTGTCTTTCCCCACAAAAGGGTCCCTTCTCCCGTTTGCCCTAAGCTTTTAAACATTTTTTAAAACGTCGCTCACTCAGGAACCAGAGGCAGAAAGCTGGCAGCAGCCTGCATCCTCTCCCCAGAATGAAGGCCTCCTCCTGCCTGCTTGCTGTGGCCAGCTCACGTGCAGAATGAGGGGAGACCCTGGGCTTCTCTGATTCTTCCACACTGACTATGCATTTATTTGTTATTTTTTAAAAACCTATTATTTTTTTTAAAAAAACTCAACTCAAAAATCTTAACTTCTGAGAGCACTCCCCAAGCAGGGAGTGCTGCTCTCTGCACTTTACCTCTATAGCTCTTAAATGCCTCCTATTACAAATGTTCTTTTCCTCTCCTCCCTCTTACTAAACTGGGGGGGAGGGGCGGCTGTTTTAGTCACTTTGATCTTTCCAACACGTCCACCAGTGCCGGTGGCTAGTAGATGCTCAAGGAATGTTTGTTAAATGTAACTATTGGCATTCTGATGTATTTAACGTTGGTCCTGCAAACAGACTTTTAGTTTGTAAATTCACCATGCCTCTTATCACTGTACATTTCCTAGTTTAGGATGCTAGACCTATATTGTTCCTTCAGTAAAGCTGTTTCGAGTGCCTTCTGTGCAGCAGGCTGAGTCCTGAGAACACAGACAGGAAGCAGATGTGTCATTTGGAGAGTTTCTTATATCAGCCCAGGGTGGTCAGGGTCTGCCCTGGGGACCTAAGAGCCCCCGGGGCAGGGTTGGGGGGAACGTAGAGCAAAGCAGGTTCCTCTCATCAACTGTGTGGCCCACAGGTTTCGGAAGCTGGTGAAGAACAAGGTGAAAGAACAGGAGTACTGGACCCGGCTTCGGAGGTATTCCTCGCTTCTCCAAAGAGAGAACCTCAACAAGTGACAGGGCTGCTGCCCTGGGCTCTCTGAAAAGTTGGCAGCAGGCAGGCTTTGCCCTGGAATGCTGTGAGGTCAAGAGACACAGTGACAAAGGGCTGCAGCTCAGTAGGCCTAAGGGGCCTAGCCTTGCAGTCTGGGACCTCTGCAGAGCCAGCAAGGGGAGAGGCCCAGTTTGGGGGGCCTTCAACCACTAAGCCACTTGTCGGAATCCTCAGGCGGGCAGATGTGTCACCTAAATAAACAGCGATACTGTCTCCAGACTCCAAAGCTGCTGTGGTGTGTAACCTTCATTCCCACCCAGTCCAGACCCCCAGCAGGGCCCAGGCAATGATGTCAGCCAGAGTCTCAGGCCTTGTGAGGACCGCTTGCCTTATAGGACCAGGAGACACTTTGTTCAAATGAGCAAGACGCCCAGTCCACCCCAGCTACTGTGTGGCCTCCTTTTCTCTCCACCTACTTCTTTTCCCTCTCTTTGCTGTCTCATAACCTTATGGAATCAGTTTGGAGAGGCTGAGGCTCAGAGAGGTTGAGTGACTGCCTGAGGTCACACAGGTATGAGAGGCAAAGTAGGGGCAGGTGAGGAGGCAGGCAGGAACTGTGCCACTACTGCCTCTTGCCTTCTGGTCTGGGAACCCTAGAGGAGGCTGGGGGACCTGGGGGCACAGGAAGAGGGCGGAGAAGTGCCTTTTTCTTTTCTAGAAACTGTCCTTCCCAGGAAAACTGGGTGGAGGAGTCCCCTGCAGCTCAAGGCCTACATCTGCCTCTCCGAGGACACCGTGTGGTACCTTTGAGAACTGCAAGTGGTTAGTGCCTCCGGCCCTCCCCCAAGACGGCCCACCAAGGCCAAACGCTTACATTGTTTTGTGACCGCAGCTGCTTTTGTGTCCCCATCCACCTTCTCCCCTGGGTCACACACACTCTTTGTTGGCACGACACCGCCCTCATGGTGCTGATACCGACTATAGCTGACTGTCCCCTGGATGAAGAGGTCCCCACCTGAGACACTCTGCCCCTTGCCCTCCCCCGGATGGGAATGAAAACACAGCAGCAAAAACAACTTTCTACAACAATCCTTTTCCACAGTAGGCATGGTGGCAGCTCTCTCTGAGATGAGGAAGGAAAACTTAGAATGATAGTCTTGGCCTTACAGGCCACCTAAATGTGACGGGGAACTAACATTTACGGGGCAGCTACCGTGGTCTGTGTATTTTTCATATAAGCCTTGTGAAATGTAGATATCATTACCCCCATTTTACATGAGAGGGAAATTGACACTCAGGTTACACAGCTTGGAATAGCCTGTATCAAATCCTGATGGACTTTTTCAACAGCAAGTGACAGAAACCCACCTCAAACTAACTTTAGCAACAAGGGGAATTTGTTGGCTCATGTAGTGTAAAAGTCCAGGCATAATGCTTTCCATGTGGCTGGACCCCGGTGTTGGATAAGAGCAGGAATCCTTCTCCGCCTCTCAGTTTTTTTTGTTTTTTTGTGGGTTTTTTTTGCGGTACGCGGGCCTCTCACTGTTGTGGCCTCTCCCGTTGCGGAGCACAGGCTCCAGATGCGCAGGCTCAGCGGTCATGGCTCACGGGCCCAGCCGCTCCGCAGCATGTGGGATCTTTCCGGACCGGGGCACGAACCCGTGTCCTCTGCATCGGCAGGCGGACTCTCAACCACTGCGCCACCCACCAGGGAAGCCCTGCCTCTCAGTTTTGACTCCCTTTCCAGGTAAGCCCTCTGCTTGAGCGGCACCACGGCCACCAACAGCACCCACAGTGAGTGTCCCTTTCTCGATGGTTCCAGCAAAGTCCTGAGCCTGTTCCTCACCCGCCTGCATGTGGTCACATCCCTGAACCACTCACCATGACGACCTCACCAGCCTGCGCACATGCCCATCCCTGGAGGGGCATGGAGGTCATGGCCACCCAAACTAAGGAAGGGGGAGCTGTCTGGAGAAAAGAAAATGACAGGCCGCAAGGGACGAAGGCAGGAGGGATGCTGAACAGGCCGAGACAACGGAGGTGCCCTGTCCACCCTTTCCAAAGTCACATGCAGCCAACGCCAGGCCACCTCCTCATTTCCTAGCGTGCATGGGGGAAGCGAGGAGGGCTGGGGCATTCACAGGGAGCCTTAGGTGCTGGGGCCCACAGAGGGAGGAAGAAGGAACAGGGCTGGCAAAGTGCCAGAAGATGGGCAGAAGAGGCCCAGGTGGCACTAGGCTGGGGATACAGGGCACTAGCGCTGGTGCACCACTGGGGCTGTGCCAGTGGCCCCCAAAGAGGTCCTTGCCCACTGGGAGAAAGGGCCCCTTAGGAGCAGCACCAAGAAGCTTGGGTCTTCTCAGGGGAGTGTTGGGACTAGGGTGAGGCAAATGAGTGCCTGGGGTACAAAGTTGAGGAGGCACTTACCCTCAGCGTTGTGCAAATGCAGGGTCTGCCCCTGGGGGAGAGCTGGGGAATGGACAAAGTGGCCCTGGCCTCGCCCTGGGATAAACAGGGGCTTTGCAGTTAGGGCTCGCTTCCCTCCACAGCCCTGTGCCAGCCTCGTTCTCCAGGTAGGGGGTGTTTCAGAATCCTGGGGCATCCATGTGCCCCTCAGATGGACCTGTTTATTTAGCAACGCATGGCCAACGCACGGCCCTCCTCCAGGTGCACCACCTGCCCACCCACGGCTGAGCCCAGCTCTCCAGCCCTGCTACCAGGACAGTCCGCCATCTGCCGATACAGACAACTCATGACCACCAGCCCTTCCCTCTGCCCCTGGGTTCATACGATGACCCAAGTGGCGTGTCCTTGAATAAATGTTTTGCATGTCGACCAATCAGCTTAGCTGCTCCTCCTTAAAACACTGGCCCGTCCAGCATCAGCATCTACACAGTACAGCTGTCTCGGCGGGAGCAACACGTGTGGTCAGTAGGCAGTGGCAGGTCCCTGCTGGCAACGGCACTGGTGGCCCATGTGCTTTAGGAGCTTTATTTCACACCCTCAACATGCTCACACACTCGCCTGCCAGGCTAAGGCAAAGACCAGATTTGTCGACTACCACCCACCATTGTCCCCACCCCAATAGCCGCGCACCAGCTTTGTGAAAAATTCCTTGACCTTTTTCTGTGCTCCAGCGTCCTGATCTATAAAATAGGTATAAGCACCACCTGCCCGCCTCACCTGTGGCTCTGAGGCTAAAATGACTTGAAATTGCTGCTCCATATATGTCTGACCCCTTGGGCTTCGAAGGCGGAAAGCAGGGCAGCACTGTTGGCTGGCGGCGACCAGCGTGCCGGCGGATCCGCAGGCCAGGCCTCTGATGCCATCCTCCCCCTCCTCCCACTTCTAGCAGGACGGTGCCCAGACCACTCTGGACCAGCCCCAGGTGAGGTGAGGCGCCACCCAGCACCCTCTGTCCTTGCTCAGCTGTCGCAAAGGCAGTGCACCATCGGGGAAGCACACAGGCAGGCCCTAGAGTCACACCCGCGTCCCAGTCCCAGCGCTGCCACTGAATATCCGCACGGGCGCGTTAGTTAGCCTCTTCCTTCCCTAACTGCCCATCCTCAAGATGGCCCTGCTAACTGGGGTTAGCTCACAGGTTAGCAGAGAACTGAGAGCGAGCACTCGCCCAGGGCTCACCTACCTGGACGCTGCTTGGTCCTCCTCCCGCTGGGTGTGAGTGCGGCCAGCCCAGGAAGGGGGTGGGGGCGTGGGAGTGGTGGGAGGCGCCCCCTTCCCATCTCCAGACCTCTCTTATTAACAGGGACGTGCTAATGAAAATTCACACCCAGGTGCTAATAAACAGTGGGCCGCTCCTGGGCTCGGAGAGCAAGTCTCCGCAGGGGAGGGGGCTGGCCGATGAGCCCCACTTATCTGTGAAAAGACTTGCTAATAACTTTAATTCCCCGTCCTAAACCACGGGGCCTTTGCCATGTAAATAGATTTTCTAAACTGGGCTGGGTCCTGGAAAAGACTTCCCGTTCTGCTCCTTCGGGCTCTGGGAGGGGAGGGCGCGTTGAGGGTGGAGATGCGGGAAAGGGGGCGGATCAGCGAAGGTGTGAGGTCCCGCCCCCCTGCAGGGCCTCTGCTTTTGGACCGCACTCTTTGCAGCCCAACGCTGGCCAGGGTGCGCCCGGGCTTCTGAATTATACAGTGAGCCCCCCACCCCACTCTGAATCACTGCCCCTCCTGGCCTGGGCCAGAGCGCTGGAAATGATGTCCAAAGTGGTTTCAAAACAAACCTATCAATATCAATGGATAAATAAACTGTGGTATATCCATACAATGGAATAGCATTGAGCAATAAAAAGAAACAAAGTACCGGTACATGAGAAAATATGATGCTAAGTGAAAGAAGCAAGATGCAAAAGGCCTCATGTTACATGATTCCATTCATACTAAATGTCCAGAACAGGCAAATCTATAGAGATAGAAAGCAGATGAGCTGGCTGGGGTGGGGAGTGGGGGAACTGAATCATGGGGAGTCACTGTTAATGGTTACAGGGTCTCTTTTGGGGGGTGATGAAAATTACCCAAAATTAGACAGTGGTGATGGTTACAGAACTGTATGAATATACCAAAACCATTGAATTATGTACTTTAAGAGTGAATTTCATGGTACATAAATTATATCTCAATAAAGCTCTTATAAAAAATGCCAAGGCCAGTATTTCAAAGATGCTTGAGCAGGGCAGAGGGGAAAAACTGAGTATCCATAGATGGCTGAGGAACCCTCAGGACAGAGAGGCTACACCCCCTTAACCCACCTCACCACCCCCCAGGCTTGACTGCTCACCAGACCCCCTGACTGAGGCCAGGCTCCTTCAGGGCTCAAGGCTCCCCCTTCCCCACACAGCACTTCCCTAACCTGAATCCAAGCCTGGTTCCAGGTCAGCTCTGTGGATTTGGATGCAACCAATGGACCTCTCATCTCACCCTAGCCAGGCCTCTGGGAGGTCACAGTTACTTAAACTTGGGGCTGACCACTGATATTATTTCATGTCTCTAAACCACATAGGAGAGAAACCAGAGTGAAGGGAGATGGGAAAATCCCAGGGTCCAGGCCTAACACTCCAGCACAAGAGGAATAAGGACTTGGGACACATGCAATGAGCCCTTGGAGCTGGTGTCCCCTCAGACCCCAGAATGAATGGAGCTGGCAAAACCCTACCAGAGCTGAGAGCCCGGATTCTGAAGTCATACCTAGGCTTGAGTGCTGACCCTTGGCTTATCCTTCTGCAAAATGATTACTTAGGTATGAAATGTGTAAAGGACCTGGTGCACAGTAAGTACGCACTAATGGAAATGCATTTTCTACAGAGATACTTGGTTTTATTCAAGCTCCCCACCAGATTCAAAGAAAAGATGGACAGACTCTGCTTGCTGCCACTTTCTCCATAGAATCTCCTCCCTCCTCAGGCTAACCCATCTGGAACAGGAGGTGCTAAGCCAGGGCTGGGGAAAAGGAGGAAGGGGTCTGAGCCTGTGGGCTTTGGGGGCTGAAGACTGCAAGAAACCCTCCCAACTCTCCTACGTCCTTTGGAGGAGAAGAAGGGAGCTTTGTGCCCCTGTAGAGAAAGAAGAACTTGCCAAGTGACACCAGCACAAAATTTATTCACAAATAAATAAACACGTACTAGGCAGAGCCTCCTGCCTGCCTCAAAGTGTCTACCCTCTGGGTCCCTCCATCACGGGAGGGGTTGGGGAAGTCCGTCCTGGGTGGGGACAGGCTCTCCCTTTCAGCAATGCCCATGCCAGTATCGCCAGTGCCCTCTTCCAGGAAAGGGAGTCTAGAGTGGGACCTCTTCGAAGGCGCAGAGGCCAAAAAGGCGTCGGTGCTCACAGAACGGGGCGCCAGATGTCCGCCGTCACTTCAACTACTCAGGCCGGCGGCCACTCCAGGGGCGAGAGGGGCATCCAGGTCTCCAGCAGGGCCAGTACGTCGCCGGGAAAGAGCTTGAGGAGAGAGGGAACAGCGAGGCCCTCAGCGTTGGACACCGAGCGTGGGTGTCCGCCTCGCGAGCTCCACTTCCAGGGCGCCTCTGGCGGGGAGCGGGACCCGCCCCCTGCGTGTACTCTCCCTCCCCTCGCCGCTCGAGCGCCCCGGGCACACCAACTCTGTTGCTCCGGAGGGCGAGCAGGCGAGGCCGGGCCGTCAGTGGGGAAGCCGCACGGGGGCTGGTCCCCGCAGTGCGCGCCGGGGGGCGCGAGACAGCAGGTAGCGCCATCCACTACTGCGCCGCGCCCGGAGGGAGCTCCGCGCGGGAAGGAAGTACTAACCGGAGATGAGGGGCCTGGCTCCATCGCCGGCCCTTCCGGGCACGCCGTCTCGTTGTAAAGCACCGGCGGATCGCGCGGCTCGGGCGCCGCTAGGGCTCCGGGGTAGGCGGGCGGGGACCCCCAGGACACCACGGCGCTGGCGGCTGAGCCCAGGTCTGGGCCGCACGCCTGTGCCTGAGTCTGCATCTGCGTCTGCGTCTGCGCCTGCGCGGGGCCGCCGTCGGGGCACAGCGGGCAGCCTCGAGGGACCACTGCGTCGCTGTGCCGCCGGCGCCGGCGCTGCAGGCTCTCCTCGCTGAGGCCCAGCACGGCCGACAGGTGGCCGATGTAGCGGATGGCCAGGCGCAGCGTCTCGATCTTGGTCAGGCTCTGGCCGGCAGGCGCCACGGACGGCGGCAGAAAGCGGCGCAGCTCGTGCAGGGCGCGGGCGAGCGTGCGCATGCGCAGCTTCTCGCGCTCGCTGGCGCTCTGCCGCTGCCCGCTGCCTAGGCGGCTGCTGCGGGCGCCGCGCCTCCCCGCAGTCGGGGCGCGGAGGGCGGCGCTGGTGACGGGCCTCCCGGGGCTAGACACGGGGCTGCTGGCCGGGGCGCTGCCCCAGGAATCCGGGGACGAGGCGGGCGAGCAGCCACAGTCCCTGTTGGAGGCCGGCGGCGGCCGAGCTGGGCCCCAGCCCGCGGAGAAGATCCAGGACTCAGAGAGCGGCGGGCACAGGGACTGGGCCATGGCAGCGCCGGCGCGTCTGGGGGCCGGCGGCCAGCGACCGCTTTATCCTGAGCCCGAGGTGTGAAGTGGCCCCTTCCAGGCCGCATCAGCACTTCAAAGCGGGCTCGGGGCCTGGTGGGGGCGGGGCTTGACCCTTTGAACCAACGGGGGGGCGAAGGTGCCTGCCCGTTGGCTGCGCCAGGTTGGCCCCTCCTGGGTGCTCGCATGGGCACCTGACCCAGACACTCGGGCCTCCTGCCTGCGCCAGTGCCGGCGCTGTCCAGGGTGTTGGGCCAGCTCAGTAGGTTAAAGGAAGCGAGGTCCGGGAACTGGAGGTTCAGTACTTAGGTTTGGGTCTGCCTTCACCTGTTGGGGACCTTATGCAAATTCTTAAGTTTTCTTGAATCTTCGTTTCCAGTTTGAATGATGGGAGCCTCAGGGCATAGTGCAGCCAGGTCTGTGGACTCGTATAGTGACCAGGAGTGGGGCCCTTATTCCTGCCAGAGGCCAGAGTAATCCGTTCCTCCTCTGAGGCAGGTTGGTCCTGGGTGCACCCTTCCCTGGTGGTGGTGGTGAGTGGGAGGGACAAGGCTACCCTAGGTAAATCCAACAAGCTGGCTGAATCTGGGCAGGTTGCTGGACCGTCTGAGTGGAGGGAGAGGAAGCCTGCTGCCCTCCAGGCCACCTTCAGCCTGGCAGGATTAAGGGCTCGGCCTGTTGCCACAGCTGCCACCACTTGCCTCTAGCTGGTATTCTGCCACTTTGGGGCAGGTATAACGGGCCTTGCCAATGAAATGTGAGTGCAAATGACACAGAAAAAAAAGCATTTAACAAAATTCAGGGGAATTCCCTGGTGGTCCAGTGGTTAGGATTGGGCTCTCTCACTGCTGTGTTCAATCCCTGGTCAGGGAACTAAGATCCCACAAACCACAGAGAAGCCAAGAAAAAAAAAATCAGCACCCCTTCATGATAAAAATTCTCAGCAAACTCAGACTAAAGGAGAACTTTCTCAGTCTGATGAAAAGCATCTACAAAGAAGCTACAGCAAACAGCATACTAAATAGTGAAAGACTGAAAGATTTCCCACTAATACTGAAAACAAGGTGAGGATGTCTGCTCCTACCACATGCCTCTTCAACGTTGCCGGGGGGCGGGGCGGTGCATATAGCTTGAGCAGTAAGGAAAGAGAAATAAAAGGCTTACAGATTGGAAAGGAAGAAATAAAACTCTATTTATGGACATGATTGTCCACATGGGAAATCTCAGATAATCTACTATATTGCCTGCCTGACCCCTCAGGTTTGAGTTTGCACATTGTCAAAATAGCCATTTCATGCATGGATGTCTGCTCTCCAGCTAGACTGTGAAGTACCCGGTGTCTGGTATCATGTCTTCAAAAGAAGTGGTAAAAAAAAAAAAAGAAGAAGAAGTGGTATCTAGGGCCTCTTTCAGTGCCGGCGGTCTACTGTTTTGCATCCCTCATGGCTTCCAGTTCTGTGAGATTGATGGCCGAGCTGGTTTGTAGCAAAGAAAGCCAAGTGGCTTGGTACCTTCTTCCTGGGCATCTCTGCTCACCACCTCCCCCCTCCCCTTGTCTCTTTTTTCTTCTACTGCCCTTGGCCTTTTCTAACACCCTCTATACCCTCTACCCTGCAGTCTGTCCCAGCAACCCCAGATGCTTATGCCCATGGTCACATCCAGGACAGGCAATGCCAACCCACCACTGGGGAAAAGGGGAGGAGCCCACTCCATGGGCACATGCCATGGGACCCTGTGAGAGCCTGGCCTAGGCCTGCAGCTGTCAGCAGGGTCTGCCCCTTCTGGACCCTGGCCAATGGATGCCTTCCTGGGGTTCCATATCCAAGCCAAGAACCTGGCATTAGAGCCCAGTGATGGTCCCTTTGATCCACTGGACCAGAGCTAACAAATTGTGAGAATTGGTTGTGCACCCAAGCAGCGGGAGCTGCAGCCTAAAAGCTGGACAGGCAGGAGGGGTGGGATCTCAGAGGGCTCTGGGCATTCTGTTGCCAACCTCTGAATGTCAAAAAATTCCTCCAATTCCCACGATTCTGATTTCCACTTTGTAGCTAATAATTGAGAAAACTCAGAATGACCAAAAACTCCTAATCAGCCACGCTTTTGTTACATTGTTATACATTTGAAAATATAATACACACACGTGGTTAAGAGTTGAACAAGTACAGAGGGTATAACAAATCTCTTTCCTATTCTCCGTCTGAGGCCTCCAATTCCTGGTCCAGAGGAAACCACCATTCCTGGTTTGTGGGCAGCAATGCTCTGAAGTGAAGTTTTATTTTATTAAGTACAAAATCAACTAGACATTCTTTAAACAAGAGGCCATATGTGTGGAAGGCAGACTGTTTATCCTGAAAACACAGCTCTGGCCCCTGAGGATGCTCAGATCTGGGACCGAACAGTTAACATTCATCGCTCACTTACATGGGAGCCACTGAGAGATCTGGAACAGGAGAGAAACGCCATGAGAGAGGGTTAAAAAGACCCAGGTGTGTCTGTGGAGGCAAAGAACTCATAAAAATGGCATTAGAGACAGGGCAGATGGGAGGGTTCCACCCCCAACCCCAGTCCTTTAGTCTCCAGCCCTAAGGCTGACAAATTGGATGTGCCACGTGGGAGTCCCTCCCTTTCCTGCTGCCTCTGAGTCTTGGGGCCCAGAGTGTGTAAGGGCTGTGGTCAGTGGGCCTGATGAAGCCAAGTGGGGGCAAAGGGGGGACCCCCAACCTAGATCCTGGGCTCTACCCCCTCCTGTCAGCCAGCCTCCCTCTTCCCTCGCCCCCATGCCTCTCTCACCTTTGATCTCCTTATCGCCAGCCTCTCCGGTGGCTTCATTAGGGAGCTGCCCCAGTTAATGAGTTCTCCGGGCAGCACGGCCCACACCACCCTCCTGCTGGGGTGAGGACTTCACACCTCTGGGGCCTGTGTTTTGACAAGTGCCGGAGCCAGTGGCTCTTGCTCCCCTGGCCCGAGCCTGCCGTCGCCTGCCAACGTGTAAGGCTGGGAAATGAGGCCTTGGGGCAGCCCCACCAAGCGGAGGTGAGAGTTCAGTCAGGGTCCTTGGCCAGGGTGGGGGCAGGCAGGACAGGGCAGCACCCTCTCAGGCTGGGGCCCCCGTCTCATCCTTCCCGCTAGGAACTAGCCGGCTGCCTCAGGCCAAGCCTGGGTCTTGGGCGCTCTCCCCCTCCCACCTCCCAGCCTCAGCGCCCTCATTTTCCCAGCCAGGCCCTCTGACATAGGAGTGCTAATCAAAGGTGCAATGTCAGTACTGCCCTTGCAGCCCCTAATCCCCATCCCCTCGGGGGCCAGAGGCCCCAGGAGAAGGAAGCAGCTCTCTGCTACCGCCAGCCTGTTTGGCATCAGCAGGCGCACCTCCTGGGAAGCTCCTAATTTGGGTGTTTCCTATTGCCAGGGATCTTCCCGCCACACCTCGGCACCAGCCTGAGAGGCAAGCCCTTTCAGGGGAGGGATTGTTATTCATGAAGTCCCCACCTTTAGACAGCCTAGGACACCCCTCTGGGGTGTGGCCAGTGTGGCTTAGAATAGAACCCCTGCCCTGCCATATACCTCTTGTGTCACTTGGGTAACTCACTCTCCATCTCTGGGCCCCAGCCTCTGCTTCTGTGCCATGAGTAATACCTACTGTGCTGATGTGATGTGGGTGTCATTGCCTTGCTTTGTAGTTAAAGACACGGAGGAGCAGAGCAGCGGTCCTATGTCACATGGCTAGTAGGGGCAGAGCTGGGATCCATGTGGCTCTGTCTGGGACCAAAGCCAGTGTTCTGTCCTACCACCAGCTCCCCTGTCTCCTCTGGAGGACTTGATTGGCTCCTTTCCTCCTGGAGGGCCACCTGGAGAGTGAGGGTGCCGAGGTGGGGACGACGCCCCATAGTCCCCAAGCCTCCATGAAACCTCACTACAAGTCACTGGGACCTGTTGAGATGTAAAAAGAAAAACATTTCCAGACCCACGCTGGAGATGCTTGAACCAGAATCCCTGGAGGAGATTCTGGGTATGAAAAGTAAAATCTCCCAAGAATTATGAAGCTTGGCCACTTTTGAGAAGCAATGCCCTATAGTGAGCACCCCCCAATCCAGAGAGTGGAAAAGGCACGGGGAGTGCCCAGCCCCCCACCATGGAGCCTAAGCCCCACTGGGTCGTGGATAGATGAGGCCGTGCTTGTGCTGGAGAGGGGGCAGCAGCCACCTGGAGCCCAGAGCAGTCAGAGGGCCCGGCAGGAAGGCTCCCAACTTCTCCTCCACCTCCCTCCTTCCCCGTCAGCCTCCCAGCTAAGGCCCCGGAAGCTCCCAGGAAGCCCCTTCCAACTGAGATCAGCCCCTCTCCTCACACCTTTAGCTCCCGGAGCCACTGAGTTGGCAAGCCATATGGAATAGATTATTCTGGACCCATGATAATCTGATTATCTTGGTCATGGATCAGCTGGATGCGCAGCCAGTGGAAGTCACAGGAGGCAGAGGGGTGACGAGGAGGGAGGGGGTGGGAGGAAAGGAGAGAGATTTGTCAGATTCCGGGAAAGGCTCCAGAGGAAGTGCCAGAATCTCCCCTGTTCTGGGAGCTGGGCTGAGAATGCAGGGTAAGTAGATTGTGCCTTTCTCCTTAGGGGTGTCACATTTATGCTCCTTCACTTCATCTGGGTAAGTGGAGGAGGGTCTAAGCCTTACAGTGAAACATGGGGAAACTGAGGCATAAAGGGGTTAAGTAGTTGAACCAGCCCAGAGCAAAGATGTAGACATGTGAATGTAGGGAAACTTGTCACACGGCTCCTCAGTTTCTATGGCTGTAAAATGGAGCAGGGACTCCCAGCTGCCTGCTGAGCTGTCCTGGGAGACTGCATGCCTTGATTGCAAGGTTCGGTCTCAGGCCAGAGGGCTGCCCCTGGGTGTCCAGTGTCCTTGCAATCCCAGCTACAGACAGCAGAGGGCGCTACCCAACCACTTGGGATCTGAGCTGGGCAGACCTCCTGCCAACCGGTCAGAGGCCCTTTTTTTCTGGGGCCAGGGCCAGTGCGGATTGGGGGTGGTGGGCTCTGGGAG